CAGAATAGACCGAGCATCTTTTTCCTCTTGTTCGTATTCATACCCAGCCCTAGGGTCTCTGCCCCGAGATTCACTTTGAACTCCCCTTCTCCTCTCTTCAGCTGCTCTCTCAATCTCAAACGAATCCTTTCGGCTGAGTCTGATGTCCCCGTTGCCCTGCGGTCGCAACGGCATTTGAGGAGGAGGGGGTGCAGAGGCAGGGGCAGGCGAAGGGTCGGCGAAACTGGGAACACGATTGACGGTGACGATCTCGGGTGTTGGTGGCCCGCGTGGCGTGTTGAACTGAGGAGTGTTGAAGGCATCATCGGCAACCTGGTATTGAAAAGGGTCAACAACACTGGAGTTTGGAACGGGCTGGGCTATCGTCTCAGTATTCCTGTCACCTGCCTTTGTCGCACGAGCGGGTTGCTGTGGTTGCTGCTGTTGTTGCCTCTGAGCATCGCGGAGTTGATCTTCACGTAGCTGGGCTTCACGCCTTTGCGTATCTCGCACGTGAGCGTCATAGGTAGTTTGATACTTTAGGCTCTCCTTGCGCTCGTCTGGATGAAGCTCCATCCAGGACCTGCTCTCTCTAGGCAGGTTAGACGAGTCTCTGCCATAGTCGGGCATTTGGCGGCTGGATTCTAATCGGGGAGAGTCGTCATCGTTTCGGCGGTTGTAGTATACCTCCGGATTAGCCCTCCGCCGCTCCAGTTCTTCAAAGGGTGCCTGGTCCCGCTGGAAGTAATCTTCATCTGGATCCGGGCGAGTGAGCTTTACATTATCGCGATAAATGCGGTCGTCAGTCCAAGGCCCTCTTTGATCTGCCATGAGAGTTGCTGCGGCGGCGGCTGCAGCCGCAACGCCGCCACCCAGAGTAGGGTCAAGGCTTCCGCTGTTGGATAGCTGGCGGCGATAGCTATTCCGAGAATCTCGTCTGCCGGTCTCAAAGACCTTGTTGGAGACGGGCACCATGGGAATCGGCTGCTGAAGAGGGATGGGTCCCGGGCGGGCGGAATCGGCCTGCGATCCACCGGTAGCCGGCCTGTCATTGTCGTAGAGAATGGGGCCCGAGCTAGCACCGGGATAAGATTGTCGCACGGAGCCAGAAGACGGAGGCGGTTGTTCATCTCCAAACCCGCAGGGGGTGTTGACCAGCCCACGCAATGAGTTGACTGGTCCAAAGAGGCGAGGATCTACCACAGAACTCTTCCTGCTATGATGCGTAGGCCTGGAGCTGGCAACAGAAGCGGCAACGGCCCCGGCGGCGGCTCCCGCAAACCCGGCCAAGGCGACGTTGGAGCGCGAAGAATCGCCACCGTAGGCCAGAGCAGATGTGCTGTCATCGCTCGAGGAGCTCTCGGAAGAATCGCCGTCATCGTCGGAGGCCGACTCCCAGTCCGACTCGTCAGAGGATGATTCGCGGTGCTTCTTGGATCCGGCAAGGCCTCGCTTTTTAGCTTCCTTTCTGCTCTTTCGCAGTGCACTGATGGCGGCGGCGGTGGATGCTAGTCCAGACGGCCGGGTCTTTCCCGCGGCACGCAAGTCCTCCTCGTTGGACCTCCGGGCTAAATCTGACAACTGGCGACCAATGGCAAGAATCTCCTCGTCTGTCTTATTACGCTTCCCCTCATTAAGTAGTTTAGGGGATGGCCTGGTGGCGACAGCTGCTGCTGGATATTGCTGTTGTTGCTGTTGTCGAGAGCCCGACACGGCGGAGCCCGCAACGGAGCTGCTATAGCGCGTGGACCGATCCTTTTCCTTCTTGACAAAGCCGGTGCCGTATGCCATGTCGGAATTGATGGACGAGTGGGACGAGTTGCTGCCACCGCCAAAGAAGACGCCGCGGCGCTTCTTGGTGCCGCTGCCCCTGCGGCGATGCCGCCGGCGCACTTCCGACGGAGCCTTGACAAATGTGCTGATGAAGTTTCCAAAGCGGGAGGTGGGATATACTCGCGAGATTTCCGTGTACGAGGAGGACGAGGATGATGGCGACGAGGACAGCGAGCCCGACGAGGCCCGGGACCGAGGCTGGGCTGCATCCTGCGACGGCGTCTGGCGCTGCGGCATTGGCAGCGACATCTGCTGGTACGGCTGCTGGTACGGCTGCTGGTATGGCTGCTGGTAGGGATACTGCTGCGGCGGTGAGGCAAAGGCCTGCTGCTGCAGCGGCAGTGGAGGCTGTTGTGGTTGTTGGAATTGGGATTGGAATTGGGATTGAGACTGAGACTGAGGTTGCGGTTGAGGCTGCGGCGGCAGAGGCTGATAGGGCTGCTGCTGTTGCCGTGGGCTGTCGGCGCTGTAGCTGCCCGGCATCTGCTGAGGCGTGATGCTCTTAGGGGACGAATACAGGCTCTCCTCGCGCGACTGTCGCTTCTCGCGCCTCCGCCTCCTGAAGCTCTCCGGGCTCCGGCGGCGGGGATGAGGCATCGTGGGACCTGGCTTGGCGGCTGGTCACTCTGCCAGTAACATAACACGATGGCTTTTCGTCTGTCTTGCTGCTTGTGAAGGAGTCAAAGCCCAGATTGTTTTTTTGTTTTGGTTCCAGCAAGAGCTGATGCAACTAGCACGACGCCAACCTCGCTCCCCCCAGTCGACCCGACCCGCTCCGTGGACAGGCGGTGGCTGGGGCGACGAACAACTCGAGCTGTCCAGGGCCCGGAGATGGTGGCCAGCCTGGTCGCTGTGGCTGCGGGAGGGCCAATCAGGCTGCGGCGCCATGGGCTTTAGCGGCTTGTTCAGCTGGCCAGCGACCGATCACAAGAGCTGGGCCAGACATAAAAAAGGGGGCAGCTTTGGCGATACTATCGAGATCTGGCGGCAAGACACAAGATGCAAACGCAAACGAGCTGGGGTAGCTGCCGGTGATGTTTCAGACGACGAGCTCTTGTCCAACATTTGCACAGTATCTGTCTGTCTTGTCTTGTCGGGTTCCAGCAAGGGAGAGGGAATGAAGATTGCCTGTGCTGTGCCGGGGTGGTTGTGGCACATGAGATTGAAGAAGCCGATGGACTGGACTCTTCGTATAACCCAACTAACAGATGGGAACAGCGCGCGCACGGATGCCAGCAAACGAGTGGGCGTGCAGTTAGAACTTTTTATTGACATCAAATACATTTAGTACTTCCCATGTTAGCATTAAAAAGGCGTTGGAAGTTGTTAGGCATTTCAGCAGCAAATCCCACCAAGTGTTGTGCAAATACATTGAGTACTTTCATGTGCTTATTTCTCCTTCTGCCTTACAACAAGTACAATTACTTCACAACCGGACTCTATGCCATTACGCACCGGTGGGGCCGCTCATCACAAGCGTGTCAATGCTCTCGTGGATTCTAGCTGTGATTGTGGATAGCTATCAACGGACCTCTTGTTAGTGCTGAACAGCTGCCACACGATGCTCCAGTCCTCTCCCCCCTCTCCGAACAGCTGTAGCTCCCAATACTACACGCGCACACACATACTAACCGCAAAGGCACCCGATTCATTCACTCACATCAAATCAATCCCTCCCACATGCACCAGCGCATACATCTGCTGCCTTAGCGGGTACCTCTACACTCAATCCTCGCCCCTCCCCACCAATCAAACACCCTCCAGCCGCCCGTTTTGACGCTCCCCCTCCAGGCGCTGCAGAGACACACACACAGTTGGGCGACATTTTGTCTCACTCTGTCTGACCATGGCAAACAGCAAGTCCATCGTATATCTGATACTTGACCGCTGCCCGCCCAGAAACCCCCCCCCCCCCTCCCCACTTTTCTGCCAGTTGGCACTACCCAGTACCACCTTGGCTCTGCGTCTTCTCGCCAGATCCCAAAACAGGGGTGACAAAAAAAGGGCGACAGCACCGAGAGAGAGAGAGTGGACTGGCGCCCGGACTTACCCTGCAGGGCAAATGTCATCGTGGCCCAAATCAGCGATAAGAATCGACGTTTGATGTGCCCTCCAGTCGCATTAAATGGATAATCGTGCCATTTCTCTTCTTTTTTTCTCTGTCTCACCCAACATCATCATCGCGAGACCTTGTCTCAGGCCAAAACGAGTACAGTAGACGTACCCAAAGAGTACTTCGTGCATAACAGGCACTTACACTAGAACCCACTCACACTCTCATTCATTCATCCGCACGGAAGAGCGCAAGAAATACACATGCCAACAGAAAAAAGTACCCTGTCTCTGGTCTTGCTGTTGCGAAGCGATGACGCCTTTGCTTCATGTATGCATGCATGCCTGAGCATCGAGGCCAAATCCACCATGATGGACATCTGCGTGTTTTCCCACATGCACGCCATCAAGATCTAAAGGTAGGGGATGTCGATCCTCAATGAAAATGGTGCCTTCTTATCGGTTTTACAGTACGAATTACTCGTATTTGTAGACTGTGGGTGCGACTCATCTAATCGTTTATTAGGATACCAAAACTCTCCATCCCCCCGACTCATCCCGAATAATTGCTCACAGATCATGATTACTTGTAGTGAGAGTGGAGTCTAGATGACGACTCAATTGTACAAGCATCGAATCAATTGAACAGCCCAGCTATATTATATCGAGCTATAAAACTATAAAATCCACTCTCTGGAGAACCCAACAACCCAACAGACTGGGATATGCCGTAATCAAGTCTATCAAACACCTATATAAAGGGCTGATCCCCCTCTCATAATGGCCATCATCTCTCAACTTCAATTTCACATACTCGTTGTCAAAGAAATGAGTGCCTGCAGTTTGTCCACCAGGGCAACAGGGTGGGAGAAAACACCGCCGGTCTGCTACAATAAATTTGTATGTGAAAGGCGGCAGTGATTTTTTCCCCCCAGGCAGAGTGAATCATTTTTTCCCACAGCGTTTTTAACCCCCCAAGACCTGAATAGCTAGATGAGTCCTCCATGCAGAAAATTAATTTGGCTTCTATCTCTTGCAACGACCATATTCCAGTGTCAATCCAAAGTGTTCTTTATTCCCAGTCCTTCTAGATAATCCTTCTCTTTCCACAAACCACTCCCCTTTCTTCAAGCTCCTCAATATCCTGGCACCACTCTGGTCTTCACATACAACCCATTGGCTGGCTTCACCGTCACTCCACCCCTCATATCAATCTTATCCAGGTCCATCTCCTCCTTATTCACCAGCTCAAACTCGAAACGACCAATCCAGGCCGCCAAGAGACACGCAAACTCCCCCTTGGCAAAGCTCATACCAATACAGCTGCGCGGCCCGTGGAGAAACGACAAGAAGGCATAGTTGCTCTCCGCACCGCCGCTCGCAGCCCTCTTGTTGCTCTCATCAGACAGTCCGTCAGTGGAGAGCCATCGGTCAGGGTTGAATTCGGATGCGTCTGAGCCCCAGAGTTTTGGGTCCACGTTTACGGCGAAGGGGGATACGGTGAGACGAGTGCCCTTTCGGACAGGAATGCCCTGGATGGTGGTGTCGTGAGTGGCCTCACGAATGGTGAGGGGGACGGGGCTGAAGAATCGTAGCACCTCGTTGCACACCGCGTTGAGGTACGGCATGTGATCAATGTCTAGGCTTGTAATCTTGGCGCCTGCGTCGTCCGTAGAAGGCAGCTTTTCGCGAATCTCGTTGCGCAGCCGTGTCTGCATCTCAGGCGAGCGGCAGAGGGCGTAGATGGCCCACGTCAGCGCCGTCGATGTCGTCTCATGGCCGGCGGCTAGAAAGGTCATGAGCTGGTCCACTAGGTTCTCGTCGGTGAATTGGCCGCTCTCTATCGCGACGGAGAGAATGTCCACATCCGTGCGCTCCTTGTTGGCCATCATCTTTTCCTTCTTCGCTCGGATGAGATCCCGGCACACGGACTTGATCGTCTGGGCTGCCTCGTCAATAACCTTGTTTCGCTTCAGCGGTAGTCGATAAAGCATCCAGGTGGGCACCAGAGTTCCCAGGAATACCATGATCTTGGCTGGCGGCTTTGGCTTGAACAGAAACTTGTACGTCTGGACGATGTCACTGTTGTCGTCCTGGATCGCGTGAAAGTCTCTGCCCAGGCCGGCGACGCCAATGATGTCGAGGGTGACTCTTGACGCCCACTCGCCGGCCTCGAATTCTGCCTCGCCGCGCTCACCACACTCCGCCGTCATAGCCTGGACCACCTCGCGGGACTTGTCCCAGAAGACGGGATACAGATCTTTGATGTGTCGGAACGCAAAGGCCGGCATCAAGTTGCGACGCTGGCGCTTGTGCTCGTCTCCCTCAGCCACCAGCACACCGTAACCCAAAATGCGGCCGAGAAAGGTCCTGACATTCTCGGGCTTCTGGAAAGCATAATTGTTCGTGACGAGCACCTCGGCCAGGGCCTTTGGAGAAGTAATGAGCAGACGCTCGTGGTGGAAGAACCAGTAGTAGCGGATGATGCCGTTGTTGGGCATGCTCAAAGCCCTTTTTGGCAAGTCAGCCGTCATCAGCGCCAAGCAGCAGGGATTGATTGCATGCACATGAACCTACCACTCTCTGAACGGCGCGGCAGGCTTCTCAGCCAGGATCTTCTTGCCATGGCCAAACAACCAGTGGCTGTTTGGCGCCGTGGGAAGATGCCGCAGCGGCGAAAACCAGAAGGGATACACAAACTGAGACCAGATGCCGTAGACCACAAACACCTGCGCCAGTAGCAGAACCGCCGCCGCCTGGACAAACGTCCCTCGAGACCACGCCTCCTGCTGCAAATAGGTCCATCCCGCGCCGCCAACGAGGGCTGTGGCCAGCATCAGCTTGAGCGCCATGGCCGCAGAGGCTCGGTTGCTTGGTTACGCCCTGTCTATGTAAATGTGTCTATTGGTGCCAGTCGAGAACGAAAGCGGAAGCGGAAGCGCCTAGAGGAAAGGTGTCGTCACCAAACCGAGACTTTATACTGTAGAGACCGCCAAGAACGGCAACCACCAGTGTTGGAAAGGGTTTGGAAAGAAGTAAATAAAAGTCAAAATAAATACAATCAGGAAGAATACGGGAGATGGAGTCAAAGTTATAGAATTAACAAGGTTCAACCCACACTTGGGAAGATTCCTTGCCCACTCCGGCCCCTTCTCCAGTTCGCCGAAACTCAACCAAGTGATAGAAGCTTGTTCAACGCCAGCTGCGTGGTTTGTTCGTGGTTGGTTGGATCTTGTAGCTTGACGTCTCGGGGTCTTTGATTATGTGGGAAAATTGAATAAATAGAAAGAAGATAGGTTTGGAATCAAAACAGCAACCAGAAGTATTGATTATTTAGGTACATTGATTCCAATGAAGACCCCCCTTCTCGCTCGCTCTCCCATCTGGCGTCTCCCCTAGCTCAGGAAGAAAAATGGCCTCGATGAATGCCGTTTCCGTGTCACACCCGAAGGAGCCCCAAACGGAGTTCGCAACCTAAAATGTTGAAACTCATTCTCCCCCAAATTACTAGGTAGTATTAGCCACTTAGCCGAGAGCCGCTTTTCACCACCGGGGTTCCGGCACTCCGTCCGTCCTATTTCCCTTCTCCGGAAGACCTACTGGATTTGCTAGACAAACTGTAAGCTGTGGGCGTATCAGAAGCAGGCTAATGCTAATGGAAATTTGTTTGACCAAGGAAGCTTGCAAGCTTGTAAGGCACTGCAATCCATGCAAGGGAGAGAAGCTCTCCACACCTCAAGCTTTCCAGGTTGCCAGGTTACTGCGCTGTAGCATAAACTCCGTGGCTTTCACCACCACTGCTACAGTTATCACTTACACTGCTAGTACCCCAAAATGATGGGGGGCTGACGCAGACACGTAACCCCGGGTACGGATTTCTGTTTGCAATACACATACACACTCCTCCTCTTAACTCCATGTGAAATAGCGGCGTCTCGAGCCTGAAGTCTCAAACATCCATCCGTCGGTGGTAATCGTTCACCGAACGGCATTCAACAGAACTTCGCCGTCCTCCGGCTCCGTTCCCCTCCTGGAGGATTCTCTACCAAACATCACCTACCAGCGCAGCTCGAATGAAAATGCCACACTGGTCGCGCTAAGCTACCGATTGCATCACTACGTACCGAAATAGGCAATGGGAATGGAGCTTAGGGCGCGATGTTGACATCGTACTACTACTAGCCATCCTATTAGACATTTGAAGCAGCATCCGTCCATCACATTTGTTCCGGTAAAGCAAAATTGCTACCATTTGATTCGCTGAAATTCATCGCTATGCTGCCTCGCTGACTCGTTGCTACCTATGCTCCTGAATCCTATATACAAAAAGTCATATATCCATCTATGTCCAATCGGCACAGCCCACACTCGTGTACACGCTCAAAATCGCTATCGAAACAAGAATCAATTCCCCAGAGACAAGAGTGAGCGACAAGAAACAACCAAGAAGAGAAAAAGGAGAAAGAAGTTGGGTTTAAACCAATGGATGCAGTGTTATCTTATCAACTTGGGAGCCAGCCAGCCTGTCCCACAAATACGTTCAACGGAGCCGATTCCTCAGCCCTCCTTACCATGGCCGGATTCTATTCTGCACAGTCGTCGACGCCACCGAAGTATTTGCTGCCTGGCTATGGATATCTGCGGTATTTCGAAGGTCCCCGCTGACTTCGCCATTGACACTCGGAATCGTTGAGCTTGCTTGGGTCACGTCATCTGGTTGTTGGGCATGCAAAGGTGAAAGACTTGGGTCTGACGAGTCACTGTCTGTGTTCGGTGCCATTGACAAATTATTGCCGCGTGACAATCGAAATCTACGCTGCCTGGAGGCGTCCCTTTCTTGGCCAAAGGAGGGATGTGCGCCTCGCTGTTGGGGTGCTCGAGGCAGCCACCCAGGGTGTCTCGCATTATCTCGCTGGGTTCGGACCGGCGAGGTTGCGGTTGGTGCCCTCGAAGACGCTGATGATGTGGTGTCCTCATCGTACGAGGATGAATCCGAATCGCCGTTGGCTTGGAACGGGCGCCTTTCCGAAATACCAAGCGCTTGATTTCCAAGACTCTCAGCGGTTACAAGGTTGGACATCAACCTCAAGTACATCTCTTCCGATGCTCTATAGTGAAGAGTTAACAAACGTTGAGTTCACATTGAGCAAGAGCCAGGAGAGAGGGAGACGGAGAACAATAGAAATATGAGCTCACCCAGGGGGAAGCTGATGGCGAGCACTCATCATGGCCGTAAAAAGTTGGCTCACGACGCGATCTGGGTGCTTAGGCGGCAGCTCTATCTTGTCGCGACAGTATGGACAACTGTTGGAATCCTCAAACCACCTCGCCAGGCAGTGGTTCCCAAAAACATGTTTGCATTTTGGCAGCCGCAGAGGGTCCTCATTAATTCCCTCGGGGGTTTTCACGCCGTAGTCGTTGTAGCAAATAACGCAAGCTATGCACCACGTTAGCTCTCAATGTGTCGAAACAACGGGCATTTGCAGTAATCACTTCTCTCGGTTTCGGGCAAATCTTGGATATTAACTTTCTCCAAAATGGAGCGTGTAAATCTCGAGGTCGTCTTTTCCGATGCGGGGTGGATTCTCTGCTGAGTGGTGATCCCATTGGCTGTGCCCACTACACCCTGTGACTGGCTCACTACTCGGGGTTGGTCTGATCTGTGGCCACCAGCATCATGTATGCCGTTCTCCTCCAAATCCCTACCCATATCTGCGGCCGTCAAACGGTTGTTCACAGACCGGCGTGCTCTAGAATGGCCTGATCTTCGATGCGTGTGTGGCGGGAGCTGAGATGGGTCATGATAATGTGGTGGAGTTGCAACTGTCCGTTGGTAAGCGTTGGAAGAGACAAGACTGTTATATACTTGCTGGAAAAGTATAGGAGAGAAGAAAATTTGGGAAGAAAAAGCTGGAGGGAGCCACTTACAAGGTGGTGAGAGGGGAACGCGTGAGGCTCGTGGAGGAATAGCAGACAGAGAGTGATAGCTGGGTCGGCGAACTGGAGGCATAGGCATGGGAGCGGACGGCAGAGGCGTGGATAGAGGCCCAGATAACTGGCTCATGGGATGGACTGGGTGGTGTTGTAGTGGATAGCCAAAGTGAAGCTGCGCTTCTGGTTCCAAGGTCACGGCACTCTGCCCCTGTCCTAGCTCATTTTCTGGCGTCTGTCTGGAAAACACGTTGGGCTGTACATACTGCATACCAAGAGGGTTTGGTTGAATCGGAACCGGTGGCGGACCCGGAATTTGCGGGAACCCCTCCGACCATGGCCGAGCATGCGGTGTTGACATGGGGTGAATATATGGTACATAGGGTCGATGCGCGGTGCCGGGGTTCGGAAGCCCACCAGATAGACCCATTTGATGTTGTGAGTCGAAGCTCATGGGATGTGGCCTGGGCATGGTGTACATTGGAGGGACGGAAGTCTGGTTTGGTACCCAAGGCGTAGGGTGTACTGGTGGATGACCAGGCTCGCGTCTCCAATCTAGTGGTGGTGGTGGTCCGTAATACAATTGCTCAGCACCGGGTGACTGCCCGAAGGGATTAGAGTCCATAGGTTCAACGACAAGCTGTATCCAGCTTGATGCCAACCTGTAGAGCTCAGAATCGGCAGAGGGGGGAATGGCCAAGTTCATCCAAGTATCAAGCCTCAGACGACCTGGGCTCTCTGCTGGAGATGGAATATAAGTAGTGTTTCAAGATAATATAACGCTTCTGGTATCCAGAATAAGCAATGAGGCTGCTGATAGAAACGGACGTGGTTTGAAGAAATCGATATGGCAAAGGTAGAGATATGACGTACTTCAAGGAACCTCGTCTATAAACAGATATATAAAATGTAAAATTGACCAGTATCCTTGTTGCGGTGGTCTATCAACCAGAGGGTCTGATCCAGGGTTTAATTCCGGAACCACGGACTGAGAATCTCATTAATACTTCCTCAAGATGGCGTAGGTGAAGACCCATTCAGGTTCAGGCAGGATCTCCCGGGTATAGCCTTGGAAATCCTGATATAAGACGAGTGAAGAAATTTGGTTTTTTTTTTCTTTTTTCTTTTTTTTCTTTTTTTGGGGGCGGTTGGACCGGACAAGAGGCAATAGAGAAGCTCAATAAAGCCGAGGCAGGTGTTGCAGAGACGCCAGGTGAGAGAATAAATCCAGCACAATGGAAGATGGAATAGGAATGATTATGTCCGAGTGAAAGATACCAGAATATATATTCATATACCAAAGGAATACCCTCGTCCAGCGGGATTGTTGGGAACTGTCAAGATCCAATGCACAAACCATAGGAGCCACACAGGCCCTCCCGGTGCAAAGCTTGGGCCCCGCAAAGAAAGATGTGATGATATGAGCTTGGATTGCTAGATCTGTAATGTTTATTTGGTGACAGGTAGGCTTTTGCGGCCATCCGAGCCAAATAAACTTCTCAATTCATGGGCTTTGTTGCAGAGTTGGGTTTGTTGCTGCTGCAACAAGTAACTTCTGCCACAAGTGGATCCAGTCAGTCTGGTTTGGTAATTGCCCAAGTAGGTAGGCGCCGTATGTGGCTTTGCGAAGGTGATGTATTTGTACGCCGAACCAACCGACGGGAATGTCTCCGGTCTCCGGACGAAACGTCAGACGCTGCAAGTATAGATACTTGATGTTGTCCAGAGCGAGAGAGTGATGCTAGGCGGCCAGAATGTTGGGCAGCTGCAAAAAGCGGCCTCGGATGTGCCGAGGGTTGAGATCAAGGGCGAGAACGAGGGCGAGGGCGAGGGCGAGGGCGTCGGACAGAGAAGGTGCAAGGGAGCTGGAGGTAAAGCGGAGGGAGAGGCGCCGCGGAAGGGCAGGAGGAGAAGGAGGAGGAGAAAGTAGGAAGGTCAGGAGCTGCACTGGAAAGAAAAGCAGGAGCGTAGCGTCTGTATGTACAAGCAGAGGTAAGAGCACAGGCGAGAAAGAGTACAGGCACAGACGCAGGCCTGGGAATGAGCAAGAGCGATCGCGGAAGCTGGAGCTGGGAGCTGGGAGCTGGGAGCTGGGAGCTGAGAGCTGAGACCAGGAGCAAAAAGGAAGAGCAAAAAGCAAGAGCTGGAGCTGGAGCGGGAGCAAGAACAGACGCAATGGCAAGAGCGGGAGAGCTGAGCTGAGCCGAGCCGAGCTGAGCCGGAGGTTGGGAAAAGAAGAAAGGAAAGAAGGAAAGGGAAGGGAGGAAAGGGAGGAAAGGGAGGAGGAGACACAGATAGATGGAGCTGGCAGCACGCGTGATGACAAGGAAAAGATGGGAAGTCTAAAAAGGCGCCCAGTCATGAATCGCATTGGTATGGCATGGTACGGTATGGTAAGGTATGGTAAGGCATGGTAAGGCATGGTTCTGGTCTGGTATGGTCTGGTATGGCATGGCATGGCATGGCATGGCATGGGCACTTGCGTCAAGTCATCACCACCCAGTCAGGCCGTCCCTGTTGGCCCTGCATCTGCCTCAGCGCCAGGCCGGCTCCAGTCAGGCAGAGCAGCGGCCAAATCAGCGGCAAAAGGGCGTCGGATGAGCCGCCTCTGCTGGGCTGGGCTGGGCTGGGCGAGTCACGGCTCGGCAGCCCGCAAGCACGTCTGGTCATTTTAACCATTGCGCTGGATGGCTGTCATTGTTGACTTGACAAGATTTAAAATTTGAACTACCCGGAGACGGTGCCGTTGCACCGCCGCACTGTGACGCTAGCTGCCAGAAGACACCCGACCTCTCCTCTCTCACCTCGCCATGCAGCAGTTGGGTTGCAAATCCGCAGTGCGAGCCCGTCTTGCAAAAAGCCTTGGACGACAAATACGGCCTTTTGCATGCAGCACCTTTGGCGCGGGGCGCAGAAATGCACAGCCTGTGGACCTCAGTCATGCCAACCGGCCATGGGCAAGAGGCAAAAAGCGACGACCAGCCGGCTTGAAACCTCTAGCCCGATGCAAGAGCCAAAGGGCAATTTGGGCCTCTCACCTGATAAGCTGCATTTTATTGCCTGACGCCCAAGCCGTGGAGCCAGTCTCCAGCCCTTCTTTGCAACTCCGGAAAAAAAAAACACCCAGGCCGGCTTCCCTGCAGTCACCAAGTGAGCGAGCACAAGAAACCAAGAAACCGGCAGCCAGGGCGTGGCCATCACATGAGTCGTCTCTGCCCGAGCGGCCTGCGGGAAATGAAATGGCGCCAGCCAGACGTCAATCAGCTCAAAACAATCAAAGACCCCGTCAGCTAGGGCCTCGTGATTGGGGTTCCAATATTGCGTGTGTCGCACCGTGCTCACGCCTCTTGCTCCCGTGTGGCAGCCAGTCGGGTTCAAGCTCAGGCCAGGTCGTCGCCTTTGCTGTGAGACGAACTAGATTAGCAGCAACGCCGCAGCGACGGACCAATTCTTCCCTTTCCCTCGCTTTGGCCGCTTTGGAGAATCAGCAGCAGAACAATCATGATACGAGTACCGAGGCTTCTCACAATCACTTCGCACGGTTCTTACGTATTAGTACATGTTCTATGTCTGACTACCTATGTAGGCCGTGCTGTCCATCGGAGCCCACGCATCGGGCCAGTGCCGGAGGTCCTCCGGAGACCTTCCCGATCCGGCCGTGTTGCAGCTTTTATATCTCTCCCTCACCTGGCCTCCATGCGAATGCGAATGCCGCAGCACCTACGGAGTATTTGATGCTCCCTTTGCTGCCCCTTTGCTTCTTACGTAGCCTCCTGTTGGCTTTTGGTTTGCCTGCTTGTTCTTTCCCGAGCATCCGCACTACTGTCGATGCAGCCGCTGGGGTTGGTCTCCATCATGGCTGTGAGGGGTAGTATGCTGTAGGGATGCTCTGTGATGAAATAGGAGGGGCTACGCTATGGTTTTGTGGCGAGGCAGTCGTTATTCACAATGCAGCCCCTCGATGGCTAGTACGGGCCAAGAAGTGAGGAGCTCTCTCGCCTAATGCACTGGAATCTTTCTCTAATCATTACGCGGCCAGGTGAATGCGCAAACAAGGCACCGAAAACGGCGCTCTTCGGCCCTTGGTCCATGCTACGCAATACAACTCTAAACTCCGAACTGCATTCCTCTCGGCCTTTTAGTACCGTCTTGCCGTCGTCTTTTCACATCAGCCGGATGGAATAACGGCAGCCCAACACGCCGAAACTAAAGCACAGCAGTGGCGTGCCAATGATTCCACTCCGCCGTATCCACGATGGCTCATCGACTTTCATATTTTCTTCGTATGCGGCCAGCCGTCTGACCTGTCGCCTACTTTATCTGGCGCATGTACGTACCTCGCTTGGCTCAGCTTTCTTGATTCCGTGCCGGCGTGTCTCAGCTTTTTGAAGTCTGCGGAGCAAATGCTAGTACTTTCACCACTACTGGTACCACTACCAACTTACTCCGTGCATGGGAGCGACAGGGAGAAAAAGAAAAAAAGGTCCTTTGGCCCTCTGTTGATCGACTTCCCTTTTCTCTCTCGGCTGCGTTTCCATCCGAGGCCCTGTCTCTGTCCAACCCCGAAACTGGAAACTTGAATCACAAGATCCCCGCCGCCGGCCGCACTGTTCTTTGGCCAAGCGGCTGCTGCGGTAATATCCTTTTTTTATCCCTCTGCAAATCCTTGCAGCAACAATTCCCACGCATAGATAACACCACAGTCGTCATCCATTTCTTCCGAAGGAACTTTTACAACTTCGTTCTCGCTGAGCTCATGCTGCACAGCTTTAACCGGACCGCCATAACTTTATATAGTAGGAACTGCCGCCTCCATCTCAATGGCGTCCAATGTCGTATTCAAAAGGGGACAGGTAAATCTGAACTAGATGGCTAGCTAACACCTCCAATCTCTGTGGCTATTGGAAAGCCTCTCCTTCGTTCCGACATTAGCGAAAAAGGCTCACGCCGTTTGCTGCTCTTGTGAGGCCGGTTCGATTTACTAAGTCCTGGCGCTAACATGTATTTTACTGAAAGCCTGCCCAACTTGCCCCGAACAAAAATGTGCACATTGGGTTTGAGCTTGGATTGACATTTGTGCCCCCTCCCACTGCGCCCGAGTCTGCGACGTAATACTCCGTTCTCTTTTTCTTTTTTAACTCTAATCAATATTAGGTCATGCTCCGAAACTCACCAGTCCTCTCCATGCTGTTGCCTCGTATTAATCACTACCGTGAGCCGACCAAGGCAGCATTCCATATATGGAAGGGGGTATCATTTAATTTGCTTTTTTTATAATATCATTTGACAGGTGCCCAAAAAGTTTGTCGTGGAAAAGTATCATCTTCTGACATGGACAACCTTGATCGCCATCGTCTGGCTGCGTCTGACCGAAGCGCCGACCCAAAACCCAACCGAATCCCGCCACTCCAATGTTGCAGCATGACTGCAGCTAGTCTCAGTCCCTCCCTTGAATCGACGTCTCGGCTTTCTTGGCTCAATTTGCAGGAATCGATTGTCGGCTAATCCCCTCCCCTCACCCTCCCTCCCTCCAAAAAAAGGCAGACATGTACAATTGACATGTGTTTCGTATTCCGATATCAGAAGATCCAGCCTTTTTGAGACGATTGGCAATGATGGCGGCGGTTGAGAGTCTGGGAACTTGACATCGCCCTCCGTGCTATCAAACCTTCCCAGTAAAGATTTACCGTTCAAAGGCGGCGGCGTATCATCGGGTGTTCTTTTTTTCTTCTCTCGAACTTTGGCGAAGCTGAAGAAGATTACTTTTTCGGTAGCCGATACTTTCCCCCGACAAGCTCCAGCTCGCCCTCTGTGATTTTTTCGCCGAGAAATTCTTGTAATTCCTCATTGCTCCAGGGACACCCGTCGGAGAGGAGCATCTTCATCATCATGGCGATTTGTCCAAGGGGCATTGCTGGACTTGAATTGGTCAGCATGCCGACGATGAATTGCCAGTACACTGTCCTCTGTTCTTTTTCCTTTGCGCTCATGCTCTTCGCTTTCTTTGGTGACCGCTGTTCGTTTTCCATATCGCCACCTGCCTCGTCTTCATCCTCCGCCATCTCCTTGTCTCCTGTTTCGCTATCAAGCGTCTCTAGTACCACATACGTCTTGTTTCCGACATCACTCAACACTCGTTGAGATACCCAGAACTTGAGGGCGCTCTCTAAAAGATCCTCATCAATCATAAGCTTTTCCCATAATTCGTTGAAGCTTCTCTGAACCGGGCCAGATGCCCCTGATCCGTCACCGTCCCCATGGAATTCGTAAATGACTGCCGCCTCGTACGTTTTGCAGTCCAGTTCAATAGAGCGGTCATCAAGATCCAGTCTGACTGTTGCCGATCCAAGGTGGTCAAGCCAATTGAGCTTCCGTGAAGACTTGAGCTGCTCGAAACCAGCTTCGTATTTCTTCTGAATCTGTGCTACTGGTAAAGGCACGGTGAAGGGGTCTTTGGGTAAACTCGGCCAGAACAGGCGTGACAGAATCTTGGAATGGTACGAGGGCGAGTCTGCTTCCAGTGCGCCATCGTTTTTCATGTTTCGGCGAAGGACTGTATCCACGCGCTTTGAGTCCACGATGTCCCGTATCATGACATCGCAATTCTGTAGAGCGGCTTCTCCAAATCGTTTCTTCAGCAGACCGAGAACTTTAATCTCTTGTTGGAAGCTAGTTTGCTTGGAAAGTAATCGTTCTGCCACAATGACTTGAAATTCCTTGATGAAGACGTCCTGTAAGCCAAGAGCACTTATCAGTGTGCCTATGATGTCCTCATTCTTAGGCCGCTTGTAGTTGACACCCGCGTCTACGGGATCTGGAACCCAGCTCATGTCGTTCCATCCAAGATCCTCATCGTCGGCGCGGCCTTGATGCTGCTGCGATGTTTCGTTTAGGATAACTGCAAGCTCCACTAGCTTCCCCTTGTTTTCCTCCGCATGTGCAGTATTCGGGTTGGCCAGCAATCCTGTGACGACTATGCGGATGGCATCATCCCTGTTCCACAAACATAACTTCAGTGCTGGCACGACTCTGTCAAGTAAGACCTTGGAGTGGTCCAGCGCGTGGAATGTCCGGATCATGGAAATGTAGGTCTGCAAAATGTCAAGCGTAGAGCGGCCGGGGTGTAGCAACCTTGCCTGGAGGGTGGCCGAGAAGGCATCTGTGAGCCGAAGGCGGCGCTGGGGCGTAGTTACGGAGGATGCCAAGTCATCGAGGCCACCTTTGCTTTCTGGCCAGTGTAGGACAATATCAAAGAGCTCGTGCATCCTCAGCGTCGCGAGCCGCCCTGTGGCTACGTCTCTCCACCGCTCTACGTCGTTCCATGCCACTTGGCCACCAAGGCGCCGGAGGACTTCTACTGCCAGCCGAGCATAGCGATTCTCAATCCAGTCGCACAAATGATTCAAGCAGAGGGGTCCCGTTGTTGTTCGAGCATTCCGTCGACCACTGGATACCTTCCACACTTTGCTATAGGAATCCTTGATGAAGTCTTGCATGCAGGCATCCATCATCTCAGCAAACAAGACTTGAAACTTGTCACCCCCTAATCCAACCCGGTGCAGGGATTCGAGGAGGCTGAGAAGTTCATCCCGTGCCTTGGAGACGTCGGCTTCTCGGCTCCATCCCGGTCCAAGGCCAGTGTCGCGACTACTAGAGCCCAGTATTATCCGCAGACTATGATGCAAAACACTACGGAGAACAGCGATTAACTCCGGAGTCCATGAATTACCAACGATAGCGTGCATGTCTCGTCTGAACTTGGTCACGGCTGCTTCCGCGGGGGTGTCATCGCGGAAGCCTCGAACGACGAGCATCAGCCCGTACAGATACTGTCTGTGGGCAGCCTCCAGGGTGTTTATGATACTGAGGAGAACCTGAGAGTGGCTCCGTTGATGGCTGGAGGTGCATGCAGCAAGCAAAGGGAGCACATGGTGGAGGAAATGCTGACGGGCTTGTTGAGAGTGCCACAGCAAGATGTCTTCAGTGTGAGCAGCTTGCGGGACGGTAGCAGCAGGATTCAAGACAAGGGCTAGAGAGTCGTAGAATGTCACATCGAGATCCTGGGATTCGGGGAGAGCACCAAAGGAATCCTCGACAGCCACGGAGGTAGGGAGTTGAATGCGTGAGATGACTACATGCCAGGCACGATCCCACCGCACCTGATCGCTAACAGTGGAGGACGACGATTGCTGAGTAGAATGGTTGCCACGCGTCCGCCGGCCAGTCACAGCTGCAGAACCATGGGCACTGCTACCGCTGTGACTGGCAGCGTGTCTCTTGGGACGCGATGACGAGGACGAGGACGATGGCACTGGCGCGTCCTGGCTCCGGATTGGCTCACCGGCCTCACCGATGGCAGAGGCTAGAGAAGCTGGCTGCGAGGCATCGGGCGGGAAGACGGAGCGAAAAACATTGTGCTTGCGGGTGCGAACTCTGGCGGCAGTGGTGGCCATTGTCGACACCACCAGGCCAAGGCACCGTCTCCGTCTCCGTCCTGTCTTGTTTGCTGGGCTTTCGCGGCCTGGAACTTGCGGGCGGAATTAGCAGACGAGGCTCAGATGTGCCGCCAAAACCCTGCGAGCCATTGCCCGGCCAGAAGACAGGACTTCGGTATGCTGGTTGAGATGGGCCGTCCTTGCCCGAGGCGAGGCGAGACTGCTTGTCGCTGTTCGTCAGACCTAGCTGGTCGTAAATAGGCGAGTGGGGTGGAAGAAGCAAAAAAAGAAGAAAAAAACAATGCTAGAAAGAATCGGGTGCCGTTGCGGGGGGGTGTGACTCGTGGCCTGTGGTTGGCTGAAGCTGGCCTGGAGTGTACGAGGAGGTACTCCCTACCTAGGAAAGGTACCTACCTAGTACTATACCGATGGGGTACCTTGGCAGTGACGAGGCGCCTTTTCTCCATCTGGAGTCGCGGAGGCACAAGTCCGGAGTTCGGGCAACAATGTAACGTAGATGTACCGGGCAGAACGGCTCAGATACGAGCAGCAGAAATTGTAAACCGCCCAAAATATGACAGGAAGGGTGAGGCTCGGCTAAAATCAGGCCATTTTGGCAAGGGACGTGCATTTTTGTTCTAGGGGCTTGCCGAAGCCTCAGGCAGCGGCTCAGGCCCAGTCCCGCTGCAGTAAGCGACATGCAGCGCTTAAGTGCGCTAAGCGATGCGTCCCTAGACGCAACAGATTAGCGGTGCGTCTCTCCCTGCCACCCCTCCGGCGAGAACAAGAGGGACACAGGTCAGCCACCTAAGCAGTGCGTTTGTACGTCTTGGGCATGCCGAGCTTGCTCGTGTCAAGCCCGTCATTCTGGGCAGCAGGAAGAGACGAGAAAACGGGGGCAATGCGGCAGAAAGGGGGATGCAAAGGTGGGCGGGCAGAGATATGAAGGAGTGGGGGAGAAGATGACGTCTCAATGCTGAGAATGGGAACGGGGAACACAGGGAAAAAAGGAAAAATGAATGGAAAATGAAGGGATAATAAATAAAACAAAAAGAAAAGAAAGAAAAGAGAAAAGAAAGCCAAATAGCCAAGCCAATGAATGCAGTCTCTGCTGTACAGTACTGTGCAAAACCTACGCCGATTGAGTTACAGGTATGGCAAGGATCCAGGCTCCTTCGCCGATTCACCCACCCGGCTCTATCTGTGGTCACGATGCTTGACTACGGTCTTACCCATGAAGGTGCATCGCTCATATCCCCCTTACTAGTGCGCAGTATCCCTTCGGGAAGAAGAGATGGCTGACAAACTGAGATTGGCCGTCCAATGCGCTGCAAACACGGCAATCCCATTCCTGTAAGCTGATTAATAGGAGAGAGATAGGCCCATTGTGGGAGAAGCGACGGGTGGAAATCTGGACCTCTCAACACCACGGCTCTCTAGTCTTCTAAGCGTTAGAAGACAACCAAAGGAGGGGGGTTTGTAACGGGCCTGCTGCTGCCAATAGGAAAATAGTCAACGAAGAAAGAGAAAAGAAAAGAAAAGACACTATTGTGTTGCTACTATTTACAGCAACTGTGTTGTGTAGACCACCAATGCGAGATATGCGAGGGCAAACTTCGCTTCTCCTCACGCTAGCAGAAAGATACACGCAGGCTACTTCGCACATGTCGGGACGCCGTCCTTATCCCCATCCGCTTTTCGGGACAGTCTCGGGAGACTTTCGGCCGGAGACGAGAGCTCTCTCGGGGCCGGGAGTGGCCCATGACAAGCTTCCTGGTGGCTTGTGGATACCCCCGTTCCAAGCCTCAGAGACTAGCGACTTGGGTGATTACCCTGTGCCAGCGGACCAGCGGTACTGAACTTGTCCAAAAGTGCCTCCGAAACCCATGACGGCTGTTGTGTAGCAGTGGCAAGCAGGGATGGTCTATCCCGTGTGAGTGTACGGTTGAGGTGCGAAGTACTTGGGGCTAGTACATCCCTATCTCACGGCTCGCGGCTCGTGGTTCGTGGTTCGCGCTCCAGTTTGGAGCCACCAACAACTGCCCCAGTCGCGCGACAGGCCAGCGACAGCCGTAGTGCCTGGTTCAGTGGTAGGGGGGGCAGCCCACCATCAAGCAGCTTGACCCAAAGGTGCAGTATCCTAGGAGAGCTCGAGCCCTGGAGGCGCTAGGTAAATTTTAATGTTGCGCTCGGATGCCTGTTGCTGGCCTTGATTGCGGGACCAGTGGCGGTTTCCCGTAAGCACTCTCATCTGGCATTCGCTCCTCGCGTCTTTTACCTCCGGCGAGCTCTTTGTAGAGCTAGTGCCACTTGATTCTACTTCGAATGGAATAGCGGTATATCGGGTACGAAGCACGCTGTAACATCTTTGTCCCTGGCCCCCCCTGTCGAGCTCGATCTTGCCAAGTTTCTCAAATACTTCAGGTTGCTTCGGGCTGGCGCTTTCGGGCTGGCGCTTTCGGGCTGCCTCTGTGTCCTGTATTAGCGTACAAGCAAGCACAAGCACAAGTAATGTACAGGTGAGCCACACGTCCACCTGCAACGTCTGGCCCCGCCCAGAAATCAACGGCCCCCAAATGCCTGGAAAAGGCTCATCTAGGTCCTGTCTGCACGGGCAAAGGGAGGGGCAAGCTTAGTGAGGTAGTCGCTGTTCAACAGCATGAATGGTTGCCTGAGCAGCTAGAGCGTACATGATGCCCAAATAATATGCGGTTAGCTTTGCAGTATGTTTTGATAAAACAGAAAAAAAAAAAAGAAAAAAAAAATAGAGGAGGGGGGTAAGGGTGGGGGGAATAGAAGAAGAGAGAGAAGGGGTCAATGATGAAATTGCTGCACTTGAGCAGCCACGGAGTCAAGGGAGTGGTCCAGCACCCCCAGTAATAACGTATGTACCTTTTCAAGTACAGTACAGTACGAATTACTCGCCTGTGTCGTATATCGGTAGGTAGGTAGCGAGATGCAGAGAAAACCAGACGCCTTTGATCAGTCTAGGTAGGTAGTTTCTCAAGCATCGACACTGTCGCTACTGTCGCTACTGTCGCTACCTGGTCCCTTGGTAAACATCATATCTTCGTCTAGTATCTGACCGAAAGAACTAAGGGGGTTTTCATACCTGATAGGGACACGGGATGCCAGATAGCCACTCCCTATAATATTACCGGACTTCTCTCATTCGGCATCGCTCGTAGCCGGCCGTAGTCGCTTTTCCCTTTCGCTGTCTCGGCACATCTGACGCAGGGCCTGCTGAAGCAAGCAACCATGCACCTTGGTCTGGTTAGAGAAAGACCAGCGATTTGGAATGCGGATCAGCCTGGACCATCCCATCCATCGGCCCACCCTCCCGTCTGCTTGCTGAGTCCGAGTCCGTAAGTGAGGAATCCTGAACACTTGCACAAGCAGAGGTACTTTTCTGGTAGAACGGCACGGAGCACACGGGCGATCGACCCTTGCCGCTGTGCCTTTTCGTGGCGATTCTTGCAGCGTGTACAAGCGCAGTACCTTTGCGCTCGGTCTTGAAGAAAAGCGAGCAGGGGAGCAAGTTGGGTGTGGAGCCCTACAGGGCTGTGGTGCAGAGTAGCATCGTTCATTCACTTATACGTAATTGCATATGCACCTTGAGGGGCGTGGCTCTTCATCAAGAGCACATGCTGCCCCACTGCAAGGACTTGGCTTCTCGGGCACCTGCCGTTCGACACCCCCCTCCCCCATTCATTCTTTCGTCCCAAGCCCAAGAACTCTTTTTTACGTTCTTACAGGTCCAGTATGTATTTCCATCGCCAACCTGACTGACACCCCTACCGACTTTTTATTACCCTCTAGGCAGGCTCGCAGCGATATCCTGCTGTCCCGGCCCGTGTGAGTACATCGTCTATTCACTCGTCCCAAGACGAGTCTTCCTTTTTCGAAGAATCGTCATCTTCGGCATGGCCAAGCCCGTCCCCTTATTAACCAGTCCCCCTCCAGCAGCAGGTCACGGAAACACACAGACGTACTACGTAAATAGTATGCAGCCTCGACGTCCAATCACCCAGAGGAGAAATACCAAGGTTCTTCCACTTGCCTCTTCGCGCATTCAGCCCCCGACTCGCTGCTTTTGCCTGCCAGGGTTCGCTATCTCATCTTGTGACTGCCACGGACTGAAATGTCTCTTGTCGAGCCAGCTAGGACGTTTCATCTCCCACCTGCGTCCGGAGTACGAGCATGCAGTGCACTGTCATGATTCCCTTACTTCCTTTTGGCAGGCCAACCACTGCCTATCCCAGCATTGCATACATCTACATGCAGTTGTGCATGTACGGATTACGCGGGAGCCCTACCTGCCGTCTACAGTACGACGCAGTGCTCGCTCAAATGCCGTACCCCACGCGACCTTGCTGGCATTTGTTATTCGCCAAAGCCAGCCAGTGCCTGGCGATGCATCCAGCCTCTCCTGGACTGCAATGCACGGGGCCAAGGCGATCAATGCGATGGATTTTATTTAGCAACAGAGCGCCAAAAACGCAACAAAAACGCAGCTGCAACTTACAAAGCCTTCCATCTATTTACAATGCGGCTGTGCCTCATTGCCAGCAGAGCTAGACTCGAGTATGCCCCGTGGGCTCTAGCCTGCCGGACGGCTGTCGATCACTGGCCCTATCGTATAACCGTGCCACTCGACCCCGAGGATTTTGACCAGTGAGATTGCCCACGCCTCCCAAGCCCGTTCCCGTCCAGCCCCTTGTCATCTTGCTAGGCGGGTACGTGCTTGTGAGTAGGAAACTGGCGTTAGGCTCAGGTACAAAGGTACCGCGATGCACGGACTCGAGTCTATGGTACCTTACTGACTGAGGCGCCTGCAGCGTCAGATCAGGTACTTGTACCTAGTCGTACTTTCCGATGAATTTCGGACCAGACCCTGCTATTCTGCTAAAACCACTAACCTTGTAGTAGCTAAACGACGTATCCATGTCATGGAGCATAATAGCATCATCATACGCATAACAAATAACAACGACAGGCAAGCGTATTGCATCACGTGGGCAGTTCTTTTGCTCTCTTCCGCTTTTTCTCTTTTTTCCCTTGAGTAGCTTCATAACGCGATTTGAAATCGCCCACGTAGACCCCAGCCGTTTCTGGTCCCATGTCTGGTCCTGTTTATAGCTGAGACATTCTCAGGCCTGCTAACACGCGTAATGACAACATCGAACGCCAGCCGTACCCGAGAGCCCTACCTTAGTACCTTAGTACCTTAGTAGTACCTGTAGTAGGTAGTAAGTAGTGCGATGTCATGCTCTGGACGCTTGAACTTTAATTTAGTCGAAATTCACGGCTGCAAGCGCATGATCGTAATTGATCGAGGTTAACGAACCAGGCATGTATTTGTAGCTAGTCTGGAGAGGTGGAAAGGCGACAACCCTGCACGAACATCAATCAAATACGTGAGCAATATGTAGACGAGTAACGATTTCATTAACATTTTACTCCAACTCATGAACAAAGTGATTGTAGGCTCAACAGTGCCATCGTGTAATCATAATATGCCACCCTGTAGGAGGGCGCGTCTGAAGGGGGATTAAAGCCTAAAACAAAGGAAAGGGGAACAACCCGACAAAAGAAACAAAAACAAATACGTCCCTAGCAGTTCCTTCGCAACGGTGCAGACAGTTCCATCCCGTCTATGTACCTCTAGTTGTGTGTGCTCTAAACTGATCCCGTTTCTCCTATACCCTGGTATCATTGTCCCCAAGGTCTCGCTATTTGCCCGACACTTTGACCCGTAATTCATAATCCATCCATGAAACACCTTGAGTATACCGGCAAAGAGAAAGAAAGGAATAAAACAGTATTATACAAAGCCGCCGTCAGAAAATTTAATAAGGAGAAAGGATAAGCCGGTAAAGAGCAGTGAATCGAAGATCGCAGCCGAAACCCCCATCACCAACGATATGTCCGCGAATCATCGCCGTGACACAAGGAACCCCACTGACGAGCTTATCTAAGCTGGGTGAGAGACCGCAATACGGGCGGCGATTTGTGTGTCGCCTCCCTCCTCGTAGGTTAAAGCGAATGAATCACGGATTCGATGCGAAACTTGATTGAAAGACATCATGTTCAAGTGCTCCGTCGCTGCTTGCACTTGTCGTGTAGAAGGTGGCCGTTTCGCGCTGTGGTTCTGGTGAATTCGGCGCCGCAGTTGGGGCAGGTGGCTTTGGCTGCTTGGCCGGATTTCTCTCGCTGGTGTCGTAGGAGGTTGCTGAAAGTCGAAAACTGCCGTCCGTTGCATCCATGCTCCCAGCAACGTGGCTTTGGTCTGTTCTGTACCACACGAACGTGGCTAGAGCTATCTTGGCTGCTAGAGCTGCCAGCAGTAGATGCTCCGCTACCAGATTGCATGGCGGGCATGCGGTACACCATGCCGCCGTCTTGTCCCGCCGTCTGGATGGAGGAGTGGGAGATACTGTAGCCATGTTAGAATCCTGAATGACACACGCCACCAACGTTGGAAAGAACATACCTGTATGCATTTGAAGTAGCATAAGTGGGAGGGTATTCCACCGACATGGGATAGTTTGATGGCCTGTGTATATCAATTGTAAGCAACCATTGGCATTGACAGAAAATGTCTACTACTTACAAAGATTGTTGATATGGAGAAGCGAACGTCTGTTCCTGCATGTGTGGGCTGTAAGGGGGAAGGTACGACGGGTCGCTCAGTGCTGGAGCTGACTCGCTCAGGAGAGACATGGCCGGCGGCGCTGTTGTATAGATGGGGAGAGCCATGGTACTGGTGACATCGGACACTGACATCGGTGGCGAGCCCATGTATGAACTGCCGCTGCTGCTACCTCGTTGGATTCGTGTGGAAGCTCTCGAGTCTCGGCGGGCTCTGTCTCGTTGCTTCTTCAGTTCTCGCTGCTCGGGCGTAAGAATGCCCCTGGGAGGGCTTGCTGGAAGCGTCTTTGGCACACTTGGAGGAGAGACGCAGGATTCAGATACTGGGTGGAGAATCGACGAGAAGTCTTGCGCCATCATGGTAGATGTGGTGTTGTTAGATTCAAACATGCCTAGAGGAAATGGAGAGTTAGTGTCGCCTCGATTGCCGAGTCATGTGGAAGAGTTGACATACCTGGCCACGAAAATGCCGGCCTGGAGCCCACGCTGAAGGTCGGGTCGAACTGGATGGCAACGGCGCTGAGAAAAAACTGATTAGGCTCTACTCAGTAACATGAAGTGGTGAAGTTCTCTTACCTCATGCTGGTAGATACGGTGGCAGTTTAGACCTTTCGGCTAAGAAGACTTGGTGGATGACCTTCTTGTCCAATTATGCAAGAAGGTTGACAGGTGTAGGGAGAGAAGGAGAGAAGAAGAGAAGAAGTTGAGCTGAGGATCGGGCCTGGTTTTATAAAGCCAGGGTTCAAGTAAGACAGAGTAAGGCTGAAGCAGCTTCTGTGCCTTCACATAAGCAGCAGGCTGCGGTGGCGTGGGCTGTGACACACAGATTCGGGGGTGGGCAGCACGAGAGAATGGGAGAAGGCTCTGAAGGCAGCAGACGCTTTATTCAGCTGCTAAGCTTGGTGTAAGTGCTCCGATCAAAAAAGGAGCCGCTCAAGAGCGACGAATGGCATTATTAGGGAGGGCATATCATACAAGAATATTCGGTGGCATAGACCAGTAAGAAACCAAAAGTCGAGGCAGAAACAATGACGGTCTTGGACGCAGAGATGGCCAAGGAGAAGAAAACGAGCAGTCTTTGCCTTGCAGCTTTGCGTTGGGCGTCGCGTTTGCACACAGATTGCGGTGGTGAGAATTAGAGACGGCTAGAATAAGAAGTCTATCTTGGGATGAACGATCTGAGGCTCGGACGTTTGTTTTAGCAAGGACCAGACGACGGCTTATAAGAACGAAGCGCCATGGCAAAGCACGAGAGGTGGAGTTGATGTTCCCCGTTGGCCCAGGTGCATGACGAAGGGGGGCCTGGCAGCCCATCCAGACGGATGAGATTGAGGTACTCCCATGGCTGAGCGAACTAGCTCCAAGGCGTGCTGGTTCCAGGATGTCGACAGAACCACGCAAGGTACAAGTGCCAGTACAGAGTTGAACGAAGGGGGCGTGAGACGAGTGAGGACAGGGCCCTGGCACTGGGGTGTGCGGAGGCTGTGGGCATCCCGGCGCCATGCCTTGCAGGGTCTGGAGTTGTTAGATGGAAGCGTATATGCGGTAACAGGGGCTGCAGGGCAAGGCGGGAATGCTGTACAAGTATGCGAGTAGCGGGATGGTGGCATGTGGGCGGGCGGTGTATGCATATATGCGTAACTGCACACGCCTGGTCTGGAGTAGATTGCATGCAAGGTTGAGCTCAAGCGTCAGTCTTCGGGAGAGGAGGCGCGGGGGTGTCTTTGAGGGTGTGCAAATAGGCGAGCCTTAAGCCCTTTGGAAAGGCGTGGGGTCAAGCTCATCTGCATTTGTGGGTGTTGGTGTTGATGCTGAAGAAAATTGGGTGTGTGGATGCTGACGGCTTGGCGGCGCCGTTGTGGCATCTTCATTGCTAGGCTAACAAGGCCTGCCCTACCAGATGCCTGTGTGGTACCTGATTGGAACCAGCTTTGGGGCCTGTGCGATAATAAGCGCGTCGCACGGCGCTGCTTGTGCTGGACTTGTGGGCAAAAGGGCCCTCGAACGAGAATTAGAGCCAGATGTAGTTGGGCATCCCGCGGGCGTGAATGCTACTGTACTCTTACCTGGTGAGCAAAGAACACATCGGCACTTGCCTTGTCCGTCCAGCCGACACGCCAGCAGCATCTGAAGAAGAGGAGGGAGACAGGAGGAGGAAACATCGACAGGCGTGGAGGCAAGATGCAGACGCTGGGTCAAAGGCATGGAGTTGGGGTTGGAGTTGGAGTTGGGGGAGGACATGGGCAGCCACCCAAAAGCACGGAGTTCTGAGTTCGGGGTACGACGCTGGACTCCGTACATGTGCAAGCAAGCCAAAAGATCCTTGTCGCCTATCTGCTGCATGAGTGATAAGCCAACTCGCCCAGGGCGGAGCCGAACGCACTCATGGAGCCCGAGCAGATGGCAATAGCCGCTGCGCAATGCTAATGCAATGCTAGTCGCAGCAGTGCTTCGTACATGGTGGCAGTTCGCACAAGGCTCTTGTGGAAGCACAAGCACAAGCACAAGCACAAGCAGAGGCACAGGCACCGGCCCAGGCAGGGCGAGAAGCCTCGGGAGCCCGTCGCATGTAGATTCGGCCTACATGTACGGAGTACAGCACTGTACGAAGATGATGTAGGTACGCACGGGCATTACCGGGCAGAAAGGTCGCACCTAGTACGTCCATTCAGCTGCAAATCCAGACCAGACGGCAGATTCTGCTTCGGCCTGGTCGACTCAGGCCCAGACACGGATCTATCCTGTGAATCGCGAACTGGGCAACCCCATGGGTAGGTAGGCAGTATGGAGCATGTACAAGTAACGGAGCATATCTGCCCGAGTTGGGATCGGCAGATCATTCGAAGGGCACTCTAAAATGGCATTGGGCCACATCTCCTCGTGCAAGTAAGCCGGATGAAAGTTGCGTCTCGTACCTGTACCAGGCGCTGTCCAAGTATTGGCGGTTTCTGCAGCAGCGAAGAGAAGTCAGTACGTACCCCGTATCGCCAAGCAAAGGCCAATTCCAGAATGCTAGCCTACGGAGGTACGGAGCACTCTGGTTGCATTCCCTGGTCGAGATCTGTGCGGTTGGGGTGCTGTACAGAGTAAGCAATCCCATGATTGCGCGAGATTGGAGGCGGAAGTCCGTGAATGCAACCCCACCCCGGTACCTGCCTGCTGTTGGCTTCACGATAGGTGAAAGGCACCCAGTTCTGTCCATGTTGCAGGTGTTCACAGATAGTACGGCATAGTAGTGTTTGTCCAAGTGCCACCATCTAGAGGAGGAACTCGCACAGTAAGGGTCAGACGGCAGAAACAAGGACAGGGGCCCGCGTGGAGAGAAGAGGATATAGTACAGTACTGATCGAGTAGCTCGTATCTCGTACCTCTCGTAGCTGGTGTTTGTGAGACAATAAAAAAAAAAAAAAAGGCAGGGGTGGGGAGAAGAAAGCTAGCCGAGCCCGCGATGCGACGAGATGTGGTAAGGCGCGAGTACGGAGTACCTGAGGCAGCAAGCCTGTGCCGGCAGATGACCAAGTACCAAAGTACTCGTCCGAGCAGGCAGACGGGAAAACACACTGTAAGGTACCACGCACGCTGTGTGTCTCAACTCGCTGCTGCGCCCACTTGGAAATGGAAGTCTGGCTTCGGGACGCACCGCTTCTAGAAACAGCCACTGTTCATGGGCTGAATCCTGCATGCCCAAACTTGGAGTAAGACATAATTGGCACTCTCCAAGCCCCCAAGCGTTTAGACAGAGAGTTGCCAATTGCCTTTTTGCCTTGATTCATTGGGGCAATGCTACCTGCACATGTGGGCAACTGGCTCAGCCGTCGGCTTCGCACCGAGAGGGGATACTTGAAGTACCACTTGAAGTACTACGAGTACTACCTACCAATGTGCCCAGTCGAAAAAAGAACAAAGGTACCTAGGTACTATACCCTGCCCGATAGAGCGCTCTCTCGGTAGAAGAGTAGCGAGCAATACTGCTAGGTACTGCCCAGTCAGGTCATTCGTATACTAGGCCAATTACAGCGCGCCGATGAGGACAAGCGCTCAACCCGCCAACAGGCGCGGTGCAGGTTGTTGACGGCGCAGGATGCTACTACCTGGGTTGTCCGTCTCGGATACTTTGGTCCTGGCCCTCCAACGCGCCAAAGAACGGGACGACAGCCGGAGCTGTGCTTCGGACACTGCCTAAAGGGGACTCTACGCTGCCAAAGAGAGCGCTGGCGGCCAAAGATACGTAGTCTTTCCCTTTTGGGCAATTTGAAGCGCGGTCGCAAGTATCTTGTACTTGCCCTTCTGGTCGATCCGCCCCTGCCCTGCATCTGGTGAGTCAGTGCTAGACGAGATGCACTGTCACATCAACACCATCGCGCCGTCACTGTGCTGGTTATTTTTACGACTTCTTGGTTGTCCATCAACTCGAAACGGCCCAGTGCCAGCACACTGGCGCGCCTCCTGGCGACTCTGCCTTTCTAAAAATTCCCATCTGTTGTCTGACCCCCGAGCAAGCGGCCTATCGGCGACCACAGCCGCCGATTCGAAGCACAAACCCCCTTCAGGTGTCTTCAGCTCTGCATGCGGGAGGCGGCCCAACGCCAATCACAGGCCGCGATCGAGATGGATTCTGGCAACACATTCACTGCCACGGCCACCCTCAGCCCTGCGTCGCCAGACGAGGTCGGCGTCTATTCAACCCAATCGAGTCGGGACACAGCACGCTGGGCTGCTCCCCGCCTCAGGCTAGTCCCAGGCCACGACAAAAGATCATTGGCAGAGCGGTGCAAGCCACAGCCCTCTGATCAACGGCTGTCGACTGATGACTGGCTTTTGCGCATGGCCCCCAATCGGAAGATGACATCGTCACATCGGATGACCCCTTCTTGACACACAGTCCGCCTCTTCGCAAATCCATAGTGTCCCCCTCTAAGAGCGCCAGCCAGTCCCCCTTTGTCCTCCAACGGCCCCCTCGATTCTTGACGCTTGATGCCTGCAGTATGCTAGCACTTGTACTAGTAAACATCCCGGCTGTCCCTGGACTCGAATCCCCCATCGCCTAAGTCTCTCCCGAGCAGTTCGTGTTCTAGAGTCCAACAAGGTGCCGGCGCTAGATGACGACAAGAGTAAGCAAGATCGAGATGGATTCGTCAATTGACAAAGGCCATTGCTTCGATGACCGGGGCCTGATCTACCAGGGCTCATTTGAGAGGCGTGGAACGAAACGTGACTTGCATCGGCACAAGAACGCCTTATGGAGTGAAACTTGGTCAATGCACAAGATAGACACTGGTGCTTATGCTTTGCACCCCCAATACATGTGCAAGCAGCGATCTGGCCAGTCCATTTGCTTCAACAAGTTGCAAGTGTGGCAAACCAGTAACAAGAAACGCTCTTTCCAGCTCATATGCGGCGTCATATCCGGCTTGGCAGGACAGCGTCAATCTTGGATTCAGACTCCAGGTGGCAAGTTACCCCACGACTGGCCCGTACTCTCTCCCCTCGAGCTCCAAAGTCATGAAGTCACTTTGTGCATTTGTGTTACTGCTTCCAGTCCTGGATTGGTACGAGCACATCCTGGCCCATGGCAGAGCCGTGAGCCAGCATGAGCCGTGAATATCACCTTTCAGGACGAAGGATTCATGCATCTACTGGTACTCTTGTAAAGACACAATGCTTGAAGCTACCAGCGCTACCGGAACCTGGATAGCCGGGCCTCCATACCTCGCTTGCGAGCACTGCCAGGTATACCTGGGGATCTTGCTCTGTAATCAAGTTGGCTTTTGTTGGTCTCCATATTTTTGAGTCAATTTAGCAACTGTAATGGCATCCTTTGACTGTGCTCTACGGGGTTGGCAGCTTAGACTGACGAGCATAAACAACGACCCATTATACCGGACTCAGCCTCCATGTCATGGTTCGTTGCGGAGAGGTCCGTAGCGTCAATCAGTCAATCAACTGGATTCGTTTCTAAGCCGATTCTGGTGACTTGTGTCGCTGTGCTGGCTCCGCTTTGCTACGGGGCATGCTAAGACTCTCATTGCTCCATTGAACTACTCAGGTCGCTGATCAAGTTGTCGAATCATACATAGTACTTGTGCCTTTGGGTTGCATTTGTCTCAAAGTATGTTTGCCCCCTCTTCCTTTCTCTTCCTCTTGGACTTCAGGGTTAGCCTATGCGTATAAGTATTACCTGGACGTCAGAATAAGAACTGCTGACACTGTGTTTCATCCTGGATTGTATTGTGGGGTTTATCGAAAACCACGTTTTATTTTTCGGTCCCGAGAGCAGGGTAATGCGTGCCCGCTGCTCTCCGACACGGACATGACGACGAATTTGCAAGGCCGGGAATTCAGGGTCTCGCTGCAATCATGTTTTCTATCCATTCATGTCAATGGCCACGCGAAACGATGTTCCATTGGGAATTGGGGGCCGGAAAGAGATAGATGCAGGTTACAGGTTGGCCCAGCTCTTAGTGTCTACAATCAGCAGGCGAGACATTTGCGACATTTTCTCGGCCAATGACCGCAGCATCATGACTAGATCTAAAGGAAAAGAAGGCAATTCTCAACAAGTTGGTTCAGAGACGACCTAACCAACACGCCCGAGCTGCAGAAAGCGATTTTGACAAGAGATCCACAGCTAATTTGGCTTGCAGGAAACCGTACATTTCTATTAGGTCAGGCGGTACGTCTTCGTACGCGGTACCTGCTATGAGAAGTTCTGGTCGAGGGGCGTGTGAGAATGGTCAAGCAAAATGCGATTATCCAATTTGATCGACGACTAGGGGAACCCCAGCCGGGCAATGTCTCAACACACCCCCTTGCCTTATCCTATACCACGCCCTCGCGTGCTTTTGAGAACGTGCCACATGCAACATCATCTCGTGGACTCGCCAGGCCCTGGTCCGGTTGACATCTGTCACACCATGACTGCTTGCTGCACGCCGCCGGAAAGGGCATCTTTCTATACGAAAATGGGTTAGACACTGGTACAGTAAGAGGACAGGGTTGGCTGGCCAGCTCCTGGCTGTTCGGGATTCGTTCGTAACTCCAGCCATACAGGCGCCGGCATTCTTTCTCACTTCATTTTCCAAATCTTGGCCGGTGAGGCACAGGACAAGGTTTGCGAAAAAGAGCGGAGAGAAGATGGCCACTTGTACTAAGCATAGGGCACGCAGTCGCACGGCATGGTCAGCGCAAAACACTAGGGCGGCGATATACGCAATTCTCCGTCGCATAGTGGTTGGCTGGCTGACCCCCTTTGCTGTTAGCGGAGATTTTGTATTCCTCTGCTACAATTCCTAGGAGCGTATTCCCCGGAGTTTGGGCCACTGGCTGACGAACATGCATACCCCTTCACAGAGGGTCTAGCCTGGTGACTGTTGATCGAGGTGAACTCCATGCGCATGTTTTTTTTTTATTATTATCGTCTAGTGAAGGGTTGTCTGTATTGCCCTGCATATTTTTTAATACTTGGATGGCTATGAAGGTCAACAGTCGACAGGGGGCAAAATGATCTATCTGCGTCCAGGAGCAGGATTCCAGCAGGCCCATGGCTTTTCTCTGGAAGCTGTCCATCCGTTTTTCCTTTTAGCATTTCCCCGAAAGACGGCCTATTCGTAATAGCACTTCAGACTAACAAGGAGGGAGAGGCTTGCCCTGTCTGTATGGCGCTTGGGTCGGAGCAACTCTAAACTTTGAGCATTCTGCTATTTGTCAGGGCACAAAGCCGAAGACATGTTATCGGCAGCAGATTGGGCCGTCTCTGTCTGCCCCCTTACATGGAACCAGAGAAGCACGGAGGGTGAAGAAGCCTCTGCGGGCCGAAAGCTAACAAAGCCACCCGGATTTCGGAATGCGCCCCCCACCGAGCAACTGATAGCATCGTATGAGATGCCCGGTTAGACCGCGGGATCCGGAGCAGCGGGGGACACGACAACCGGGTTTCTGGGGACACAAACGCCTGGCGCCGCTCTGCTCTCAAAGCAAAAGTGGTCACAGAAGGGACTCACTACCATGGGCATCGATAGAAAGGGCCAATGGGAGCTTCGGGGCGGGCAGATTCAACCAGTCTAGGTGGTCCTTTCGGGCCGGGGACTAGATGGCTTAGGGGCAACGCTGGGGTTAGCTTCATTCTTCATTCTTCCCTGACAGTGCATCGGAGCGGCAGCTCCTTCGTCAGACGCCGGGATAGATGCGATACCCGCCCCAAGCAGGACGAGGAGGGGGGGCTGCTGGCGTTTACTCATCCACTCACCAAGTCTGAAGTTGACGATGGCTGCGGTACCTCGTCGTGATCTGTGTCATGACACTGGCACGCGAGCCAGCTAACACGCACCAAGGCCCAACGAGCAAGATTCTGCCTTGTTGTGACAAGCTTGATGGCGCCAGATCTTTACAAGGCGACGCCACTAGGCTGTGGCTTGAGGGCTGCCAGACGCCCAAGTCTCCAGGAGCCTTCTCCTTACCCTTGATGCCCGGTCCCCCTACTGTGCTGCTTGTGCAGTTACGCATCGCCGCACTGCTTCGCCTTCCTGTATTTGCTTAAGTTTGGGACGAGATGGCGCTTACACGCGCCTCCCTCGATGATCATAGGCTAGTGGAAGACCGTCTCTGCCAGTCCGGATCGCACATCACCTCAATGCCAAATGCGTTTAGGGGATAAACATGACAGCATATGACCACCAAGTTTGAAGTACCAACGTCATACCCTTATCGACTACCATCTATGAATTCAAGTTTAGAAACTACTATTCTGCATGGCGGCACAGAAGGGAGGCGGGGGCCGAGAAATCGCCAAGAACTAAGGCACATGAGCTTGAGGTATCAAAGTTTGAATGTTCTCCCATCGCAGCGCTATGATGCCATGGAAAGGTAACTCTATGTGCAATGTCCGAAGAATTTCGGCATCTCTATCCGTACGACTGGCGTTGTTATAACCTTCTTTGGCGGGAGGGGGGATTGATGTGTTTTTCTTTTTTATTATTATTGCTGCCACGTGGGGTAGCGGGCGCAGTGCTACAGTAAGTACTCCATTTGTTCGGAGAAGTTGATGCTGAATAACCTTCCCACGAGATTGGCATGTCCCCCCACAATCACAATTAAGAAATGAATCCAACGAGGCTTGGAAGCGACAGAAAGTCACATTGGCCGCAGCCTTGTCCATGCGCATCGGGTTTAAAAAAGCAACTGCCAGAGCCAACCGCCATCAGGACGGAAATGACAATCTTGTGATCTATCAAAAGATAAAGGGAAAATACAAAGTACGTCGCATTGGTCAACTCGACAGATAGCGAGACCCAACGGCCAGCTCGAGGTGCTGACTGGCGCAGAATGAGTAGACTACCAGTTTGGGGAAAAACGCACCGCTGCAGCTTACAAGTGGTACCTGTATGTATACGAGTGTTTGTGGGGATGGGAAAAGAAGAGAAGAAAGTCTGAGACAGGGGAGACAGGGACTTCGGGGATTCAGCAGGCAGGGGGTGCGAATATCAAGCGTCAACACACGGCGGAGTGAGGTGAGTGAGAGCACAGCGAGTACCCCGTATGGTTTACTTGAATATCTAGATTGCTGCAAGGGTTCGGGGCGCCACAGACGTAGGTAAGGCTATATGCAACTATATGGCATGGCTCTCGGGTGGCACGAAGCTTCTGCTTCGTTTTCGTGCCCGTCCCAAAGAGGAAATGGCCGAGTTTAGAAAGACTCATAACTTGGGAGCCTGGAGCTTAAAGCAAGAGGGGAGCAATTGATTACGAAACGACGACGTACTTTCACACGTATGTGTGTGCGAGGCTATGGGAGAATAGCGAAAGCGATGGCGAAAAGAAGGAAAGCTGCTGGAATTCACAGCGTCGTGACTCAGATGCCATTTGTCGGCAAAGGGCCGATTGCACGCTTGTATTCGCTTCTATCGCTGATTCTCCTACATACTCGCATATACAGCATGGCTGGGCCGACCAGGGGGTGTCTCTGGAAGTGAGGCGTTCTGATTCGACCCGTCGGCTTGTCTCACTCACTTGTCGCAGCCTTGAGATAGAAACCCCGACATTTCTGTATGAAGAAAGCCTGCCTTACGAGTCACAAGAGCGGTCGATAGATAAGACAAGCTGTCCAATTGAACGGATATGTCGGGGGCTGGCTGGGCAAGTGTTTTCCCATAGTAGCCTACAGGGAGAGGACACTTGTTTGATCGTTTGTGTATCGTTTCTCTTCTCACCTATCATTGGTCGGATGGGTTTTATTTGCTGCCCTTCTTTTCCTCATGTTCTGTCTTCCTTCCCCCCCTTCTTTGTTGCCGAAGCCCGATTGTAAGAAATTAAGAATGGTGCAACAATTGGCTGACACCGAAAGCTGAGAATACATTACGTCGCTGCGTCGGTGAGCCGAAAGGAGGTAAAAAAGGCAAACGGGAGGCTTTGGGGCTTTTTTTGTCCCCCTTCTTCATTGCCACCGGACAGTGTCTCTCTCTCTCCTTTGAAAGTGAGCTTCGATGCGACATAAGCATGCATTACATGATACGGGAGGTGTACAAGCCAAAACGAATAAGGCGAGCGCGGACTCGGGGTGATTATGGATGGAGGGGCATCTTGCCTTAGGCTCTATTCGGGTGTGGCTGCGAGGGCGAGGCGAAGGGCGAGTCCAGATGAGGCGATGCGATTCGATGCGAGGCGTCTGGTCTTGGCTACCGAAGCGTTTTAATTTACGGCTTCTGCCTTGGCTGCCTTGAAAGTTGTCGCCTTGCTTGGGATGGGATGGGATGGGGATGCTTAGGGTAGGTAGGTTTTGAGGACTTGAGGATGATTTGTGTTTTTGTGAAGTGCTCAATTACTGTGTTTGCGAGGCGACGATGCATGAAACAAGTCCAAATGCCCGCTTGGCTAAGCGGTATAGCGTGTCACTAGTAATAACTTGACATGACAAGGTGATCAGTTCGACTCTGATAGTGGGCAAATTCTTTTTTTTTGGTTGGTTTCCTTATTTTTGCTATCTAGTCTACTTTGTATCTGCTTGTGATACTCGGTATTATTGTTGCCTTTACAATTCGTGCTCAAGCAGGGGAAATACACAGCAGCGTGTGTAGATGTAGATCAACGAGGATGCTGTTACAAGATGAGACATCTGGGCTGTGCTCATCGGATGATGCTCACTCTCACTCGGTCCTACAGCTGCTCGTGATGATCATGTCGAGCAAACAAGTGTCCTCATGACTCAACATGCTGCGGCCTATTTTTCGCGTGTCCCGTCTACGTCATTCCGCCTGGGCCGCAGCAAAGACAAAAAATCTCAACGTGTTCAGCTCAGCTCTCCCGTTTGCTCCAATTTACCCAGGCTTCAAGGGGGTTATGTAAGCACAAAGGACCACCAGACCCAGATTCAGTGATCATGAGCCCCCCGAGAAAAAAGGCGGGGTGGGCAAAAGAGAGAGGGAGAAGAGGCTAAAACGAAAATGAAAAGAGTCCCGCAAATTGCCCCTCGCGCTGCTAAACTGAGGTTGACAGATGGTGCCGCGACTTTTTGGCGATTGTCAAACTTGGGGGGAGCTAAAAGAGGAATATAATAAAGAAGGGAAAAGGAAAACGTGGCCGGATGATGGTGTTTTGAGCTACAGCTGGCATCTTCTTTTCCTTTGTGCTGTTGACTGGTATTTTGTTTTTATGTTTTTGGATATAAGTATAAATATATTGGCAGTTGCCGTTTTTGAAAGCGGGTTTTTGCTTTGCCTTACGTTGCGGTTAAACCTTTTCCTTTTAGCTTCAGCTTCTGTTTGCGGTTTTTGGCTCTTGCATCTTTATCCGAGATAGCTACAAACGACGAAAGCCGACGAACTGCGATACGAAAAGAAGAAAACGCTGGGCTTCTTTCTGGCACTCTGTTTCTTGCTGTTGTTGCGCTTTTGATAGCCTGCGACGACGAAACATACACCCTTGCTGCCCCTTCGTACCGATCGAGACACCGAAGAGGACCGAAAGGCCGAGACGAACAGATACAACGCGCACGCGTTTGCGTTTTTTTCCCTCTTTCGTCTCCTCGCTCTCCTCTCGATATATATACATAAAACACATACATTACATTATATAACTGCATCATGTCAAACTTCTTCGTCGAGCTCTGGGACGGCATCTTCACGCCCGGCCCCACGCCCACCATCCTCAAGGCCACAAACATCACCTTTGCCGCCCTCCAGGTCGTCCTGCTGTCCCTCCTGTTCGCGACGTACAGCGTGCACTTTGTCGTGCTGTCGGTGCTCTGCGGCGGGCTGTGGTGGTCCATCAACTGGTTCGCGCGCGAGCTGCGGATCGCACAGGCCCTCGAGGAGGAGAAGAAGCAGAAGCAGCAGAAGCAGAAGCCGGCGCCCGTCGTCGCGGGCGAGGTGTCCGGGTCGAGCGACACGGAGGTTGAGGGCCGGGTGACGCGGCGGAGCGCGAGGATCAAGAAGAGCGCCGCCTCCGCCTCCGCCGCTGCGGCTGCGGCTGCGGATGTCGAGCCCGTGGAGAAGAGGGGGGAGCTGAAGCAGCGGCCGTTGACGGAGTCAGTGTCGAGTGTGAGCACTGAGGATGAGTGGGAGCGGGTGTCTGAGAATGAGAGGGAGAGGAAGTGATGGGAGTTACTTTCACGGCATCGTATACCGTGGGCTCTTTGTGAACAAGCTTCCCTTCTATCTCTGGGCGTGTGTCTCCCTCCGTGTACTAAAGGGAGCTCCGCCGTGTGTACATATAACTGATCACTGTTGTAAGATACATGTGAATCTGACAAGCAACGTCATATGACGAACTGCATCCGTCTTCGTACGATGTTGGTCTTGATATGCTGGTACTGCCACTTCGTAGTTATGCCACTGCCCTTGATAACCAAGTCGCTTTCAATACCATGAGAAATTGATCTCTTTCTAAACTCTAAACTCTATAATCCATATAAATCAAGTTTTTTAACGGAAACAAAGAATCGAAAAGGTAAAAAAATAAATGGGGTTAAAAACAACATGTAACAAGAAGAGAAAATTCGCATCGCCCCTTTCTCCACGCTTCTCAAACAAAAACAACAAAAGATATCCTCCTCGCATCATCATCATCCCCTTTCTCGAAAGAAGCCACAAGAGAACAAACCATAAGGCTAGGATTAGAGACGTGTGGTCTTTCACAATTTCCGTAGCTTCTGCGTCATCCGGGCCGCAACCAGGGTGCTCATGGCGCCGATGAACAGACAAACCGCAATGGCATTCGTGCCTTCGCCAGCGTCCTGCCCGACGGCGTCTTCGTGCAGCTCGGGGCTCTTGCCGGGCTCGAGGATGGCGAAGACAATGGTGGAGATGAAGGTGCCGATGAACTGCGGGAGGGTGGTGTAGATGTTGAGGATGCCAAAGTAGATGCCGGACAGCTCGCCTGACGAGGAAGATGAGGAAGAGGTGGAGGGGCGGGAGGAGGAGCGTGATGAAGGGAGGCCGGCGGATGGATCGTGGGCGCCGCTGAGCTTGTTGACTTCGATGCCGAGGAAGGCTGTTGGAGCCCACATTGCGATGGCCCATGGTCTAGAGAAAGTTAGCTGATTGCCCCCTTGGATGGAAGACTAAATCTCGGGGGTGAATGACTTACACGCCACATAGACACATGAGAAACGTGGCAGATACAAGGCTCCTCGCCAGGGGAGCCATAAACATGGCCGCCGAGAACATCAAGTGGCCGCAGATCCAGGCCGTCAACAGGTCCGGCTTCATGGCGTTGAGCTTCTCGAGGAATCCAGCCATGACCCGCGGCGGCCGGTGCGTGTAGCTATCGTCAGCAGGAGAGCGCACAACCATGGGCAGGAAGAAGGCTCCGACGAAGCTGACGGTCGAATAGATCATCAACGCCGCACTGCCAATGCGTCCAATGTCGCCCAGCGTATCAGCCGACTTCTTGGCGCCCGGCGGCATGTCGTAGCGAAAATACGTCTCGCCGACCCAGGTGGTGCTGTAGAAGAGAAACGGGAACCAGCCGATCCAGGACCAGAACTGGGCCCAGCAGATGGCCTGCACGCGCGGAGGCAGCGTCAGCAGCGTGGAGCGAATCTGGCGGAAGACGCTCAGGGGGTCGTCGAGGTGTTTCCTGTCGTGGTCCTTGTCCGTGACGAGGACGCGCTCCGTCACGGCCCAGCAGGTGACGGACGTGGTGCCGAGGATGGCCATGGCGGCGATGACGGTGAGCTGCTTGAACTGCGAGTCGCCGAACCCGGGGCCTAGCAGATGGACGAGGTCGATGGACCCGGCGCCGTAGCCGATCATGTGGCCGATGGCGTTCATGCGGCTGCCTGTGAGGAGAAGTTCAGCTTTTGATCATGGTTCAAGAGAAGTGAGTTGAACAAAGGTGAGAGAGGGAGGAAATCATTGGTACTAACCCCAGGCGGCTCCGGCCTGCTGCTTCTCAATGGGAAGCGTATCGACGATGAGGCTCCTCGCACACGACATGACTAGACAGAACCAGCAAAATCATCAGCTCCAAACCCCTCCTCTCTTCACAAAACAAAACAAAGACAAAAAGGAAGAGAATGTTTTCCCATACTCGCATTAATGGCAAAGTCCACGGCGTAAATCGCCGCCACCGCCAACACAATCGTCGTCCTCCTCGTCGCATCGCTCCCCGCATCACCGCCAAGATATCCCACAATCTCCCGCGTAAAGCCCAGCACCAGCAGACACGCAGACACAACCACCGCGCCGACCATCATCAGCGGCCGCCGGCGGCCCCAGCGCGACGTGCTCTCATCGGCCACGACGCCGACGATGGGCTGCACGATGAGGCCGGACAGCGGGCCTGCGATCCAGACGAGCGACGTGTTGCTTTTGGTGAGGCCCAGGTTGAGGAGGTAGGGCGTGCAGTCTGGGCGGATTGTGTTAGCTTGTGACAAAGAAAACAAAGAAACATCATCTAGCTGAATGAGATCGATTTCTCATCCCGCTGAGAAAGAAGACTTACAAGTCATCTCAATGCCCCATGTAAACCTGCATGCACCCGCCAAAAACGCGTCAGCAACTGAACGGAAACCATGACTCTCACCAACCTCAACCTCACCACCCTTTTCAACCCATTTCCAAAAAAATAAAATAAAATAAAAAAATAAAATAAAATAAAAAACTCACGTAATACCAATCGTGCAAAATGTCAACAACACCATCTGCATCGTCTCCGAACCGCCCCGAATCGAAGCCCGTCCGACCAGCGAAGACGCCATCGTGGCCGCAAGTAAGTCTAATCTTACCCAAATAAAAAACCCCCCCTAATAAAAAGAAACAGAGAAAAAAAGAATGTCCAGTATCGTCGCGTGCCCGCTAATTCAGTCGAAGGATTCTCTTAACAATCGGCCTCGTAAATTGCATTGCTATTTAATATCGCTATCATGATTTTCTTTTTTTTTTTTATTAAAAAAAAAAAAAATTCCTCAAACCTGTTGTTTTGTTGTGATGGTTATTCTCTTCTCTCTCCCCCTTCTCTTTTTTTTCTCAGTCTGGGCGACAATGCCTGGTAAAAAGAGAAAGGGGGTAATAAATCCGCTTCTGTCGCGTCTCTTCTCCCCCAGCACGGCTATTAATAGCCCCCTGTGAGACCCAGAGCCTCTCGTCTCGTTCTAGACTCGAAACAGCCATGGGGGTCAGTCTCGTATCGCAGCGTCACTGCGGGAGAACCTCGTAACATAGACCCATTCTGGTGTCTGTTTCACGCTCGTGTTGTCTTGGTCTCATCTTGGCCTCATCTTGGCCTGAGGCTGTCCATTTCTTATCGCAGCTTTCTAAGCAAGTCATGCTTGTTGTACAGTCGATTACTATCAAGCGCTCAGCAAGCTCGAGCCATGTTCGTACAAAAATAAATCGTGTCATGGTATCTTTCGGCTCAGATCTGTCTACTTCGTGCTGTGACATGGTAGGACATGTAAACCCCTACAATCGTCGTCTCTCTTCCATTATGCCACTTGCTTTCTCACACGCCTTACACCGGGTCACGTTGCCCAACGCCTTTAAATCCGACAAGACAAATCGAGTGCCAAAAGAAGAAACAAATAGCAACAAAAGCTCGTCCTCTCAAGGAGCCGCAATCCGAATCCCCTCCTTCCAACACAAGCATCCCTTGGCTCTAGCTCCATCATGGAAAAAAAAAAAAAAAAAAAAAAAAAAAAAAAAATATTCGACAGCTTAGCAAAAAAGACGACAAGGGAGGAAAGCAGTGACAGGCTGAAAGGAAAATCCATTGTGCAGCTGCTATGCTTCTTCAAATGCAAAGTGGTGTCGAGAAGAAGAAGGAGAGAAAATGAAGGCTTCATGAAATAAAAGAGAAGACAAACAGAAAAAAAAAAAAATGAAAAAAGAACGCCTAGTTGCTTTCCCATCCCTCCTCAATGCCTTGGTTATTGTGTACACGTGCATCTGCTCGATGCTGATCCCGGTTTCCATGACTAGTAAAAAGCAAATCCCGTCGCTTCGTCTTTTGTTCGTTTTGTCTGCCTCGCGCCAACGCCGTGGTTAAAAGTTCAATTACGCACTCTCTATGAGTCGGCCAATTTGGCAAAATGCTTGGACCAAATCCAGCCAACCTGGTCCGTTGGGTCGTCTTGATTCTTTGCAAGCCAGAGCTCGCCCTTTTCCGCAATCACGTCAAAAATCTGTCAACCGCAATATTAGCATGATTTGTTACACCATGTGTTCCGCGTTTGGGCTATCGGAGACATACCTCGCCGGCCTGATATGTCAGGTAAGGATACCCGGCCTCATGCTTTGTTGTAGAGATGTTAAACTCAAAGAGCGATGCTGCCAGCCACAGCACATTGTATCCATCAGAAGCATGCGCTCGCTCTCGCGATGACGCCCTAGACGATCGCTGACTCTCTTCGGGGCCGTCTGGGAGAGGTAGAGCAGAGTGAAATAGATTGGAGAATCTACGACTGTCATGTTGATGATAGCTGGAATAATATGTGTTGCCCGAGTCTCGTCGGGTGTGAGGTGCCGACTCTGTACTCTGTCTCGGCATCGCAACTGCCGACGAATCGAAGCTCTTGCCTGTACTCGGTCGCGTGCCGCCAAGCGATCGGGAGCCTGCTGGCACCTCAGCCGATCTCGGCGATGCCATTCCTGCCTGGCTACTGTTTGACAGGCCGGCATAATAGTCTCTATAATAGTATTGGTGAGGACTAGGAGCCGTCGCCCCGAAGCCGCTGGACGGCCCAGCAGTAATGGGAGAAAGGGTAAACGAGCCGCTATGTCGTTTGCCAAAATCAGGCGCTGGTAGAGAGGGTGCTGATTCGCCATTCACGGACTGACTCCATGCTCTGTTCTCTGCCTCTGATGTTCGGCCCCTAGTTCTGGGAAGACTGTCGTCTCCATTCATGGTCGATACAGACGTTCGCCCATGGTAGGCCGGGTTTATGATGCCAATGTTGGCCATCATCTCGTTTGCATAAGGAAAGTCTCTGTCGAAAGTTGCCACGATTTCCTCTATATCTGGCATTTCGGGTGCGTCTGCTAGAACGGCCCTCATCTTTTCCCTCCATATCAGGTACCAATTGGCCTGGATGTTGATGAGGTTGCCCAGGCAAATGTTTCCCACCTTCTCCGTCAACGCCGACAGCTTTGGAAGCTCCTTAATCAACGTGTCGTTGAGAGCCTCGTACTGCTCAACAAGCTCCTTGAGCTTGGGGTCCACGCTCTTGCCTGCCTTCTTTAGCTGCTCTGCACGTTCCCATACGACTCGGCGCTTTTGCCTCTTCTTCATCGCCAACGAGGGGTTGCCGTAAGACTTGATGACATGCTCAAAGGGCTCGATGACATGCTTTCGTATTTGTGCCAACTAGAATGAAAATCAGTACAATCGTCCTGTCAAGTGATGTTACCGATAGGGGGCCTTACGTGCTGCTCGAGCGCCACTTTTTCAATGTCGCGAATCGAAATGTTAAACTGAACCCACTTGCTTTCCAGCTCGGGGAAGCTGCCTGGCTGGAGCCGCATGACCAGCTCAATCGCTGACAGATATTGCAGAAACTCGTGTACGTACGATGACACTTGCCTGGTGTAGAACTCGACATCGCGCAAAACGACCTGTAGCCGCAGATAATCATCGCTAAATCTCTCCTCAAGCTTGACATATTCAGGATCCTCGGGCGGTCGAGTACCACCTTGCAGCTTGTCTACCTTCTTGCCAAAGGCTCGAGCAAGTCCCGCTTTCACGTCGGACTCCTTACGTTTTCTACCGACGATTTGTCCGACTAGCTCAAAGTTCTTCTTCGTCTTGTTGATCTCGATAATGGCTTCTTCAAGCGCCTCTTTAGCCGCCACAAGTGGCTCTCGATCAGGATGGTCCTGGGGAGTGTGTTGCAGGAGTGTCATGATCAGATTTGGGTACTTTGTGATTCGCTGCATGGGTTTAATAAGAAGTGAATCCAAGTCCCAGGCGGCCGTCAGATCCTTGGCTACCTCATTGCACTCGTTCAGCCATATTTGAACCGTCGGATCCTGCTGGATCTGGATGAGTTTCTTTGCCGCCTGGTCGCTGTTTCTTAAGAACCCCTCATGAGCAAGCTTCATCTTCTCCATGCTAGCTTGGAATGTCGGACCAAGCGACGTTTCGCGGTCCTTGGCGTCGCTAAGGTCGACAATGGATGTCTGGCTTTGTTCAGAGTAGAGCGAATCCTCTCTAGCGACGAGGGACCGGCCACTCTTCGGCACATATATGCTGGCCACCGCCTCCTTGAGTAGGACGAGGAATGAGGTATGGAACTCAATGATCTCGTCGCTGTTCCGGAAGATAAGCTTGACTATCTTCGCATCCAGCTTGGGGCAAGCCTCCGCGGTGCCTTTATAAATCTCTTCTACAATGTTCATGTCTCTTACGAAGATTGCCTCGGTGTCAACAAGCTCTTTGATGACGTTTCGTCTCTGGATCAGGCGATGCCTCTCTTCGCTGCTCAGGTCCTCTGCTTCCTGGATGAACGACTTGGCATCGCTGTCTGCAGGGGGGCGGCCCTCAAAGTACTGGTCCATAGTCTCCATCGAGGTCATGTCCATCATCGACAGAGGAGTTTCCGAGTGATGGGACACGTACTCACCACTTCCGCGTTCAGAGTTGACCAAGGTGCTACCATACTGAGACTGCTCATAAAATACACTTGACGTTTGCGATTCGATGGCTGAGTTCCGTCCAGAGCGTGGAAGGGGTGGTGGTTCGTGTTTGGGGGACGATTGATATGAAAAGTCAGAAGCCGCCTCTGCAGATAAGTAAGGGATCGAGAAGCCTTCGCCCGTGTCTAGTTCCGGGAGCTGCTGGCCAAGTTGAATCGACGACCGTGTCGAGTCGACAGAAGGGCGGACACCAGCTCCGTTGTAGGAGAAGCTTCTGATGGAAGAATCGTCTCTTCCAGATGACCCACCAGATAGCTTCCATGAAGCCGCTCGCATAACAGGTGACTCTGAGGCTTCTGAGTGTCCCATACTCTCCACAGAGACGTTCGTCCATGCGGTTTGATGGCTTGACCTGTCGGCCCGAGATATCGAAGGAGGCGCCAAAAGTTTGTTTGGTGGGCCCGCATCAATCTGCTCATCATGCGAAGGATATAGAAGGTCATCAAAGGTTTCTATGTCCGATGATGCACATGTAGAGGCCCTGTTCGACGAGAGAGGGCCGCCGTAGCGGTATGGGGACCGCCCATCCTCCATCCCATCTCGGTCGTCTGTCTCTTCGGTACAGGCATCCGTGGCGGCATCGTCGACATCAGCACGCATGCGGCGAGCCATTGCCGGAACGCTTTCTAAGTCTGAGTGGCAGTCTGATTCATCTTGAATATCCAGTCGGGGAAAAGACGCCGCCCGCGCAGTCTCCTCGGCAGCAGGGGGCTCGCGTGAAGGCTGCGGCAGTATCGTCACAATGGTTTGGTAATCTTGGTGCGCATGGGGCTCAAAGGAGTCCTCCTGAGGCTCATTGTCGTAATAAGCGTCAGGGATAAACTGCTGGCCGGTATGGCTATCTTGGCTGATGTGATGAGTCGTAGGGCGCGGCCGTGGCGGCGATGATGGAAAGTCGTCGTCCTCAAAGGGGCTTCGGTACTGAGAGGGTTCCCTGGTCGGCACTATTATTTGGGGACTGAGCGGCCGATCGGACATAGTCAGGTCGGAAAGCTCTGCCTGGGGCTCAATATCAAACTCGGTAACAGCAGAGGTTGCTGAAATGGTTGACAGAGGCCGTTGCTTTCTTGCTACGTTAGCGGACGGTGAAGGTTCAGGGAAGCTTCCGGGGATGCCCAGCGTCGGCGAATCATCACCCTTGCCAGGAGCTGGGTGTGAGGCTGCATCTGTCGGGATTTCCAGAAGGGTTTCGCGGTTGTTCTCCACAGCAGCACGAGGGTCATGATCAGCTGGGAGCTCCACGGCCGGCTCCTTCGCCGAGGAGCTTTCAGCCGGCCCTGTCTCTGCCTCTACCTCTCGATTTACATGGTCTTCTGCTGGCTCGTTACCTGGAGCTTCTTCCTCCCCAGCGGTCACCGTGGTAGGTGAAGTCGTAGTCGTAGTTGTAGTTGTAGTTGTAGTTGTAGTTGTATCTGCATCTGGAGCAGTAGTTGTAGTCAGGGTGGCCTCAGCTTTGGACTTGGCCTCCTCCATCTGCTTCCGCCTCCTCTCCACCGCTCTTTGGCGCACCTCGTAGGCCTGGCTTTCGCGAATGGTCTTGGTATATGCCAGTCGAATGTGCTCTCGACGCTGTTCAAAGTCTATAGGTCCAACAGCTATTATCTTACGCTTCGCCGGGTCGTACGTCTTTGACGAGGAAGGGGTGTCCCTCGCATTTGGACGTGCAGGGGCCTTCGCCTTGGCCGCTTCTTTCATTCGGGAGCTTGCTGTTGTCGCTACGGATACTGGCTGTCGTGGACGAGAGCTCCTCAAGGGCGGTGAAAGCTTGGGTGGCGCGGTGGACACGTACGCCTGGAGCCGATTGTTGCTATTACTTGGTGTAACCAGGCCCTGGGGAGGTTGTTTTCGGCCGGTCTGCGTGGGCGTTTTCGCTCGACTCGTAGAGGGGTTCGGCCTGGATTGTCTGCTACTACTACGACCATTGACTGGCGGTCTCCTAAAGGTAGAGGGTGAATTCGATCGTGAGGAAGTGGGACTGGAGTTGGTTGGGCTCGCCAGCCTCCTGCTGATGGAAACAGGTAGTTTGGAGCTGGTACCTGCTGACGCGTGCGTGGCCGAGTTGGCAGTGGCCTCTGCTGCTGCAACAGCCGTCGCCGTCACCGTGGCTGCTGCAAGTGCTGCTATAGTCGTTGTTGCTGTTGGCGTGGCTGCGGGGGGAGGTGATTTATGTATCAAGGGCAGGATGTGTTTTGACGTCGAGAGATCGCTGCGAGATCGCGCGTGTGTTTTGGATGCACTCCCTCGGGACATGTGGAGGTCCCTGTACCAGCTGGACGGGGACGGAGGCTCGGCTTCGAGGTGGTCGGAGACGCTGCGTTGGCGGCCCACGAGGCCGTGCACGTTGGAGTCAGACGTTCTTCGAGGGCGAAGGTTGTCGATGCCAAAGCCGGCCGCCACAACGTCGTGCTGGCCTGGGAGGATTTCGCCGAAGAGTAGGCCCGGAAACTGAGGGTTAGACTTTGGAGATGGCGGCTCCGGTTGGGAGGCTGAATGTGGGGAATTGTGTGGGCGAGGTGTCATAGAGCTGGAGGCGATTGAGTTCCCGTTAGTGGATGTCTCGGGTGGATGGTTTCCAATGCGGTTTGCAAACGACCGTGAACTACCCGACACCTGCTCGCGCTCAACATGCCTCGTCTTTTGCAGGCGGCTTGACATCGAGGTCGAGCCCGAGCCCGAGGTCGAAGTCGACGACGAAGACTGCTTGGACGAGTTCGAAGCGGGGATGCCAGAGCGAGTACTTGAGTGCGTGGACGAAGGGCCCGACAGATTGGACTTTGGCTTGGGCTTGGGCTTGACGGTATCTTGCCTGACCCGAGCTACTGGAGCATCCTGGCGTGGAGGAGGTCTTGGGATGGAGTTTGCTCCGCCGCTCTGGTCGAAGCGCTTCTTCAGATCCTTAACGCTGGGGGCGCTGGCCGAAGGGGATCTCGACGGCACGGCTGACTTGCGGTCGAGGGGGTTCGAGGCGGAGCGCATGCCCGTACCGGTACCCTGACGGCCAGCACTGCGATTTGCAGGCGGCTGCAGGTGTCTTGCAGCAGCCCCATCAGTGTTGGGAGGCGGGCCTGGCGAGGCCATTGGGAGAGATTGCGGTTCGCCGGGTGCTGTCTGGTAGCTCTTGTAAAAGTCGTCAGGATCTAGGGTGGCAGCAGCATGATGGGCGAGGACTTGAGCATTGGTGGTTGAGGCGGGCAGGACGATGTCGTTGGCAGGGTTTGAGTAGAATGCAGCCGGGCAGGAGCTCGAGTGGTCAAGATGGGGGAGATGGCGAGCCGGCGGATGAGCATCGTGGGCGACAAGCACGCTATCCAGGTCTAGGTCCGGGTCCGGGTCCATGTTCAATGCCAGAGCATCACCCGCGCGGTCGAAGCTGATCTGATGGACAGCGACTGGTCAACAGCGACTGATCGGCAACGACTGGTCAGCGCTCGTCGAGAGGAGAAGCGGGCATCGATGCTGCTGCTGTCTCGGTCTTGGTGTCTCTCCCTCTCCTGTGGCGGCAACCTCGTTTGCTTCCCCTGGGAGACGGGCTTTCGAAGCTGCTTGGCCCTGGCTGTTCTGTGAGACGTGGGAGAGGAGATGGGGGGTGGTGATTGGAAGGCGATGGGGAGATGGAATCGAGTGCTGCAGCCTGCAGCCCGGATACGACGCCCTGGGAGGTGGGTGATCCAACCAGGTCCAACCAGGCCTGCTCATTAACGGCCTGCTGGCAGCCCTGCCCTGGGCCCCCTGTAGCAGTCCCCTCACTGGGCCTCTTGGGGCCTCTCAGGACCTCTCAGGGCCTTTTCAGCCCACCAGGGCATGTCACTGCGCTGCTCCCACTTCAGGTGCTGCTAACTGGGAGCTAGCGGTGCATGTACATACCGACTGCTCCGTGATGCCCAGCAACTTGGCCGACTAACGTCAAATCATGGGGGGCGGAAACGTGTTAGAGGTGGACGGGGGTGGCTTAGTCTCCGCTATTAGAGTCCGGAGGGTTTTTTTTCTCTTCCTTTTCTCTTCCATTATCTACCAAGGACTCTAGTCAATGTTTCACCTTTATGGATTGTTTCTTCTTTTCTTTTTCTTCCGCTTTTCGGGATCCCACTTGGTCACTTTGGGCAAGAAAGAAAGAAAGAAGAAGAAAGATGGATGGAAAATTTTTCTTGTTGTCTCCTTGCCGGCTCCGTTTCCCGTGTGCCGGTGGGAGATAACTGGTGCTCGCAGTGAAATTATGTGACCACATCTGCGCGGCTTGTTCCGCATCTCCCTGGCGACAGTCTTGCACCTTGTCTGTCTGAGAATCAAGGGGTGCATATTGGGCTGCTGATGGAGGCCTGGCAACCAACACAATACGCAATCAGGCACCATCGCCCTCCCGAGTCCTCTCTCACAGGCCTTGGCGGTTCCCCATGGCGCAGGCACAAGCACAGGCACAAGCATGTGCAAGTCAGGACTCGTACGAGCAGGATTGCACAGGTGCCGCCATCTCGGCGAGAGAAATTGGCAAACCACTGCACGGTACTGTACGAGTATCCTGTAGCTCCGATCCGAGGGTAATTGCGCCGAATGCAACTCGGCTGATGTGATGTCCAGCCAGCATCAATCGGTATTGGCAGCTCCCACGATCTGCTCCGTATCCTGAGACCCGTTTGCTCCCACTGAAATTTCACCTGCATGCGAGTGCTTTACTTTGGACTAGTGGCTCTTATCCTAATGTATTGATATCCATCACATTCGTCCACTGGTGCCATCACATCTTGCCGAGAAATTTAGTATACAGGACTAAACTAAGCCTTGCCGAACAATCCAGGCACCTTGGATTGTCCAATGTTGCATCCAGTCCGTGCCGGCATACGAGTACAGTACGTACATTGCTGCCACCAACAGATAAGCAATTGATCCATATCAATATCCGTGTCTTATGGATGCATCCCGCCTTGTTTGCCATCTGACAGAGCAACATGCTCATCGGCTACAGAGGCTGCCAACGGCCGGCATCGTTTCACCCGCCGCCTCTCGCTGTGATTCGCATTGAAACTGCTTCATTGTCGGCAGCTACTAGCGACCAGGTGTCCACGTTCTGCCTCTCCGATCGCGATCGCGATCCTCGGACGCGGACGCGGCAAAACCTTGTTGACCCTTGCCAGGGCAAATCCGCTGGACAGCTTTTAGCACGGAAATGCCCAGCGTGACAGCGGTACAGGTACCTCAACGCGCTCTAGTGCGGTGCCCTGTGGGCGACAGACGGGCTGCTAGTGAATGCCGGATAGCGCTGTACTAGTATTACGAGTGCTCCGCATTATTTCTCCCGTCAGCTCTTACTAAGGTCCAATTCAAGATAGTAGCAACAATGCGCGATCCATCCAACCTCATCCAGTCACAACCTCAGCCACGACTTTGATGTTAGTGCTGCAACGATTTACATGCAGCCAAACGCGGCGACGCGACTCCAACTCATCAACATTCTAAAGGGATGGCTCGAGGCAAGAAGAGGAAGCTCGGCTCAGACGACGCGTCAGGCAATCAAGCCCTTGCCTCGTCCAAGCATGACACACCCGTGAAGAAGGATTTGCTGCTGCTGCACTATCCCGTTGTATGCACACTAAGGGAACATGTGCTCTCCAGCCTTCCCGATACCTCAAAGATCAGGCGAAAGAAGATTGCGGCCTTGGGATCCAGCATAGATGCCAGTGCCATAGAGATACAACTTGCCCATGTCCTCGACTCTACTCTGGTCGGCACCAGCCTTCCGACTCCAAAGTCTGAATCAGAGGAGGCCACATGGCAGCAGTGGCTGTCCTTCTCTCAGAAAGGAGATGAATCATATGTGACTATATCTAATGGAGTAGCTTCATCGATTGCCATCCAATCCGAGGTCTGTTACTGTATCCCCAAATGCAACTAGTAGCTGGAACGAGGCTAAGTAGCCCAATGTAGATTATTGATTTCGTCATCTGGAGTCTGTTTTCGAAAGAGAGAAATGGGTCTTGGCCTAAGCACATCCTATGTGATGGCTTCCGTAGAAATGCCAGAGACGATCAATCCGCCAGATCAACTATCCATGGAGTATTCAGTCTCTATCCCAACTTCCATGTCAGGGCATTAAGAGAGGCTCCATGGCCTCACCTTCTGGCACTCCTGGGCCAGGCCGGCGAAAGAGTAATGATCAACCTGTTATATAAGTGCTCTATTTTCCTCAAAGTCGATGCGGGCCGAGACAACTACCTTCAACTTACTGGTCGGTGGAAAATCCTCGCAAGGTCGTTAATCTACTCTCTGCTGACCATTGCCCGCCAGGCATCCCCCTGTCCGAGCTAGATACCAAGGCTTCAGATCATACTTTGAAGTCTCAGATGCGCAAACCCTCGGACATAACCATTGTTCGCAGTAGAATATTCTATGCAAAACCGGCTACAACTGCAAAAGGCCTGGTTCAAGCAGGTTTCAAGCATATCCGTATGTCAAATTGTTTACTGATACCACTCTGGATATGACTGCTAAGCATTGCCAGATGCGTTAAATCGCCATCCTCACACTAGTGAGGTCTTTGGTACCGGTACAGATAGCCAGGAATCGATAAAGATTCGACAGCAAAACGAGGCACATACGACCAAACTCATGATGTATATCTTTCCACGCCAGTTCGGCTTGCACAACGTCTTCACTTCAGCTATTGATGCGAATCAAACGGCTCAAAAATTTCACGACTATACCCTTCGCGAAGATGAAATCAATAAGGCGATGAGAGCCAGTAAAGGTGTTCCTGAGAAGTCGCTGCCAAAGTTGCCCAAACGACTGAGGGGCACAACCAGAGACCTTGTGCGGCGTCTGCAGATTCTTCATGCTCGTTGTTCTTACTTTGAGCTCCTCAGACACTATTGCCCAACGTTCCTCGATGGGCCTCATGGGAGTAAAAAGAAACCTGGAGATGTAGAGCCGTCAGCCACCTCAATTCAGGTTCCTGGTCGAGCAACCCAAGCCGCCGAATCCCAACCCAAACGGCGCATGCGCCGGCATCCTACAGATGCTTCGGCACTCCCTGAGCATAGATCGCTTGTGGAGCTTGCGTGCCCCGTGGCATGTGTATCAGCATTCTGCCAAGCAGCGCTCTCCAAGATTATTCCAGACAACTTTTGGGGCAGCGAGAAGAGCTGCCATAACAAAACCGCGTTTCTCCGGAAAGTGGACCGTTTTATCAAGCTTCGACGTTTTGAAATGATTTCGTTACATGAGATTACACAAGATTTCAAGGTATTGTCAGATTCCTCAAGCTTGGGACAATCCAGACTGTATGCTCATCATTAGGATTTAGGTCACGGAGATTGCTTGGCTAGTTCCTCCCGTCTGCGAAGGGCGAAAGGCTAGCCCCACGGATATGAAGAAACGATATGAAATATTTTACGAATTTCTTTATTATGTTTTTGATTCGCTTTTGATACCCCTGATTCGGAGCAACTTCTACGTTACGGAATCCAATACCCATCGATTCCAAGTTTTTTATTTTCGCCATGATGTTTGGAGGTTGATTGCGGAACCGTCAATGTCGAGCCTCAAGGAAGGAATGTTTGAAGAAATCAGACTGGATGAAGCGACGCGGATTCTCGACTCCCGGAGGCTGGGGTTCAGTCAGTTAAGGCTACTGCCCAAGGGCACCAAACTGCGTCCCATTATGAATCTCAGACGCAGACAAATGATGGACAGCAAGCGTTCTAGACTGCTTGGGCCTAGTATCAACTCTCTTCTCAAGCCTATTCACGCGGCATTGAAGCTTGAGACGGTATGTACCGTGACCATACCCTCGTTCCAACCATTTTCTAAACGTGAAAATATTGTGTGTATCGGTAACCAAGGCTAATCAATGCAGCATATGAATCCCTCCAAGTTGGGATCAACGCTTTTCGCGGTTGGAGACATTTACGGGCGCCTCAAGGCGTTCAAAGAGTCTTTGACACTAAATAGCCAACATGTCTTCTATTTTGCCAAACTAGATGTCAAGGCTGCCTTCGACACGATACCTCAGTCATCTATTCTCAACTTGATGCGCTCAGTTCCCAGTCAGAGTCGGTACATGGTAACAAAGCATGCAGAGGTAAAGCCAGGTGAACGACTGGGTCTCACAGAAGGGAACTGCACATCCAAACCCGTTCGCCGATGGCACTCCACAGCCATGCCCCAGGGCGAACCGACCTCGTTTCTCGACCGCCTGGAGAGCGGTATGGGAAGCAAGAAGAAGAATACCGTCTTCGTCGACAGTGCAGCTTTCCAGAGTCACGATACACGCGGCCTTTTAGCTCTCTTATCCGAACATGTCGGGCGTAATATTGTCAAGATTGGGAAGAAATACTACCGACAAAAGAAGGGTATTCCTCAAGGCTCCATTTTGTCAACATTTCTGTGCAATTACTTTTATGCCGACCTAGAGGCTCAACATTTGGGCTTTCTAGACGGGCCAGACTGTCTTCTGTTGAGACTCACCGATGACTTCTTGCTCATCACGCTGGACAAGGGAAAGGCCATTCGATTCGTCGAGACCATGCACCAGGGCGTTCCTGAATATGGCGTTGAAGTGGGCCACGACAAAACACTCGTTAACTTTGACATGCAAGTTGGGGGCGAGAGCGTACGAAAACTTGATAGTGGTAGCAAATTTCCCTATTGCAAAACGTTTATTGATTGCAAAACGTTGGAGATTACAAAAGATCGTCGTTCAATCAAGGACATTGGTATGTGGTGGCTTTTGTGAAGCTTTCCGAGAGTAGTGCATCTTGAGCTCAAGCTGACAATACGCACTCAATCATAGATATTTCGACGTCAATCACTATCGATTTCGGGCGATCTCCAGGCCAAAATTTCCAGCGAAAAGTGCTCAGTCAGTATCACCTTTTTTCCTTCCTATCTCATACGCATGCTCTCTTTATCAGCTAACAAGACAAAATCTTTCCTCAGATTCGTTCAAATACCAGTCCCATCTCATGTTTTTCGATACGGGGCACAACTCGGTTGACACGGTACTTGGCTCTTTGCGATCTGCATTCTCGGAGACTGCGCTCAAGATGTGGGCTTACGCACGATGTTTGTCTACGTCTACGCGACTCACAGTAAATCTAATCATCGGTAAGTATTTCAAAGATTTTAGAATGGGTACGGGGGTTTTTAGGTGCTAACTACACTTTTTACCGCAGGGACAATTAAAAAAGTCGTGGACATTGCATTCCTCATCTTGACAAGCAAATGGAGGAAGAAGCGTTTCGAAAAATATGCCTGCGAGATCCGCAAGGCGCAAGTTATAGCGTAAGTTTTTGAAAGCTCAGTGGTGGGTGATGCATTTGGCTAACGGGCTTCAAGCACCGGGTATTCTGCCTTCTTGGAAGTATTAAGTCGACGGCAGACTGGGTATGGTGAGGTGATTACCTGGTTAAGAGAGGAAACTGCTCGGCTTGCCACGTCAAAATGAATTGTAAAATTGTTTGCTGGTGGATGTGATTTATTGAGAGCTATACACATAACTACCTAGTGATACAAATGGCAAATCTAATACTAACTCCTTCTTCAACCAAAAATCCTGTCTATCCGTCCAATGTAAACTTTGCTTTAGGAATATTGAGCCCATCACGTATGATACATGCCATCTACAGTGCTATGCCAGTCTCCCACCAAGTCTCCCCGATATAAAATTTGGGCAAATGATCCCAATCCCAACGCCACCAGTGATCCCCCTCATGTCCAAACCCAAGAAACCGAAACAGGGATATGGGAACCGGCTCAACCACCCACAGTCCTGTCGACGAAAGGTCGTCTATGAAAAGGGGTGCTGTAAAATAAAACCACGCCATTGTAAAGAGGAGATTTACAGTCCGAGATACAAACTGCGGCGGCCGCGGCATGTATGCCTTGCAGAACCACGCTGCGGACTGCTGGAGCATAATACCCACCACCTGGAGGAAGAAGAAGGCTGGTGCCCTCCAGGGCTTGGTTCTCGGCACAGACGTGATGCTGCCCGAAGCATGCAGAATTCCAGACTGCGAAAATGATATAAGAATGGCCAGCAGGGAAGCAAGCCGCGTGCCTCTCTTCAGGTATCCCTCTCTAAAGAGATATGTTGCCGGCGCGGCAAACTGCATGCGGAATGTCTGATGCCACAAGCTGCCCCACCAGCCGGCAAGACCGCGGTCGAGGACCTGTTCAAAGGAGCCGAATGTCGAGGCAAACTGGAATAGAGATCCCCGGGAAGGGTAGAAGCGGTTGGCCATCCAGTACTGGACCAGGTCGGATACACCAAAGACGGCCTCAATCGCAGCATACACACCGACAAGACAAAAGATTTCTCTATAAGCGAGGAGAAGCCATGGGGATATACTTTGGAGATGCGGCGGAAGCCCGTAGTTTTTGTGGTCGGGCCCAAGGATAAAGTAAGGATCTTTTACCATGTACACGGAGAGAAAGTCGAGGACGAAGTAAAGGACGATGACTTTGATGAGGCGGTCGCGCACAAATTCGGCCTCGGTTCGATAGAGCTTGTATCCGCTTCTGCTGACCGTTGGTATGGAGTGCATGTCGACTTTGTCACCGTGAGAGATTTGGAGAGGGATTGTGGGCCGAGGGATGGATGAGACGGACCAGTTCCAACCTTTTGAAACGGATAAGTTAGTCGGTCATTGTCACGGCCAAATGTCAAATGACAGTGAAATGCTTACCAGAGCATCGGAAGCTGAGTATGAGATCTGTAGCCCATGCTAGCCGTTCAAGAAAGCCTCCTTCTGGGTAAGGCTCCCAGATATACTCAAATTCCTCCTGCTGCTGATTTGTCTGTGATTTCGATCTCTTTGGTAGCCTCTTTCGTGTTCGAAGCTCATTCCCATTCCCATTCTCATTTCCATTTTTGCTTGTCTTTGCGTTCTCTCCCTCGACATCATGACTGGTAGACACGACTTCAGTGTCTACCTCACCTTGTCTAAGGCTGCTGCCCACCTCACCACTTGCCGCCTTTACCAAGTTGTGATCCTTCTTAACCCTCAGCACTCGGGCAGCGTCAAACTGCGGCCTCGTCCAGATAAGCAGATTCAAGCTTAAAATGGTCCCCCACGTCGCCGCCAGCCCGGCCGCATACGCACACGCCATATTCGTGCTCGAGGCATACCGCAAATGATAGACATTGGACCACACGATAAACGCCATCACCAACCATCGCGTATGGTAGAACCACATCCGACGCTTGTGCGGAACGGCCAACCACAATGCGGGCACAACAAACGGGCCCAGCAAACACCAGGGTACCAGCAGGGGCTTCGCGGTGCCGCTGGCGACGGCGAGCCTGAACGTGTCGCCGTACGCGGTCCGAACGGCGTAGCTGAGGCCTTGGATGGGCATTTTGGCCACTATGTCGTCGATGTTTGGCGGCTCCATGGTGTTTTTGGTTCTCAGTCGCTTCCTTTATCTGTGACCCTCCCCTTTTCCCTTCAGGCTGAATCGTTCAGTAAGTGCAGCGCAAATAATAGCAATGAGCAGTCGTCTCTGATCAGCCGATGGGCGTCCGCCTGGACTTGATCATGATGCGCAAAAGCACGAGTCTTTCAGCCAGCCCCATGTGACTTTAGCCCGACCACGTTGTACTCCGTATGTTTGCACAAGTATGCTCAGGCCATGCGGCTGCTGCGTCTTAGTGGCTGGTTATGCAGAGACAGGCGGTCTGGTGACAAGTGCTGTTGCCCTTCCTTTGTCCCAATCTCGTTGCGTCGCTAGGCCAAAGACACCTGGAAAACGTAGGTACTGTACGTGGAATCGCTGGTTGATACGGAGGATATCAACCTATCGGGAGAAAGGTCTGCAGCATTTGCAAATTAAAGCAGGCATTCGGCTGGGGGCCTACAAGGGTGGCGACGCTAATAATCGATCTTGGTGAGAAGTGATTGTTTGGTCTAGAGTTGGAGCAGCGTGATCCCTGTACCACCAGCAAGCTAATCTCCCAACTCTGAGATGCTTGCTTACCCTGCAGCGACTCTTCTTGGGGTGACTTCTTTGGAAGCCCTCTGGAAGACACCCGGAAACTATGCATCGGTATTACAGTCTTGTTCCAATTCGTTTGCGTTCTGTCATAAATTCTGTTATTTTACCAATTGATATACCATGTTCTTGGAGCTATTACTGCAGCAATACATACCGTGGTGGCTAGAGCGTGGGCCAATATCATTTTCAATCCTTCCTGAGAGCATTAAAGACAACAAGTTGATACAGCAGGGGCATATAGGAAAGGGAAAAAGAAAAATATACAGGCTAGAACGCTACTAGATTAGCGGTTCCATATGGGCTATAATGGACTAATATTTGCACCCATCCCGACTAGAGTGGACATGTCAATAGCATCATAGATATCATAATACAGTCGATCCATCACCTCCTAGAGTCTCTGGTTGCTCAACTATGGTAAAAGACAAAGATAAGGAGCGAAAAAGCGCAAAAAAAGAAGGCGCATTCGCATTTCGAACGCCGGGATTTGCACCCGGGCTGTTGGCATTGTTAGCAGGTATTTCTGAGCGGTTGACAGCTGCGGCACTCACTCTCTCCCTTGGGAGGGGAGCAGGTTTACTACTACCCCACGTCCGAGTTGCATGAGATTGTTTGTATTGTAGCTTATAAAGGGCTCTGCTGGAGTAGAGAGAAGCTTGAGCTGACAGCTGGCACGGCTGGGCGTTGTTTGTGCGATGTTGGCGCAGCTCCTGATAGGCGAGAGTTGGGGAGAAGGGAGATTTAGCACCGGATGGCAGCAGGGCGTCATGCGGAGTCCCGATTTTAGCTGGGATTCTTTCTGCCTGTTGGTATGTGCTTGTGACTTGAATGATTGTATTGAAACGAGGATTTACATATTAGTCAGTATTAAGTGATACCATACAGACTCAGAGTTGGCATATCCTATATAGAAGCCGGGTTTGGTGCTCACACTCATCGACAGCTGTGGGACGCAAGTTGACGGCTTGAACTACAGGCCGTTGAACGATTGATACAACGGAATATGATAACCAACAGCTGGATCGACAAATGCTGTGGAGCAGTGCAAGGCTGATGGATGACACCTCGAAGCTGAGGGTGGCGTCAATGTAACACACAGACACACACAGACGCACACACATTCGGAAAGCCTCACAGTCAGGCCAGGCGAATGGATGTCTATCATGATAGGTATTTGGCCAAGTCTTTTGTCTTTTGTAGTACTGGGTAGTAACTGAATGTATTTTGCTCTGTTTACTTTAAACCACCAAATACCATCGTACCAGGCATGGTGTATCGTCTTTGTGGAAACACCCCATCATCACCATCACCATCACCATCGCCCTGTTTGTCTCCCCCCACCATTACCTCAAACTAGCCATCACGCGCCAATCTAGCCGTTAGACATCCATCTAACAGTTACAGTTAGTCGGAGCTCTGCCCTACCAGACACAACGCCAGCCCTCGGGTCGCTCATCCCGCAATTATGGGGTTGTCTTAATCATTGTTGCGGATCCAACAAGCCCCCATGGCCTTGTTTATTCCTGAACCGTACTACCCTCCTAGACAGGTAATTATGGCTTCTGACACTGACTGCACGGCATGTCGCTTATCAAGCGACCATATCCCTGCCCTTGTTTATGTAATTTTGATGCTTAGACTTGTCGGCCTCGACAGTTGCGCTGTCTTCGGTGTCTCCGTAATTCCGCGCATCTCTGGCCGACGCAAGTCCAGACAGGCCGTCGCCTTGTACTCGTACATGCTTAATCCTCAATGCTCCGCTGACAAACCACAACTGGCCAGTCGGTTGGTTGGGCGCTGCGAGGCAGGTATGGAGTTACCTATGAAGTCAGACCACTGGGTACCTATCGCGTGCCACCCCGATTTCTGGTGACGATTTATTCCCTTGTAAGACGGTGTGAAAAGCTTTCGTCTCCTTAATAAGCCTTTTAGCGGCCTGAAAAGCCTTACCAGAGCAGTGACCAGAGGAAATTCCTTTTGGAAATCGTCACCAGAAAACAGCTTGGCGCGCGAAGGTAGGTGGCCACCGTCTTTTCCCCTTAACACCAATAACTATACTATTAACCTAAATTATTATAACTGCAATTTTTTAACGAATTATTAATTTATTTTTAATTTAATTATATTTTCTTAACGGTAATAATTAAATTTATTAAATTTATTATTTTTTTAATAATTAATAGTATTAATAATATTATATTATAATTAAAAGCTTTATAATATTAAGGTATACTTTACTTAATAGTATAAATGTATTTAAATAAATAGCAGTTAATTAAAAGTTAATATTTATAAATATTATTAATATTTTTTTTTAAAAAATAAAAAGGTTATTTTATTTAATAGATTTTAATTTAAAGTTATTTAAAATTTTTTTAATATATTAATAAATTAATGAATTTATTATAAAAATTATTAAAGTTAATAATAATAATTTATTATTTAAAAAATAATAACTTAAAGGTTTTTTTTTTCAATTTTTTAACCATTTAATAATTAAATCTAAAGATATATATTATATATTTTTATTAAAATAAAGGAATAGAAAAAGAAGATAATATTATAGTGTTAGGGACGGCTTATTAAGCATCCAGCCTGGCTTCCCGGGCATCCTAAATGTGGAGGTTTTCGCAATTTACAGTTAGTGCGTAAAATAAGTCAATTTTCACTAAGTAGCTTAAGGTACCTGCTAGTCAGATGCTTTCTAAAGGAACCCTCACGACTTTAAGTTATAACCGTATGTGTAAGTTAAACTGCTGTGCTGATTAAAGTCATACAGTTGGAATAAGGTCATCCAGCTTGATTAAGGCCATCCAGTTGGATTAAGGCCATCCAGCTTGATGAAGGTTATCTAGCTTAATTAAGGTCATCCAGCTTAATAAAGGTCATCCAGCTTGATCAAGGTCATCCAGCTAGTTCAAGGTCATTTACTGTAATCCAATTGACCTAGAGGCATTTTCAAGCACTTAGCTGCTAAATTATAAGAAGAAGCGCTATATTACAGCGCTATATTATTACGTAAGCACACTTTAATATAGCGGAGGAGTGCTATATTACAGCGGGATAGCGGTATATTATAGGGCTTCTATTAGCAAGTACTTACATCTACATTGCATCTTTAAGCCCCACTCCTCTGGGATGCCTGGGAAGCCAGGCTGGATGCTTGATAAGCCGTCCCTAGTGTTATTGTGCTGATTTTTCCCTCTAATTTAATCCTAATTACGGTCTGGCTTAGGTGGCGTGGCCACCTTCCCTGTGGTCTGACTTACTTGCTCGGTACCTGGCCATCCAGGTTCCCCAAGTAAACAGGTCGGCGCAGAGGCGTTGATGGTCGTTGGTCCGCGTCATTCCAGGTACCTGCCGGTCTGTCCCCCGGATGTACCTTGTGGATAAGACGAGCTTCTGGGTGATAAGGCACCTGGCAGTTGTCCGTTGGCCCAGCCCCAACCTCTGGATTTGGCCTCCTCGCAGCCTTACCTCTCCTCTCTCTCCCACCTGCATCGAACATCCTCTGTGCCGAAATGCGCTGCTGAGCCAATGTGCGCTGCCTCGCCGTGCGCGCAGCTTCTGCTTTCCGATTCTGTTGCTCGTCCTCGAAGCTGCTTTTGTTTCGTGCGCCCCAGCCGGCCATTTTGCGTAGACTTCTCGGAGACTTTTCGCACCCCGACAAGTCAACGGCCTGCGATTCTCTTCCCCCCTCCACTGCCCTGCCTATCAGCCCCAGCAGCGGCAGATATCGCACTGAGCTGAGCTGAGCTGCAGTCGTACTGCGTCCTTGTACTCCTTATGCTCGTACACGCTCTGAGTGCGCATCCCGCTGTCGAAGTCCCGGCCATGGCGCCCGGAAATGACCTGCCCGCGCCGGCTGGCCCACAGAAGCATCGGGCCTGCGACGAGTGCCGTGAGTCTCCGTGAGAGAAAGTGCACGCTGCCGAGCCCGCGGGCTTGGGAAGCGGGCCAAAGGTTTCGGAGACTTTTGTTCTGATTGCAATTTACTGTCTAGGATTCCGCAAGATCGCCTGTTCCAAGGAGCCCGACGGCTGCCTGCGCTGCCAGAAAGAGGGCATCCCGTGCGTCTACTCGCCCCAGAAGCCCATGGGCCGTCCCCGGAAGCGGCGGCTCATAGTAGAGAACCCAGCGCCGTCTGCCGCGCCTGCATCCGTGCCTGTGACCGCAGCTCAGCCAGCGTCCTTGTTGGGCTCTGCTTCTGCTTCTTCATCTCTTGCTTCTGCTTCATCTCTTGCTTCTGCCGCTCCAGCCCCCGCTGCTATTGCTTCTCTTCCACTCCCTCCGGTCTCAGCTCCAACCACAATTACTCATTCGTCTTCTCTCCTCGCGGCAACTCCACCATACGGCGATGCTGGCCATCAGCTACACAATGCCGCTGCTCACCAGCAGAATCACCATCAACAGCCCATGCTGTCAACGGATCCGACAGGCCTCTTCAGCCCGTCTCTGACATCAGAGACCTCGTACCTCGATCTGCTGCCCGACTATGACTCTGGAAATTCTAATTTATTTGACATAGACGACAATGCAGCTTTTACCTACTTCTCTCTGGACGGCCAAGGGCTGTTTGATGGTGTGGGCATGCCTGCTATGAACATTGGCCAAGCTGATCCGCTCGAGGGCATAAGCTTTGACGAGACAGACCCGTCTATTGCTACCATGTCCAAGGATCTCAACGACTCTCTGCAAAGATACATGGTTTCTCAATATCTACAGGCCTCGACGCCTAGCGAACCCAGCCCTAGCGCAAACTCTTCCAATTGCTTTGAATCGCTGGGCTCAACTACTACAGATACGACGTCGCCGGTACTAGGAGCAGCAAGGGCACACCCGACTAGCTCTTGTGACTGCCTTTCATCGCTCTCTTTAGCACTCGGTTCCTTGAACCGCCTTCCGTCCGATGTTTTGTCTGCAATGCGTGTCGCCCGCGAGGCCACTAAAATTGCTCATGATAGCCTCAACTGCGCGCAATGCTACCAGGATATGTACGATCTCACCAAACCGCCGCCCATCTCTCGTTTCCAAAGTATGATGTGCCTTGGAGCTCTTGTTCCCTCTGCCTGCAACGCCTATGCCGCCATCCTGGAAATGGTCGATAGAGACACGGAACGAGCTAAACAGGAGTTTCAGATGCTCTACTTTAGCTACAAAGAGGTTGGCGGAATATGGACAAGAGTAGCCGATGAGGACAGTGCAAGTGACAATCCCGACTGCGCACTGCTCAAGAGCTACAACAACAGATACCTGGAGCCAGATACTTGGCGGACAACTATGCGGGCCATTTTGAAGGTTGAGGTCTATGGATTCAAGTGCGGATCGACATCTGCGGCGAGTTCGGTGGACGGTGACAACCCTTGTTCGTGTGTCAATGTGCACCGGGGGCTCAGGGACGTCGTCACGCTTCTCGACGAGGAAAACCAGAAAAGGCACGATATTGCGGATGCTCTCATACAGACGGGTCAACATCACCTTATCTGGCACTCTCCTTATTTCCTAATGTCAGGTCCACCGAAGCCCTTCCCGCGCGAGGATAGGCAATGCATGCGTATGCTTGACATGGCGAGGATGGCACTGAGTAACTTGGTTATAACATAGGTAGCCAAGTTGAAAAAAGACGAGTACCAGGGAAGGGGGCGTTTGTTGGATCTATGTCTCATCTGGTTTCACCCCACTCTCCCCCCCTATTGTGTTGTGTTGTTTTCCTTTTTTCCTTTTTTTCCTTTTCTTTTTTTTCCCTTTCTTCCCTTTCTCAATATGAATTCAATTCCCCAATCTTTTTCTTCTTTTTTCTTGTTTTGACAGCTGGGGATATTTTCAAGGGCGAGATACTGGGCGTTCTGGGGCCCACTGGGAATAAAATCGGGCATGGGCATGGATGGTTTGCATACACAAGATACCGCGGAAAGATTGCAAGATATGAACCGTGGCTGGTGGTATCTGGATGATCCAGTTCCAAAACACATTAGAAGGGATATTTCGCGTTTATTCACAGGGATAGGGATAGGCTTATTGGCAATTCTTTTTTTTTTTTTTTTTTTAGTTCAATTTTGATACTCGTTGAAAGGCTTAACTTAACATGTGATACATTTCTCCTTGCTATATAACCAAAATCTTCCCTATCAATTGAGAGGAATTCTAGCTTCCGAAAGAAGAAGAAAATAAACCAAGAGGTAAAAACAATAGATGAGCATCCAGTATGCTCAACAACTCCGACTTTGATGCAGTAGCAATCCAATTGCTGTTTGTCGAATCCCACTTCCCATAAACGCCATCCACCGCCAGCATTCGGCACCTAGCCCCCTTCCGGCCGTTTCGCTGTGATGCTTGAATCAAGCATAAAAAAAGTAGAAGAAAGTAAAAACAAAAATCTCCAAGAAAAGAAGAAAAAAATGTAAACGTTCTGCTTTGTAGCATTTCCCCCCATATGCACACTCCATCTCTTTTGGGCCCCTCACAAGTATCCATTTGTATACTTTCCATATTTTTCCAATTTGCTCCATCATATGCATTCCGTATCCAAATATCCGTGACTTCACAATTGTTCTGGGGTATATAGGTAGTTTGATCAATCCTGATCCTCAACCAGGGACAAAACGTCCATCTCCTCCCTCACCAGCCGCTCAAACTCCTCTCGCTCAATGCCCGACGACCGGGCAAGAAGGTACAAGCTGCGGATACTGCGAGACACGTGCTGCTTGACACCAAACTCGTTTTGCTCCTGCTTGCCGGCGGAGGCTTCGAGCCGGGCGACGGTATGTGAGCCATTAGAGCTGGCGCTGGATTCGGGACGCGGGTGTAGGAGAGCAAGCTCCTGAGGGGTTGGGAGGTCGGATTTGGCTTGGCTACCGTGGTTGCTGGCCTTGTCTGCATCGGCAAACGGCCAGGAGCTTCGGGTTTCGTTGGGGTCTGTAACGATAAAGGAGTCGGCAGCGTTGCTGGTGCGGCCGAGACCGAGGGGCGGCTGGACGTGAGCGCGCAGCAGAGCCTCTTCATCGGGATCGTGATTGTCCATGGCCGGCTGGACGTCGTCGTACTGCGCATAATAGTCGTCGTCGTCATCGTCCATGGCCGCAGCGGCGTTGTAGGCGCCCAAGTGAGCTGCGGAGGTAGCAGCAGCAGCACCGGCACCGGCATTGGCATGAGGAGCCGGGGAGCGATTGTTGGCGGGAGTGCGTGCGGGAGTGGCATCGTAACGGTCCCAGTATCCATCGTCATCATCGTCATCCATCAGGTCTTCGCTGCTGGTGGTTGACCCGTTGTTATAGGTCACGGTGGGGTTGGTGGTTTTGGCTTCTTGAAACTTGGCCTCTGCTTCTGCAATGGTTGGGACGCCGCCGAACTGCGAAAAGAGAGAGGCCTTGTCTGCCAGTGTAATCTCCCCAACTCTCCATCCATCGCCACCGCCTGCAGCATCGTTGACGCAGTATACCAGCTGAAATGCAAGGCCAAGCTCGGTCAAGACTGTCAACGCCTGCAGCGTCTCTTGGTCCAGCCTCCGGTATCTTGTCTGGGAATCGTAACTCCAATCAACCTCGACCTCTCCCGAGACAGGGTGAGGCTCTAAGCTCCCACTCAGCACCAGCTCGGCCAATTTTGCAGCCTTGCCTGTGTCGTAGCACAGCAGCTTAAGCCATGGTTCTGTGCTGGACGAAGAGAACAGATTCACCCGTTGTCTCAGTATAGGCGAGAGCAGCGGCAAGATGCCTACAGCCGGCTCGGTCGATACGGCAGCCGCAGGAAGTGCTGGAAGGATTGGGGCCAGCAAGTTGGCGAGATCTGGAGAAGCAATAGTTCCGCCCATGGCAGGCAGGCTGGCTACCTTGATGCTGACGGCAGAGATGCTTTGCGTAGGAGCAGAAATTGTGTGGATTTTGGATGGACAAGGCTTGGTTCCGATGGGCCGTCAGAACTTAGTTGACTTGGCTGGCTATTTTACTTGCCGAGGAGGCGAGGGAAAGGTCTGGGGGGAAAAGGTAGAGTTCGGCCCTAAGAAGATGTGGTGGTTTGGTTCCTGAGGTCTGGAAATTTGTGGCAAGTGTCACATGCGCTGCTCAGGTGCAGCTACAACAGTCAGTGGGTTTGATTCAGGTCGTACAAAAGCGCAGGCCACGGTGTCTCGGGAGGGGAGAGACGGAAAGGATGATGGACAGAGGACAGAGAAAGAGAGGGAGGAGGAGAAAAAAAGAGTGTGTGCGGGCGAGTGAAGTTAATATACAAGTCGAGGCATCATAACCAGATGCAACTCGGATCCAGGGAAGTCCCTCCAGGCATCGTGGAGGCTTTGCCAGGGCCCCAAACGGGCTCAGTCCAGGCTTATTCGGGCGGTCGCAAGTACCTGGAGGGTAGCGCCCGGAACAGAGGCAGTGCTGGGGCCAGGTTCCCAGTACTTTGGGGTAACGGCTGAAATTCGCGCAGTGATGCGGTAGCTGGTACGCAGCACCCCCCAGTCCAGGTACCGAGCGCAGACAAAACGTTATAGCGTGCAGCCGACCAATGGGCGGAGCAGTTCGCAGCAACGGTGGCGCTCCGGGGGAAAGGAAGAGGAGAGCGATTATTCACTGTCACAAGGGAATCTTCAACTGCAGGCGCCGTTAGTGGTCAGTGGGGGAGGTTTGGGGTAACGTTTTATTGCCAGAGCTTAGTAGTTGGTAATACGGATGGGGGATTGGACGGGTGCGGGACTTGGACGGAGTCGCTGCGTGTGTAACTGAGGATCACGGCAAATTGCATGGAGGTGAGGATCTGAGTAATTGTATGGAGTATTACAGGCACTCGTATATAGTACACCGTCTTTTTTCCCTCTCTCCCTCCTCCTCTCTCCTTCCTGATACTGAGACCAAGCAATACTATGTCTCCCATCGTTGCAGCGTTATATTGCAAGGGGTTTGTGTCTGGACTGCTTACTGTGTCCTTGCACCATGCCGATGCTGCAGCCGATGCTGCATATACAGTACGTACAGGAGGTGGTATTGGAAGCCTCCATGTAGGTATTACAGTAATATATCCACCTGCGGGGAGGAGCACGCTCAACGCAAGGATCAGCAGCCCCCTGCTCGAGCCTCACTGGAGCTCTATTCATCTGGTCTTCAATTCATCACATGCCAGATGTCATTAGAGGTCCCACCCTTGGAAATCCGCGTACTACAGTAGCAGCACCGCGTATTGACTTGTATGGATGTGCTTCCTTCTGTCCGCCGAATGTGCATGGGGAAAAGCGCCGACGTCCACCAAATTCGGAGCTCCGGCATCGCATGAGTGCTCGTAAGTGCGTGTACTCCGTACTATGTTATTACATAGGTACATGCAAGCTTGCACCATCCAATGCCTTTATAATATGCGTAGATTTGATCTGTACTGCATCGCTGGCCAGCTCATCTCATACGGAGTTTCCGTCTCCGAGTCTTTGGGCGCACACGTACTCCGAACTTTGTGTTTTATCTTCGTCTGAACCCATGTCTAGTGAGATGCAGGATTACTACGTTGGCCATGCACAATGACCAAGCTTGGATCGATTGGATTCGAATCTGTAGATATAGTAATCCCTTCTCCTTATTTTGGCATCATCAGCTCCATAAGCTCATTATCCTGCGATGGGGCCGCTTGTTTGGTGCTATAACAGCTGGAAATGGGCACAATGTACATTGTACCTGACCCCGTGCCCTGTAATTGATGTCATCGGCTCTCTCAATTCAATTCAGCGCCACGCCAATGGCGTCACAACAATGGCAGCCAAAAAAAAAAAAGCAAAATAAACTTTACGAAAAAAGCCCGAAGAAAAAAACAATAAAATAAATGTCATCACCGTAAACTCCCAAACAACAGCAATGCGAGAAACCGCAATAGAAACTGGCCGAATCTCAATTATTCCCCTTTTCCAAACGTACCATCTCGCTCCGACACTTCCCATTTTCCAGCATCCCGCTCAAACGCGCATTCCGTCGGCTCCCATTTTCCCTTATCATTCCAAAGCACAGGCCAAAACTTATCGTCCTGGCTATCGCATAACGCACACCAGCCGCAAAAACAACATTGAGCTGCGTCACCGCAAAGCAAAGCTCGTATCTCACTCACAACACCAAACCTTCTCACTTTTACTCTTTTCTTCTCCCGAACTTTTGCTCGCAAGGATACGGAAACCTCGTAGCGAATCCTGCGCACGTCAACCCAACCTGAAGCGCAAACTCCTGCATGTCGCCCCGAGGCGGCCACCTCAAAGATGAGGTTCGTCGCCCTTCCTCCCCCCCCCTCACGACGCGGACAAGAAATAAAGAGAGAGAGAAAAAGCCAATCTAAAATTGCGTACTTTGATGCTAAAATTTCCAACAGGGTTCAAAACTCCAAGTCGTGTCTGCTGGCGCCATAGCCGGCCTCGTCTCTCGGTAAGCCAAAGTCCGCTCTCCGAAATAAACACAATCTTCGCTCTCCGAAATACTCATCACACAGCCGTGCTCCCTGCACAAATCGTCCCAGGTGGCTAAAACGTCTCCACTGCAGATTCATCGTCGCACCCCTTGATGTCGTCAAGATCCGCCTCCAGCTCCAGCCGTACTCGCTCTCCGACCCCTTGGCCCCCTTGCGCGAGGCGCCTGCCTACCGCGGCACCGTCGACACCATCAAGCACATCCTCAGGCATGAGGGCGTCACCGGCTTGTGGAAGGGCAACGTGCCCGCAGAGCTGATGTACGTGTGCTACTCGGCCGTGCAGTTCACCACGTACCGCTCCACCACCGTCTTCCTGCAGAATGCGCTGCCCACGCGCATGCCAGACTCGGCCGAGACGTTTGTCGCCGGCGCCGTCTCCGGAGCGGCGGCCACGGGGGTTACGTATCCTCTGGACCTGCTGAGGACCCGGTTCGCCGCCCAGGGAAGACACCGCGTCTACTCGTCTCTGCGCGGAGCGCTGTGGGACATCTACCGCGATGAGGGGCTCAAGGGCTTCTTTCGCGGCCTGGGGCCGGCGCTGGGCCAAATCATTCCCTTCATGGGCATCTTCTTCGCCTCCTACGAAGGCCTGCGGCTCCAGCTCGGCCATCTCCACCTCCCCTGGGGCAGCGGTGACGCCACGGCCGGCATCGTCGCCAGTGTCGTTGCCAAAACGGCCGTATTCCCACTCGATCTCGTCCGCAAGCGCATCCAGGTCCAGGGCCCCACGCGGAGCAAGTATGTATACAACGACATTCCCGTCTACACCTCCGCAGTCCGAGGTCTCCGATCGATATACCGGACAGAGGGCCTGCGAGGCCTATACAAGGGCCTTCCGATTAGCTTGGTGAAAGCTGCCCCCGCGAGTGCAATTACACTTTGGACGTATGAACGAAGCTTGAAGCTTCTGATGAGCTTTGACAAAGACAAAGGGGAGGCGTCGATATGATTAGCCGTGTAACATTAATTCTTGACTGTATGAATAGAAGGTCTCTAGACTATCTAACTAATGTAATGGCCACAACCATGAAAAAGAAATTTCTCTATCCTTTTATTTCCCAGATGCAGAAAAACAGAATACGATGCCCGATATAAAAGAAAAGAAAAGCATTAGTTGCTCAGGTTACGGTTCGTCTCGTCCGCCCTCTCGATGCACTCCTCGACCACCTGCCAGAAGCGATCCACGTCCACTCCCCTGGGTATAATCACGCCCTCTTCTCCGGCAGGCAGCGCCTTGGCGATCGTCCGGCCGGTCTGCTTCTCTCCGAGCTTGGCCTCCTCGATCGTGCCCTCGGTAATGACGGTGACATCGAACCGTTCGTTGTGTTTAGGCGACTGGCTCTTCTTCTCATCCCAGTCGTAAACGGCGATCTCGTCAGGGGTGCCGAGCAGGACTGCGAGGACAGCGAGAGGGTCGTGGAGGGGTGGGCCGGCGGTGATACCAAAGACGTCACTATTTTATGTGTTAGAAAAAAAAAACCATCGTGGTCCGAGGAGGGAAAACTTACGCATAAGTCTTGGCGAAGAAGTAGAGCAGCTCAACGAGCATTGTGCGCAGCGTCGTCTTGCCAGTTCCCGTCTTCTCGCCATCCTTGCCGTACAGCAGAAGATCTCTGACCTTCTCCGTAGCCAAGACCTGGTGGCTCAGATCCAGCGGCACCATGAACATCTTCTTGGCAATCTCCTTGTTGTGGAATATCTCGGCCGCCGCCTCCGGGTCGACGAAGATGTTGAACTCGGCGTACGGGGTCGTGTTGCCGATGCGCTCCTTGCCGTCGACCTTGCCCAGCGGCGCGTCGGAGAAGCCTCCTCCGATGGATCCGCCCATGATGCTCAGGCCCTTGATGTGCGCGACGAGTTCCGGATACTTGCGGAATAGAGCGCCGACGTTGGTGACGGTGCCGGTGGCCACGATCCAGGCCGTGCCGGCCGGCTGGGCCTTGAGAGCGGCGGCCATGGCGTCGATGGCCGGCTCAGGGCGCGGAGAGCATTTCGGAACGGGGAGCAACTCGGTGCCGTCGAGGCCGCTTTCGCCGTGAATATCGGTCGGCGCATGGAGGGCAGGTCGCTCGAGGGCCTTGTTGAGGCCGACGTATAGGGGAATGTCATTGTGCTTGCCAAAGGCTGTCAGAATGGAAGCGGCATTGTGCGTCGTGTGTCTGGTAGAATATCAACGTCAGCTGCGAGTGCTCGGCTTGCAATGGTAGCAGAAGCAGCAGCCATCAAGCTAGAAGGCTTTGCGCTTTGGACTTAGCACGTACTCGAGGGAAGCATTTCCAAAGACTGTTGAAATACCTAGCAGGTTGATTCTGGGGTGGTGAGCTGCCAGCAGAATGGCAAAGGCATCCTGTGCGGAGAATATCCAGTTAGTTTGTTCGTTTCCGATAAAGTCGGCCACCAGCCGCCTCATGCAATGCGACTCTGCATAATCCTGCGTCTGAGCTTAACGAATTCTGGGAGACTCACATCGTGGCCCGGATCGCAATCCAGCCAAACGGGCACTTGGGCAGATGACATGTTTAGTGCAGGCAAGGGAGAGGGCTCGGAATAGATAGACAGTAAATGGCACCAAACGGGAGACGGGATACGTTCTCAATGAGCAAGAGAAAGTTTTACGGTATCTTAATGCCTCTCTTTATACGTAAGTTTAGAGATCGCGAAAGGGCGCACAGAAGGACTTGGAATCGAGGCAGGCTTTCACATTCCGTAATCGCGGACACCCACAGCCCCAGATGATGATTTCAAGGAATCAGCCACCGCACTCTCTCGGTTGACGGCGAGCCTTGGACAGACCTTCACTGCTCCAGGGAACCCGCTTCTTTTTTTTCTTTTCTCCGCAGTCGCAGGGCCCCAGAGTGGGGGAATCCATGCAGCGAGGCTTCCTTTGGCTGACCCCTCATTCATGCTTGATACTACTAGCAAGACTAGCATCGCCAGGAACCGAAAGTCTGTGTCATTGGCGTCTGGAATTTGATAATATCAGCGATTAAACTGGGGCCCTAGTCTCCATCCTGAGGGAACTTCAAGGTGTCTGGAAATCGTCGGCGTCCAGAGCTACACGTGACGGCCATGGGCTCATCGCTCTCTGGCTTGAGTCTTGACGGCAGCGCGGAGCTCCGCGATGGAGAGTCGAGTTGCCCAGAGCTGAACAATAATTGGGGGTATCTAGTACGTATATTGCTTGCTTATCCGGCCGCTATGGATACTCTGGAGAATCGAAATACACATTGTGTCCGCCGATTGCGCAAACAAAGTTGGACTTGTCGGCGTCCCGAGGCAGACCCTCTTACTCTGACTTCTTCCGCTGCTCGACGACCCGCATCACATCAGCTGCGCTGTTGACGTCGCCCTTTCGTTTCTTCGGCCCTCTCTTCCGTTTTGACTTGTCACCTCTACTAGACCCTTCCTCCCCAGCATCTTCGCCCCACCTCGATAGCTTGACTTTCTTATCTTCAAAGTCTTCTTCATCTTCAAACCTACTGGTGCCGAAGCCCATATCGATATCATCATCATCCCGACTCTGCATCTGGAGGAGTTTCTTTCGTCGTTCTTCCAGCGCCTTTGCTTCTTCCTTGGCCTTGTCATCTTCGGTATCTTGCTCAATAGGCCTGAGAGATGCTGCTTTCTTGATGGCTGCCAATATAGCGGGATCAGACATAGATGGCCCCTTGTTTGCTTCCTCAGAGATGAGTGCCGTTCTGGCGTCCTTGAAGTAATTGCGTCGCTCTGGTTGTGCAATGGACGGTTTTGGCGGAGGCGGCATGGCCTCATTAGTGTCTGTCTCTTTGCTCGCTTCGTGTTTGCTGCTGTCGTTCTCCTCTTTGTCCGACTCAGAGTCTGAATCCTCCATCCCGGCCAGCGGATCGTAATCATCGCCAGCGCCCTCAAAAATATCAATATCACCGTCGTCTTCCTCCGGTTCCTCTTTCTTCCGATATTGCTCAGGAACCTCCATTCCCAGTGGCTTGGCGTTCTTATCCGGCATGAGAAGACCGTTCCGCGCATCCTCCTCTTCAGGCTGTATCTTGCGGACTTTTCTTTTCTCATGTCCATCTTCATCCACAATGATTAAAACCTCCCTGCCTCTGCTATCTCTCTCGATCCGTGTTCCTGGTTTCTGTTTCGCTCCAATCTTTTTGAATCGATCTCCAAGAGCAGATTCTTGTTGTTGCTGTGCTGCTAAACGTGCTGCTTTTAGCTCTGCCAAAATCTGATCGCGTGTTCTCTTTTTTCCAGGTGCCAGGGATACAGTTGAAAGAGTACCCTTTTTCTTTTCCGCCTTTTCTTTCGTAATGGCTTGTACATCTTGTTCCTCGAGTCGATCGAATTCGTCGTCCACGTCTTCTTCTACCGTGGCTTCTTCGGTACTATCCTTTTCCGCTCCCTTATTTCCGTAGACATCCTCTCCTTTGCGCACCCTTTCGAGGAGTTTAAAGTCAAGTCCCTTGACCAGATGTGTGCTCGCAAGATCTCCGCCGGCGATCTGAAACCGTAGCTTTTCGTATGTTGCCTGGTCAATTTCTTCGTCTTTGAAAGACTTTTCGAGTGCCTTTAGTCTTTCTTCTCGGTCGTCTGTTTCGCTCTCTCGGACTTGCGATCTATCGACGTATCCCGTTCCTAGTTTCACACCCCTTGGTACAGACGATTTAAACTTCTTTGGGGGATGTAGAGCTTGATTCCGCTCTGCTAGTTGCCTCGCAAAATCGGCCTGAGCACCTCCTAAAGATCGCCTTAAAGTTGCGCGTCAGTATATCAACTCCGAATATGCCAGATACAATGGCTTACGGGGTCATGGGTATGCTGCTTCGTTGCCGAGATCCCAAGGAACCCGTGTTCGCGCTGGAGCTCGCGCCTTTGGGTGAGGCGCCATCTTTTGACGACTTGCCTGACTTGGCCAGCATCAACTTTCGGAATTGGTCATTATTCATGATTGCGGATATGCTCAAATGCGACAAAGAGCTGCTCCAATAAAAAAGACAAAAAAAAAAGGACGAAAGCGCAGCCTTGGAAGACAAGGCTGGGGGGCGTAGCGTAGGAGACCTGACAGGTCACGGGATGACGTGTAAGAGGCGTGCCAGCTTGTTCTCCACTTAACGCGGCAACTTGTACTCGTCACGTCACATCCCGCACTGCCGTTTCTCTTCTGCAAGTATTCCATCGTCGCCAATGAGATGTTGCCGTTTGACATTTGTTTAAAAAACTTATAACCCGAGTCGCATGGCACCGCACATCTAGAAAATGCCGTCGTCAATTAGTCAAAAGACCCCCTTTTATCTGCTTCATTGAATGAATCTGTGGGGCTTCACGGACTGGCGTTGCTCTTGATATGTGTGGCCGTGCATTTTGAATAACTCGAGCTGATCGGCTTTAACCCTCTCTAATTGCAACTTCCATATACTATTGTTGGATACAATGAATAGTGCACTGGAAAAGAACTCCTCCGCGGTGAGGAAACGCATTGAGAGCCATGTCTTTGAAGATGAAGAGGGAGAGGAGTATGAAGGCAGTGCATTCAATGGCTTTGGCGATTATTTCCGTCGGAAAAAGATCAAGCTGCAAAATTTGGATGCCGAAATACGCGCATCGTCTGACAAGCCACCCATCTTCAAAGGGGTTGTTGCTCATGTGAACGGGTACACTCAACCACCACTCCAAATGTAGGTACCCCTTTGCCCAACGGCAATAACTCATAAATGTGCTAAGCTGGATTTTGGCAGGCTTCACCGCGACATTGTAGAGCACGGAGGTGGCTTCCTCCAGTATCTAGACTCAAAAACCATGGCAACGCACATCATCACTGCGACCCTACCGCCAAAGAAGGCTGTTGAGTTTAGTCGATACAGAATTGTGAAGCCTGCATGGGTCGTCGATTCAATAAAAGCCGGAAAACTCTTGCCGTGGTCAGACTATCGAGTATTGGGCGAAAGTCCTAGCCAAAAGGTTTTGAAATTTGATGGCGACAGAGGACTCACACAATCCAGCCCAGCGGCCAGGCGCGGGTACAAGGAGCAGACAGAGAATAGCTTTTATACCAGCCAGATAAAAGCCGAATCACAACGCCATGCAGCAACCCAGCTCACGGAGAAATCGCCCTTGTCTAATCGGTGGCAAAACGACAAGTCTGATGAGCTGATGCAAAGCGCAGAAGTGACCGCAGGCCCTGTGTCTAATGAAAAGGATTCAACAAACAAAGCAGTCGATGAAGAATTCACAGACGAGCCTATGGATTTTGAACAACAGCCGGTGCCCGCTTCTACAAGCCCGACAGATCCTGCACAGGTACCTCCCAAAAATATGACTTCGGAAGAGCATAATGCTTGGCTTCTCTCAGATCCGAAAATAAGAAAGTCATCCACTGCGAATCCCGACTTTCTGAAGCAATTTTACTCAGAGAGTAGATTGCATCATCTCTCAACTTGGAAGGCCAGTTTAAAGTCATCGATGCAGCGTTTAGCAGCTGAAAAGGGCCTGTCAAATCGGAAGGTGAAGAGCCGACCTAGCTCTAGGAAGTACATTATGCATGTGGACTTTGACAGCTTCTTCTGCACAGTGTCGTTAAAGCGCCATCCTGAATATCTGGACAAGCCATCTGTTGTCGCCCATAGCACGGGTGCTGGCTCAGAAATCGCAAGTTGCAATTACGCTGCTCGGAATTATGGCGTCAAGAATGGCATGTGGATGAAAAGAGCCCTCGAGCTGTGCCCTGATCTAAAAGTTTTGCCTTACGATTTTCCCGCATATGAAGAGGTGAGCCGTCAATTCTACGAAGCCATCTTAGGAATAGGCGGCATTGTTCAGAGTGTAAGTGTCGACGAGGCCTTGGTTGATGCCACTGATGTCGTCCTTGCGGCCGCTGAATCACATGGCCTTGGAGTTGAAGAGGGCAGCCTCTGGAGGGAGCAGCAAAAGGTCGATGAGATAGCGTTGGCACTGCGCAACAAGATCAAAGAAAATACCGAGTGTGCCGTTTCTGTTGGTATCGGCGCAAACATTCTGCAAGCCAAGGTTGCCTTGAGGAAAGCAAAGCCCGACGGGCAGTTTCAATTAAGGCCAGAGCAAGTCATGGAAGTTATTGGTGATCTAAAGGTCGAGCAGCTACCAGGAGTGGCGTACAGTATCGGTGGGAAGCTAGAAGAACTGGGCGTCAAACTTGTCAAAGACCTCAGGGATATTCCAAAAGATCGCCTCGTAACGATTCTGGGCCCCAAGACCAGCGAAAAGCTTCATGACTATGCCCGTGGCATCGATCGGACGGAAGTCGGGGAGCAGCCTCCTAGGAAATCCGTATCGGCAGAGGTCAGTTGGGGGATCCGCTTCATCAATCAGGCCGAAGCTGAAGAGTTCGTCTATAACCTCTGCAAGGAATTGGAAAAGCGTCTGGTGAATGAGCAGGTCAAGGGAAAGCATCTGACAGTGAAGATCATGAGGCGGGCTCTCGATGCGCCTCTCGACCCAACAAAACATTTGGGGCATGGAAAATGCGATTCTTTCAACAAAAGTGCAGCTTTTGGTGTCGCAACACATAACTACGAGATGATTGGCAAGGAAGCGGTTTCAATACTGCGCTCGTTCAGATTCAGCCCTGGAGATCTTCGTGGGATTGGCGTTCAGATGACAAAATTGGAGTCGATCAAGTTGAATCCCCTGGCCGTGGAAGGAAGCCAGAGAAAGATTGCATTTGCTCCAGTCGTTGAGCCATATCCTCTAAAGCAGCAACCGAGAGAGCTAGTTGACGGAGCCGAAGAGCGGGATGGCTCGAGAAAAGGAGGGATAACTGGATCAGAACTCAATCCTCGTTCAGACGATCCTACAACACCTCAGAAACACAGAGGTAGCCCAGTTCGGGCTCTATACAGAGTAGGTCAAGATGATAAAAAAGTCACTACGAATATCAATGTTCCAGGCACACAATTCGTGTTGCCGAGCAGCCCTGATCCTATGGTCTTGGCCGAGTTACCCAGCGACATTCGTACTAAGCTTATGGCTCAGCGCCCGAAAGCAGCTGCTACTGAATTTCTAATGGAGACTCCTACGTCAAGACCACAAAGCCCGGTTCTAACGGATTTACTGTCCTCTCAGGTCGATATGGAAGTGTTTAATGCATTACCAGATGATATGAAGGCCGAGGTATTGGCGCTATATGGACGAAAGCCGGCTGAGCCTCTCCCGCAGCGTTCACCCGATAAACACGAAACAACTGGAGCTCGGAAGCCAGCAACTCCAACAAAACCCAGCGGATCTCGTAATACACTGGACAAAGTATCACGCCAGCGAGACGCTCAAGAGGGTGTAATTCAAACCAATTTTCGGATGCCGGTACCAACAGAGGAAGCTCAGCCTGAGGAAATTGAAGAACTGGATCCAGAATTCCTTGCGGAACTTCCAGAAGATGTCAGAAAGGAAGTAATTGCTGACCATCGACGGCGGCTGTTGGCGCTGCAGTCAGGATTGGAGATGCCGTTCCCAAGGAGCCATCAAGATGGCAATCTGCTTCCCGGAGGTCAGAAAATGATACAGTTTCCTATGTTGCCACCAGTAATATCGTTCTCCGGATCTATTTCTTCTACATCAGAGATCAAGGACATGGTAGATGCGTGGCATGCCCAGACTAGGAAGGCAGGGCCCCACAAACGAGATGTCGACGTTTTGGAAAGATATTTGGTGAACGTGATCAAAGAAGAAATGGATCTGACCAAAGCTGTTTCGTTGATCAAATGGCTAAGTATCGTGGTTGATCAGGACGGTGTCGACAGCAGAGGTCGCCGAGCCTGGAAGTTGGCAGTGAGCGGCATCAAAGCGGCAATGCAAGCCGCCGTTGAGGAAAGGGGGTTGGCACCATTGCAGATATGACATGACTGGATATCTCAGTAAGAAAATAATACAAATTTGTATATTGATTATAAAGGCTTCTATAGATAAATCACTTTAACAGTACCATTATGTCCAGATGCATACATCTCACGATTCTTCAGTCTATATAAATATTGCTAGATATTCAACCAACACGCTACATACATTACTCACCTTCTAGATAGATATGCCCCGTTCACACCCACACAGTAAATTTCAATAAGCAGTCATTATCATTATCGCGTAACGCATTACCATAACATCATCATGACCAGTCCGGTGGTGGCTAGGCTAAACAGGGTCGGGGTAGACAGCCCGCTCGCCAAAGAAACACGATAGACGGTCAGCTTCAATGAGCCACCACAGGCGGTCGTATTGTCGCCCTCGCAGGGATAATTGCAGGCAGTATCGTCGAGTTTCTCAGCTATGCCGGACAATGTCTGGGCGCACCAGCATTCTCTGTGGACGTTGAAGAGTCAGCCACGACACGTTCGCCCTCTTGTCTCGCGGCCATAAAGCTAATGAGTGAAACATACCTCGACCACTCCAGTCCCGCAAACCGATACTGCGTGGCGCCATTGCCGCAAAAGGCAAGACATATCGGCACCGTCATCTGGCCCGGCAGACTTTCATCGATGCCGCCGCCTAAAGCGCGCGTCTCGGCCGAGTCGGGAATCTGGGTTGTCTCGTTGTAGCACCCGAAGTATTTGTATTTCTTAGAATCGTCGTAAACGGAGACGGTGGCATTGGCGGCGTAGGCGAGCGGGATGAAGAGGAGGAGGTGCAGTAGGAGGGCCATTGGATGGTTCATGATGATTTCGATGGGTATATATCAAATTATTTGTTGGTAATCACAGGACGAGGAGCGCGGTATAGCGGGATCGAAGCTTCAAGTGTAAGGTAGCTGACGCTGGAAAAGAGGTTTATAGTACTGGATCTCTAACAAATTGATCGAGCTGCGCAACAGGAAATAAAAATCAACACTAGGCTTGCGCAAGGAAATGAAGAAAATTGACGAAAATTTCAATCCGCATTGATGGAGCGAAGATGATATGCAGCTGAAAAGCAGGCCTGCAGCAGCCTGTAGCAGCGATAACGAGCCCTGCAGCAGCTTATCTGATACGATGCAGCGCCAGCTCTGCGCCAAGATCTTGACTTTTTGGGGTCAATGCCGCCATGCACCGAGACTTGATGCTGTTAGCGACGCAGGATCGGACACGCCTATTTGTTAGTGTGCCGCCGCAAAGACTAACTCGCCCAAGTACTTGTATCCCACTAAATCTGGTCCCCTCCACAAACTCAGCTCCCCCACGCACAGCGATTCGATTGACGGACACGATCACCTCTTTTTTCCATGTACAAGCATCACATGGTCACGGCGAAACCTGCGCGCAGCTTCTGTGGCCTCTCCAACGACATTATCTCTCTCCCTGATTAATACGTACCTGCGCATTGCTAGCTGTGCCCCCTTCTCTCGCCCGCCATGAGCTCCTACATTGATTGGAACAAGACTACCAAGTCCAAGGACTACCGCGGATCCACGTCCTTTGCGACGTTTCTCGTCATCGGCCGTACGCTGCCCTCTCTGTTATTTCCTTGCGCCTCGCCCAGCCGCAACTGAGCGATGATGACCGACCACACTGTCGATCGTGACGTCTTGTGCTAACAGTGTCTTCAGCAACATGCTTCTTCCTGGGCATCCTCTTCGCGTCGTTCCCGTACGACTTTCCCCTCCTGTGGACCAAGGAGCCGGTCGCCGCCGACTACTACGACATGCTTGAGACGCACCTCAAGTTCGTTCACCAGTCGCCCCCGCTCATAGGGCGCCTTCTCAATATCATTATGAGCGTGGGCTTCCTCGGCCTCTTCATCAAGCTCTTCCGCCCCAGCGAGGCCAACTTTCTCTTTGACGGCGCCTCACTGATTCTGTACCTCATCGGCGTTGCCGTCTACATCTCCAACATTGTCAAGGGCCTGCGCACCGTCAGCTCTGGCTTCTGGCACACGGAGGAGTTCGCCGCTTCTCAGGGCCGGTTCGAAGGCGAGATTGTCCTTGGTCGTGAGGACAGCCTCAAGGTGCTGGCAGCGAGCAATACCATTCTGGCTCTGGTATTGGTGGGCATTCTCGTGCTGCAAGCAGGACAGTGGTATGCCGAGAAGAGGGATTTGGACGATGAGAAGGAAGTGGCCAAGAAGGAGGCCAAGAAGAAGCAGTGATGCGATGAAGCCTGTGGTTACGCGGGAACATCTGCGGTCCTACTAACGGTGAGATGATCATGGCATGGTATTACGACTAGGTGGTGTATTTGTAGCATCGGGTTTACCGGATCTCCGCGAGGTTGGATAGTACAAATCTCTCGTATGGCCGATTGATGCCTTGACGGCAGGCCACTTATAATAATACACTATAGACTGCCCCAGCAGATTTAACCTCTTGGCAACGAGCAAGGCTACTACTCCGTACTGTGCCGAGGTATGGGGATCCTCTCTACATTGTGCAGAAACCCCCAACATGGGGATCTTGATCCTACTCAGCCCCTCTCTCTTGAAACACCTCAACATTACTCTGTAAAAGAAATAGAGGGCAGCAAGATTCCTTAGCCCTAATCGCGAGAGCCACAGTGTTGATCGTACTGAATATGAGTAACTAGCACGACTAATGCGGATAAGCATACGACATCCTATGTGGATATTATTACATGTTTGGGCCAAGAAAAATTATCAGATCATCTGATAAGAAATTTGATGCGACTTGGATATTATAACCAGCGGGGCAGGACAAGACGCTAGCCAGGCCCAGGACATGGGCTTGCCTGCAGAAGAAAGAAGACGGCGGGTTTGTTTGTTGTGACCTGATTCATACTATCGAGGGCGATACAACAGTGTTCGATTCATTGTGATGTCAATATGGAATGAGAGTTTGGGTGAATTGGTATAATTTGCTTGTAAGTGGCGTAGACTCTTAAGGGATTTATCCGGAAAGAGCAAACTTGCAAAACAAGCTTCGAACGGAAATACATGGGATGGAAACTCAATTACGGAGTCGGTCTGTAGGCTTGAAAACTCTGAGCCAAGAAGGTTTCCATAAAAGAAACGAACCGTTAAAACGCTAATGCACAAGGTAGCTCCTTGGTGGTGAAGGACCCCTTGTGAGACAGAACGACAGAACCCAGCATGAATGTGCTCGTATGCGGTATGAGGTATGCAGCATTATGCGATGCTCTAATCCTCTAATGCTCACACTACTAAGGTAGGGTTGGTATCGTGTACATGTCTCAGAGAAATTATCTCATAGAGCAATGGCAATCCCCTTGCCGATGGCAGCTTACACGGTCACTGCTTAAGCCGTCATCTTTGTTTCAATGCGGGGAGCTCTGACGGGAGACGCCAGGTACAACTACCAAACGTAGACATCACTTCATCCAATGTAGGGGGAATACAACCAGCCGTGGTACCTGGCTGCCTCCCTGCGCCATGCAGCTGAGCGGTTTTCCGTTCCTAGGCGGGCGCCTATTCAGGCAATTTGCCGGGCTGTGATGTAGTACAAAGGAGCGTGGATCCAGAGGTGTGCAGGTATCATAAACAGATGCCAACTAGGACGGCAGGCAAACTTGGTCTCCGTAGGTTTTCTTGCGTTCTCGAAAGGTACAGATGAGTATGGGTGTAGGTTGAAGCATGATGTAGGCAAAATAGGCCATATAAAAGTCACCCATAGGTACACACTGTACATTTCTGACGGTATCAGCTTAAGCCTTATGACAGCTGAAGTTTGCAGAGAGCTACCTAAGCAGACAGCTTCCGTGGCAGGCTCCAAATGTCTATTAGTACTTTGTATGACACGGGTACTCCATGCTATAACTCCCCCTAAAAAAATGAAAAATGAAAAATGAAAAGTTACACTCAGGCACATGCAAGTGCCGGGGTGTGAACGCTCGTAACCGATCTCGGCAGGCACACGAATCAGAAGAGCCAATGACAGCCAATGACAGCCAATTGCCGACCCCCTCGCATCCTATCGATAAGCGTCGATAAGATTCAAATTTTTACAGTCACGCCTCTTGGGAGTCAGAGCAAGTGGGATAGCCTCGACAGTAATTTATGCCACGCCTCTACGATGTAGGGCCGAATCCCTGTCTTGTCTCTCGCCTTCTCCTAAACTCGATCAACTCTGCTACGAGTACGAGTACAAGCACGACGAAGAAGAAAAAATCCCGCGACTGCTCTAGACTGGGACAAACTCCGCCCGTCTCCTTTGTGTCACTTCCATTGCGCAACCCTTGCCTGCTTTTGCATGCCTAGGGCGAAGTCGGTGTGGGCTCGTTGCTGCTCGTACTAGCATTGCGAGCTCAAGGTCCCCCACACGGGAATCCCGTCGCCTCAAATTTAAAGCTTTTGGTGTCCTGGTTTTGCGCCTCCGAATCTCGTCGCTCTCACCTCGCCTCAAAGGGACTCGCCCTTTCACAATTTTGCCCAGCTGCCGCCTGCTCGCCGTATTCTTTCAAACCTGCTTTCAACCCCCGCTCCCACAGGAGAGGGGGCAAAGCTAGGGACTTGAAAGAAGTGCGTTGAGAGGAAGAAAAAAACCCTTTGTCGTTTTGCTCTTCCCTCTCCAACGCCCGAACCATCTCCGGAATGGCCCAAGCCACTCTCGATATGACTACCTCAGTCGCTATCCAGCCTGAGTTGGTATTCCAACGAAAAAGCCGAACTGCGACTATGGATGCTGTCGAAGACATCATCTACGGGTCGGTAAGTTGCACCCAAGAGCCTAACGATGCCGAGATTCGAAGAGGAAGCTGATGAGCTGGGATGCAGGTTGCCGGTATTGCAGGCAAATATATCGAATATCCCTTCGACACCGTCAAGGTTCGACTCCAGAGCCAGCCCGACCACCTACCGTTGAGGTACACCGGCCCATTGGACTGCTTCCGACAATCTATAAAGTCCGATGGCTTTCGCGGGCTGTACAGGGGAATCAGTGCCCCTCTGTTTGGCGCGGCTGCAGAAACTAGCAGTCTCTTTCTGTTCGAAAGCGTAGGGCGAGAGCTTCTATACAAGGCCAATATGGCTTCTCGTGACAAAGAGATGTCGCTGCCCTTGCTATGGCTCACCGGCGCCATATCTGGGGTTTTCACGTCCTTTGTCCTGACGCCGATCGAACTTGTCAAATGCAAGATTCAGGTGCCAGCCCTATCCGAGGGAGCGGCTGTAACCCATCTACGGCCCCTAGCTGTGATCCGTGAGGTGTATCGGCATGAGGGCATCAGAGGCTTTTGGCACGGCCAGGTTGGCACTCTGATTCGGGAAGCTGGTGGCTGTTCGGCCTGGTTCGGGGCCAAAGAGACGGCCACAAAGGCGTTTTACAGGTTGCGGCTGCGATCTGCCACCTCTGAGGCAGAGAGGGAAACGATCCGTTCGAAGCCTCTTCCTCTATGGCAACAGGCTATTGCCGGCGCATCGGGGGGCGTTTCATACAACTTTCTGTTCTTCCCTGCCGACACCATCAAGTCTCGCATGCAAACGTCGCCTGTGGGTGTTGCCCAACAGCGCCGAGACTTTTGGAGCGAGGGCCTGGCCATATGGAGGCACCACGGACTGCGAGGACTGTATCGTGGGTGTGGCATCACCTGCGCCAGGGCAGCACCTAGCTCCGCATTCATTTTCATTGTATATGACGGACTGAAACGCCATCTTCCCATGCAATAAGCTTGTTTGGGCATTCGGTGGCCAGTCTTTTCTATTCTTTCTTCTAATATTTCTTATCGTTTCCTAGTCATTGGCATGGCGAGAACATTTTTGTACAGTCGGTTTGCCAAGTTTAAAGGAGCATCGCAATAGCGTTTTTTTTTTTTTTTTTTTGTTTTATCTGCTTTCGAAGGTTGGGTGTCGCACACTAAAAAAGGGGGATTTTGGGTCATAAAGGACAAGGAGTCGTGATAGATATTTATAGGCGGTTGATCTAGCGATAGATGATTTAAATATCGCTGCTATTTTGCAATGAAGGCTATTTAACACGAATTCATTCGATACCGTGACGTGAAGTGTATTGGGACCGTAACTATGACGTGCCAGTTTTGTTAGTTTTACTGTTGCTTCTTATCCTCTCTAGCAGTCTCTTTGTCTGCCAGATCCCAATCATTCAAGTATCCCGCTCCAGCACTCAAGTATGTTGCAAAGCTCAACCACGCCAAGTAAGGCGCCTGGCACCAGCCCGTAACAGAATCAACGGATCCCCATAGGTAGGCCAAATAACCATTGAGGCCCAGTAGGGTAACGATGTCAATAGTAGCTTCAACTGGGCGGTTGGCGACAAAGAAGAGCGGCATCCAGACGAGGTTTAGGCCAAGCTGGACGGTGTAGATGGTCATGCTATGCTTTGTTGTCTGAATGGTCTGCGGCGAAGACAAGGGCGAGAGGCCGATGTTGGTGGCACGGTAGGCACCATATCCCATGAGCCTTGCAAGCACAGCAAGTCAGTCAAACACATTCTGGAGTACGCTTCATAATGGCCAACGAGAGAAAGAAATACCCATAGAGGACTGTCCAGACGGGCCCAAACACCCATGGCGGGGGACGTAAAGGAGGTTGCTTCAATTCAAGATATTTCTTTTGCGTCTTGGAAGCTATTTCAATTTCGTTGTTCAGAGGTTAGCTCAAGTTCTCACATGGCCGAATATTTATCGTGGCGAGCATCTTCTTACGTCGGGTGCCGAAACCAACTGCGGTGCCCAATGCGATGGGGAGGAGAATCGAAGAGGCGGGATTCTGGAACACCGCCGAAGGGATTGTGATGGCGGGGATGTAGGTGGTCATTTTTTCTTTATTGCTCGTGTGAAATGTGTGAGAATTGGAGGTTGGATGAGAATTCTAGGGAGAGGGATCTGATGGATTTAAAGGGAGTTTTGGCATTCATATGAGATGGACGGCCCTGGCGATGCATGACGCAATGTGCCGATTGGCTGGGACGGGGCCGGGAGGGAGGATCGGGATCTGGGAGGGATGGAGCACTTTGAGATGCGCTGAAGATGAGCTAATTTTACGTGCCAGCGGCTGCTGACCAGCCCATGTCCAATTCTTCAAAGACAACTGGAATACTCCGTATATTGAGAGGGGTAATGCAGGATGGGCTTATTACTGCATGACAAGGTCAAGTGTGCTCTGTAGATGCATTATCGTGCGGTGCTGGCAGGGTTACAGGACGTGATTCCGACCATCCTGGCCATTCATAGGTAGGCAGGTAGGAAGGTTTTCATTCGCCCGCATCATCTGCAGAAAACAAACACGCATCAAATGCATGCATGCATACACATACACTGTTGCGTTGCGCAAAACATCAGACCTCCATGCCCGCTGAAACGCGTGCTGCAGTGCTTGTTTGCGCCTTGTAGTGGCTGCTAGTGGCTGAAACCCACTGCATGGCCCGCCCAGTTAATGGGACAATTCTCGCGTCCTGGTGCTAAACGCGGTCTAACGCGCACCCACGCGCCGTTGCCTCGCGGCTGTGGAAAAACCCCCCCTGGTTCAACGCCAAAAACGCCCTTTTTCCAGACATGGGGGCTCAGCTCCAGCTTTCCCTCATAATACATTCGCACCTGCAATTTTCTTCCTAACCTGCAACAGCAACAGCATCTGCAACTGCAACCTGTCTTGGGCTCCTCCTTCTCTTGGTTCTGCACTTGCAATAACTGCTGCCATCACGACATTGCTGGAAGGAGCACCTTGGTTTTAGTCTTTCTATTCTTCCATCGGCAGCTGCAATGGCTCCTTCTTCCGAGCTGAGAAAGAGGACGCGCAGTGCTGTGGAAGCTGGTAGGTCCCACTGCTACTCTGCAGCCTCTATCAGATACTAACCTGTATCTCTCTTCAGTCGTCGAGGAGACTCCTAGCAAGAGGCTTCGTCGATGCCGGCTGGTGGACACCTCATTCAACGATGAGAACCAAGATCCCCAGTATGATGCTGTCGAAAACGATGAAAACGACGATGCTGAAGGCGAGCTCAATGAGTTGCCATCACGGAGGCACAGACGTAACCAGTCTCAGACCCCATCAAAACCAGTTCCCGTTACGCCCGCCACTTCTCGGCACCGAGATGTATTTGCCTCTTATCCCAGCACTCCGCGGCACGCCGTCATGTCGGCGGGCAAGCTGTTTAAGCGAATGACACCTCAGTCGCCACTCACGCCCACCACCATCCAGACCGTGTACCATCAAGCTCGACAGCTGTTTGCCAGAGGATCTGAGCCTGGCCAGCTGGTGGGAAGGGAAGCCGAGCGACAGCAGTTGACAGTATTCCTGGATCGCGTTTCGACATCATCTCCCGGAGGCTGCATCTACATCAGCGGTCCCCCCGGTACCGGAAAGAGTGCCATGATCACCAGCATGACAAAGGCGTACGCCGAGAAGGATGGAGTTCGCAGTGCATACGTCAACTGCATGAGCATCAAGTCGTCAAAGGATCTATATCACACACTGCTAGCTGCTCTCGGTGAAGACAGCAGCGACCTATCAGAAGCAGAGGCCATCTCATCTCTGCAGAAAATGTTTTCTTCCAAGGCCAAGTCGTCGGCCACCTACCTCGTCACCCTTGATGAGGTTGATCATATTCTTACATTGGATCTGGAGAGTCTGTATCGGGTATTTGAATGGTCTCTGGCAAAGTCCTCCAGGCTTATGCTCCTTGGCATCGCCAACGCTCTGGATCTTACAGACCGGTTTTTACCACGACTCAAATCAAAGAATCTTAAGCCGGAGCTACTTCCTTTCCTGCCATACACCGCGGCTCAGGTCAAGAACATCATCATTACCCGGTTGAAATCGCTGATGCCGGAAGGAAAGGAATCTTATGTTCCATTTATTCATCCCGCCGCCATCGAGCTCTGTTCTCGCAAGGTTTCAAGCCAGACTGGTGATCTACGCAAGGCATTTGAGATATGTCGTCGGGCTCTAGATCTGGTCGAAGCCGAGACCAGGTCAAAGCACGAGGAGGCAGCGCGGGAAAAGTTTTTGCAATTGACACCTACCAAGAAGCCTCTTGGAGAGAACATCAACGGCAACTCGACTGGAGGGTCCACTCGAAGCGTCTACCAGATTACAACGGCATCGCTCAAGGCATTGACTGCAGAGACTGCTCCACGAGCTTCAATTGGCCACCTGAACAAGGTCACGGCTGCCGCCTTCAGCAATGGAACTGCCCAGCGCCTCAAGGCCCTCAACCTACAGCAGAAGGCTGCCTTGTGTTCATTGGTGGCCTACGAAAACCATATTCGAACGATGGCCAAGGCGCCTGGTGCGCCTCTTACCCCCAGCAAGACACAGACACTGGCACCCACAATCAAGGTGCTCTTTGACAAGTACTGCAAGCTGTGCCTTCGTGATTCAGTGCTTCATCCCTTGTCGAGCTCCGAGTTCCGCGAAGTGGTGGGCAGCCTCGAGACCCTCGGGCTCGTCAATGCAGTGGAGGGAAAGACGGGCAGTTTCATAATGCCGCAGACACCTAGCAAAAGGGGTCGAAAAGCGACGGCTGCCAGTGGTGACGAAAAGCGGATTGCCAGCTGCGTCGGAGACAAGGACATGGAGACAATTGCCGACGGCGTTGGTGCCGACATCTTGAGAAGCATTCTGTCAGGCGAGGCATTGGACTAATCAAATTGAGAGGAGTTGGTGTATTAAGTATATATTCTGTTGCTTGGCATTGGTATTTGGCGCACATGGGATTTGATTTGGAATTGTGGCGATTGACGGCATTGACTGGCGTTTGCAACTGGTTTGGATTTTGTTTGAGTATTGTATTGGGCACAACTAACAAGTTGTTGTAATATTGCATAAGGGGCGAGCATACATAGCATGATGAGCATGGACGATTCAAACGTGCGTTATTTGGTACATGGAAAAGAGCAGATAGACAAAGAAAGATACTGTTAGTGGATGCAGAATAAAAGGACGCTGGAGATGAATTCGATGCAATGTTCACATATGGCCCTGTGTGATGTTGAAACTCTTTGATTTCTGCCCGTATTACTCTTTGGTGTCAATACCTACTCAGGTGCCCAGTAGGTACTGTATTCAAGAGTGCCCTAATTGCATCATGATTGCAGGATGTCGGTTAGACGGCATCAACAGGAGTCACTTGCTTTCAGTCGGTGCTTCCACGGCGTTGAGTCTATCGGGCGCTGACGACACAGAGCAGGGATCAGAAATTGGGGCAGAAAGGCCTAGACTCTTCTATGCTGTCTATGTGGGTGCATCACCAAAGAATCGAATTTGGCATATTACCGACACATATAAGTGCGGCGCAGGTACGTGTGGGCAGAGAGCGGGAATAGAGACTCCGACATGCGCAAAGGGCCCCGCAGTTTTGGTGCAAACAGCAGGCCGGATTAACCGGACCGGCGGCACGAAGCAGGACCGGCGGCCACGTTTGTGATGGGGGATGGAGCGTGTACGAGGCATGTAAGTTTATATACGGAATCGCTGAAGCGTCAGCTTGCAGCACAACCAAGCTTTTTTCTTGGCTCTCTCAAGTGCCGGGTGCCTAGACGATCTCTCCGAAGCACCCGGGGGAAGGGGGGAAGGATATGGCCCAAGCTCTGAAGGGGGGGATGGGGAAGAATGGAATGGATGGATGAGAAGAGGTTGAAGTCACGAAACGAAACAACAGGTCCCTGGAATAGATGAGGTCGGTGCTATTAGCTGGTGCCTGGAGGTGGGGAGTAGAAGGTACGTGTGCAGGGGGGTCGCTAGGTAGTTTAGCTGATTTGGGGGACATGGAGCGAAAGGCTTGACAGTTGACTTGCCTTAGTACTCCGTATGTACGCTGCCAAGCTTACAGGTACAGCACATCTAGTACAGTAAGATCAATCAATGCAGTGCAGTGGTTAGTGGGCAGGGGAGGGGAGGGGACAGGACAGGCGCCTGTTGGGTGGCCTCAACTTTTTGCGTCGCTTCTCGGCTGCGAGTGGCAGCACTGGAGCGGCCCAATCCGTCCAAGCACAGTCGCCTCGCTGCAACTTGGCCAAAGCGGGTGCATGTGCATTTGGCAAATCCCCAACTGAGATGCGCCAACCCAATCAGGCAGGATAATCGGCTGGCTGGCCTTTCTGGCTGGGCGAGCGTGCCCTTTTTCGATCTCTCTTGCGTCTGAGTCTGTGTCTGCTCGGTGTCTGCAATTCAGCATCTTTGTCTTGTGTGTCTTGTCATTCTTTGTTCTGCCACTCCTTTTTTTTTTTTTCCCCTTGCTCTCGCAGCGTCGTCATCGCCAGGAATGTTTGGTGCTAGCCTCGCAGCGACGCAACCAGCGCGGCTTGCCGAACTTTCCCTCTTTCAACGCCTCTGGCCCCCCTCCACCGTGCCGGTCTGCCGCTCGCTGGAGCAAGGCTGCTGTGCAGTTTAATATTAGGAATTGTTTTATCTGCAGACGAACGACAGAGAGGGAGAAGTAGGGAGATAAATCCCACCGGCGCCGGGTCTAGCTTTTTGGTTTTCTCTCTCGCTCTTTTCTTTCCCTTTCTTATTCTTTGTCTTTTCTCTTTTTTTTTTTCCTTTTCCTTTTCTCATCTTTGGTTCTATTTGGGAAACGCTGTCGATTTGGGGGGTTCCGAAGCGCCAGACCACGAGCCACGACTACGAGCCACGATCTACGACCCTCGAATCTGCGGCTCCCACGGCGATAGCGACGACAACCACGACCAGCCACAGCGTCCCTACGGCCGTTGCAGCGACCGGCGACCGCTCGAGCCCGCCCTGTCACGCTCATGCCAGCATCTCGGGGCAGCGGCGGCGTGTCGACATCGTCGGCCTCGGCGTCCGTGTCGTTACCATCGCTCCCTGCCGCCTCGACCGCAGCAAGAGACACCAGAGACAGAGATAGCACGCCGTCGACGCCATCCTCACCATCACCGACTCCAGCCTCGCCCTCCTCGCCCCCTGCCGCTGCCGTTGCCGCTACCGACAGCCAGCCGCCTCGGTCGTCGATCCCTGCAGCAACATCCCCATCCTCAAGATCATCCAACACCGCCTCAATATCTACGCCTGCCCTCTCGCACACTCCCGTCCCTACGACAACATCTACGTCTTCTTCCGCGTCCGTGTCGCGCCCTGGCCTGCTGGCGCGCCTGGGCAGCTCCCTCAATCTACCTCTCCCTCTGCGCAACCGCAACCGCAGCGTGACCGACTTCCATGTCCGCTGCGACGAACCTCACCGGAAATATGGCGCTGGCGACCACGTCCACGGCTCCGTCGTCCTGGTCGTTGTCAAGCCGGTGCGCATCACCCACCTGGTTGTTACGCTGCACGGCTTCGTGCGCGTGCTGAGGGATCCCGCTGGCGCCGCCAAGGTCCGCAATATCACCACGCTGCCGCAGGGGGGGAGCTCATCGCGCCCGCAGTATCATGGCAACGGCTTCGCAAGCCTCTTCCAGGACGAGCAGGTGCTGAGCGGCGAGGGCAGGCTTGATCCCGGCAGATACGAATTCGGCTTCGACTTGGTGTTCCCCGACAAAGGACTGCCAAGTAGCATTGACGTGAGTTCCCTATCGCGTAGTCCGCGCCTGATATCTTGGCATGTATATATATATATATATATATATATATATATGTACAAGGGACATCAACTATCAAGACAGTTATTAATTATGTTTGTGCCCCAATCTAGTTCGAGCGCGGAACCGTATCCTACATGGTCACGGCAACTTTAACACGCCCCCTATCCATGGCGGCGACAATGACATGCGAGAGAAAGGTCATGTTGACCGAGAGGATAGACGTGGGCTTATTGCCACCGCCGCAGCCGAGAACTATCTTTCTTGAACCAATATCTAAGAAAACGAGAAAGAAGAAGTCGTCAATGGCGCTGGACAAGAGTTCTCTTGTTACGCCAGAGCCCATCGACGTGGTACCTGAACCCGACGCAGGGGAACCGCTCTCGTCCCCTACTGAGGATGCCGCCGCGCGTGAGAATCCCGGTGGCGATCAGCAAAGCGAACGCCGAGGAGCAGCCGCATTGAGCGACGTGCAGAGTGAGGTCAGCGGCGAGAGCGGGCGCAGCATCAGCACGGCCATGAGTCGGAGCGACTTGACTCAGTTATCGCAGGTTGGCACCAGTGCCTTCATGTCAGCGCAGCAGCAAGCTGTCAATGACAAAACCATCACTGCCAGCATTGAGCTTCTCAAGGGCGGCTGCCTGCCAGGCGATGCCGTGTCGGTGCGGGTTACGGTGCAGCACATCAAGCAGGTCAAGAGCATGACTGGTGTCATCGTGACGCTTTTCCGCCAGGGCAAAATCGATACCTCACCTCCATCACAGCTGTTCAAGGACATGATGACCAAGGAGGATGCCCGTCGAATACAGAAAGAAGATGTATACCCCAGGTCACGCACGGGATTGGGCGGCCTTTCCCTCTCGTCTGCCGGTTCCATCAGCGTGTTCCGCAAAGACCTCGACCAGACAACGGCACCGCTCATCATAGATCCGGAAACCATGCAGGCATCGGTCACGGTGCCGGTCAAGCTCCCTAACGACTCGTTCCCGACTATCAAGGGGGTGCCCGGAGATATGATCTCTTTCAAGTACCAGGTAGAAGTTATTGTTGATCTGGGCGGGAGACTATCTGGCCACTTCCCATCCCGAAAGACTTCGAGGTTTGGCACATTTAGCAGCAGCGCCACCGATCAGACCATAAGCATGTTTTCACAGAGGAGGGGTGCTCAGATCGAAATCATTGACACTGGTCCTCTCAAAAGGCAAAAGGGCGTTGTTTGCGTGACAATCGAGTCCATCGTCGGCACAGTAGACTCCTCGGGGCAACGGAAGCTCGTCAAGTTGTCCTCGTCGTCAAAAACGCTCGACAATGCCGAGAGTGACGACGAGGTGGGCTTTGTCCCAACCCCGACTCGCTACGAAGAAATCGACCGCAACAGTCCGCATCCTCAAGGGCCGCCACCACATGAATACTTTCCTCCGCTCGCAAACCACCAGCGTCCATCCTACTCCCCTACTCCTCTCCATCACCCTTCCCATCCGCAACCAAGTAATCACGACCTTGCACCATTATACACACCGCCCCCTCCTCAGCTACCTAATCCAAGTAGCTTGACGGAGAAGGATCGCATACGACAAGCAGAGCAAAGACTGCTACCCAGTCGTCCGCAGGCCGGACCATCTTCGCCCGACGAAGACGACATTTACGATGCCCAAGCCACACCACGACCACCTTATGCAGGCAATTCAGGAGAAGAAGATAACATTGGACCGTCGGCTCCGACAGAAGAAGAGCTCACGGCTGCCGTCAACGTTCCGATGAACGCCGGGGAGGATAAACAGGAGCTTGAGCGGAGGCGACTGATGCAAGAGGCCAGTGCTCCCCCTGACTTCCCCGAGGACATGGATCGAAGTGGCGCGCCTGGTCGAGCCCCTAGGGAAGACGACCTGACGGCCGATGCTGAACCGACTGCGCCCATGTTGATTGAAGATGAGGACGATTATCCGGGGTATAATGCCAACGCAACATCATCTGGCAGTACAAGTGCACACAGGAGACACGATAACGATGATGGGGAGCAGTTACCGGCATATCAGCGGTGATGTTGGGCAATTTCCGCAGTGCATGCAGAATACGTATGCAACGAAAAGACACATACTTCTTTATTATCCATTTTTCATGTATCTTTTTTACTTTACTCTTTTTTAAACATGTCCGCGTTACAGAGCATGCATGAGACTGGCGTTGGGTGCAGATAAGGGATGAAGGGATACACAGGGGTGTGCCATTTACCACGGCGTCACTCTTACTAGGAATGGCTGCTTCTTATATATATATACATGTATATTTGCCGAGCGGGCATTTGATGTTCTGCCGACCTTTTTTTTATATATCATTATCAATTAAGTAGGGATGAGGAATGTTGTGCGTATATAACATGAATGGACGAGTAAATTCGACAAGGCATGTAATCATTTTCTTTTTTCTTTTTTTTCACTTATTACATATAAAGTACATGTCGTTTGAGCGGCGTCAACATGAGTTGAGTTGTTGTTACATGGTCTATCGAATCGCCCTCCCCGTCTAGATGCCTTCCTTTAGATGAGTGTCTTTCTCTCTTTTCCCATTGAGAGTTACACGCGAAGCAAGAAACGTTTTGACAGCGGAAAATCTATACACAAGAATAAACACGCAGCATCCCAGCATTCAAAAACATCCCATCAGTGCTCCAGCACCACCGGTCGGCCTTCTTCCCAGTTATCCAGACTCTGCTTGATATTGACCCAATACCGCAACTTGACGGCCTCCCTCTTCGCCGCCGGCACGTCGTCCTCCCGAAAGGCCTCTTCAAGAACATCTTCGCTCTTTCCAATGCGCGCATCATTCACCGCCCTCAACTCGGCGAGATCCTCCTCCTTGTTGGCATCCGAGATTTCTTCGTGCGCCTCCAGGACCACGGCCAGCAGGCTCGGGTCGTCAACCTGCATCGTCTCGTCGGTGGCGACGTTGACCCCGCGCAGGGAGAGGAGGTACTGCGCGCGCAGGAGCGGGTTCGTGAGCGTCTTGTAGGCGTCGTTGATGAGTGCCGAGGTGGCTTCCGCGCGGGTCTTGAGGGGGCCGGGCGGGTGCATGTCAGGATGGTGACGGGCCTGGAGGCGCAGGAACTCGCGGCGGAGGGCGCGCGTGTCGATGGGGAAGTGGCCTGCGGGAGGGGGTCCCAGGGGCAGCGTCTCGGGGAAGATGTCGTAGTGCGTCAACGGCTGTTGGGCGGCTTGTTCTGACGCTGACGCTGGTGATGATGTCGAGGCTGCTGCTGCTGCTGCTGCTGCTGCTTGTGTCGGGGAGGGCGCGGGCGAGGGCTCGGATACGGCGGCGCTGCTGGAGAAGAATGCGGCCCTGGGATGTCGCTGCGGCAATGCTGCCCTCGAGGTGCTGCCGACGCAGGTTGCGATGCTATGCGACGCACGAGCTGTCGGCGTCGTCATGGACATGGATCGCGACGCTTGGAGACGGCATCGTGCGCAGGGCTGGGCCACGAAGCCGAGGGCCTTTGCCGCGGAAGCTGTCGAGCGCATGGATTCCGTTCGTTTTATATAACTGGTATAGGTAATGATAAGAAAGGAAGAGCAAAAAAAGATAAACCCGGTCTAGTTCTCCCGTTGGACGTGGTAACGTGGCACTACAGCATCCAGACGTGCATGTGTATTGCTGCAGTAGTTTTCTTTTATCCCCAGGAACTTCTTAGTTCCAAAGATTGCTTGCCGCCACAACAATTTGCACGGAGATATTCCGGCAGCTACGGCCTATGAGGTCACCAGAATACACAACGATAAGTGCTCTGCGATAGGAAACATTCGGCTAAACGCGGGCTAAACCGATAAGACGTGGGGGGGCAAGTTGCCGCAGTTCGCCGCAGTTGTGTTGTCGGCCATCTTTGCCCCGTCGGCTTAGCGAAATTCCGCCCTTTGCGTTTCTTCTGTGGTGGCCCCCCGAAACCGGGCCCGATGATTGCCGAATCGGGGCAGGGACGGCGGTCGGATAAATGCCGGACTAATGCCAATTGCTGGAATTACTCCAATGGGAACGCGACGGGAGTAATTAGACATTTACGCGAAAAGCAATCTTCAATTGATTCGACTGCTTGATATGCAATTCATTATTTCATGCTGAGTTGTACACTGCTGTCAATTGTGCCGTCACGATGCACCAAAAGACCATGATGAATTGATATTTACATTGTTTATCTGGATGAAGCAATGAAACCGTCGAACAGAGAATCAAAATACTGCTGTACAGGGTAGCACGAATTGCAGCGAAACCAGCAAAAAACATCCGACTATAGCCCAAGCCAAAAGTATTACCGAAAGGGCGATGTTCATTGGTGGGAAGATTGATTCAAGGCGCAAGTAGCTCCCTTCCCCACATCAGACTAAACTCCACCCCTAGTCTTACCTCCCTCTCCAGCTATACAAAGTAAGATCCGCTGGGCGAACTCGGCGGACGACGCCCATCATTAATAGAGGGCGATAGAACTTGCTGTCAAAGCTGGCGACAAGTCCATTGTCATCTCCAATTCCCTCATAGACGAGAGAACCAGCGACAAAAAGACTACACCATGGCCAAGGTATTCGACGCCGCCGAAGGTATGTCCCGCCATTGGCTGCTGCTGGTGTCTCCCTACCCAGGTACTGAATGTCTGCAGTCGCAAAGCACAACACCGCCGACAGCTGTTGGGTCATCCTCTACGGCCAGGTGTACGACGTGACCGACTTCCTCTCCTCGCACCCCGGCGGCGCAAAAGTGATTCTCCAATTGGCCGGCAAGGATGCCACCGAGGACTTTGATCCCATTCACCCGTCGGGCACGCTGGACGAGCTCAAGCCCGAGGCCAAGCTGGGAACTGTCGACCCCAAGACGTTGGCCGCAGCGAAGCCGGCTCCAGTCGAGAAGAATGACGATACTCCCCCGCCCCTCGAAACGCTTCTGAATCTCGACGAGATAGAGGCAGAGGCCACCAAGCGGATTCCGAAAAAGGCATGGGCATACTACTACTCTGCCGGTGATGATATGATCACCAAGACCTTCAACAATACAGTATACCGAGACATCCTACTACGACCGCGCATCTTCGTCGACTGCACACAATGTGACATGTCGACAACTCTCGTCGGCCAAAAAGTTGGCCTCCCCATATATATCAGCCCGGCTGCCATGGCCAGGTTAGCTCACCCAGACGGCGAGCTCGGTATCGCCAGGGCGGCAGCCAAGTTCGGCGCCATGCAGCTCGTCTCCAACAACTCGTCAATGACGCCAGAGGAAATTGCTGCCGAGGCAAAGCCAGGCCAGGTCTTTGGGTGGCAGCTATACGTGCAGAACCGTCGCGAGCGAAGTGAAGATATGCTGCGACGCATTAACAAGATGAGAGACCGATACAAGCTCATTGTTCTGACACTCGACGCAGCCGTGCCCGGTAAGCGTGAGATTGACGAGAGGTCCAACTTCGACAAGGGCTTTGTAGCTGAGCCTGGTGTCAAGAGCGGCCTGGAGAAGCGTCCTGGCGGCGGTGGTGTTGGCCAGCAGCTATTCTTCGGCACAGCTAGCGACTTGACATGGCAGACGACGCTGCCGTGGCTGGCAAAGCACACAGACCTGCCAATCGTGCTAAAGGGTATTCACACATACGAGGACGCTTACCTTGCTGCCCAGTACGCGCCGCAGGTCAAGGCCATCATCATCTCGAACCACGGTGGGCGAGCGCTGGATACAGCTTCGCCCCCGGTTCACGTTTTGCTTGAAATCAGAAAGCATTGCCCCGAAGTGTTTGACAAGATCGAGGTTTGGGTCGATGGCGGCATCAAGAGAGGCACAGACGTTGTCAAGGCCCTCTGTCTCGGTGCCAAAGCCGTGGGCATTGGCCGTGCTGCCTTGTTTGGACTCGGTGCTGGAGGCGCAGCTGGCGTGGAGCGAACGTTGGAAAGTGAGTTGATCCCCCCAAGTTTCCCGAACCCAATGCATCAGCGATGTCGGAATTCCTGCCACTATGAAGACCGTATCTTGTTCGTCGTAGCTGTGATGATATGATGTGATATCCGAGAGCGATCCCGCTCCGGAGGATGAACCATGTCATCATGGCCCATGCCCATCCTTGCGCATCTTTCCCCTCACCTTCACGTCATGCTTCAGAAAATATCAAGAGCAGATTTTTCTAACAATTCGGGCGATTTCGGCCCTGAATAGTTCTCGAGGCGGAGACGTCCACATGCATGAGACTCCTCGGAGTGAAGAATATACAGGAGCTCGGCCCAAGATTTGTAAGTGCTGAATCCTTTAGTCTGCCCCCGCCTCCCCCGGATACGAATCCGGAGGCTAGAAAAGGCGAAAATGCCGCCCCCAGGATTTTGATCTGGCGATCTTTGGTAGCAATAGCTGATGTTTGGGGCCCCAGATCAATACTCGCCGTGTGGAGAGAGATATTTTCGACGGAGGTGCGGAGCTGGGCCAGCAGGGGCTGTGGGCGAAGCCCAAGTTGTGAGGAATCTTTCATATGCATCCTCGGCAGCTCGTGATGGCACGCACAAGCTGACGGCGGGGTTTGGTGGGGAGTGGGTAGGACAACCACTAGCGCTCTGCAGCTGTGAACGATCAAAGCTGGGGAAGATTGCGAGATTGTCATGTCAAGACGGTCTGGGGTAGGTACATGTAGCGTTGCCAAGTTGCTTGGCCTTGGCTAGAGAAAAAAACAGTAAGCGAGCGAGATATACAGGCGAAACGGTTCTAGCCTGGCACTGTAGTTTGAATGATACGCAAATGATTCACGCAATGATCATCCATGGTGTCGAAGAAGAGCTTATGTGCCTAACCAAATATATCCGAGAGCACATCGATAACTTGTATGCTAGCTTAGCTCTTGATGGCTAATAGTTTCACCGTCATTTGTCGTGGTGATCAGGATCAACAGCCATGACGAGAAGGGCTCACTTGTCGTGTTAGTCTGCACACGATGCCCCTGCCTGAGATTGTTGCGTTAGTATATGCAGCTACTGTTGTTATACCAACAGGGAGTACAGTTATGAATGACTAGAAATCCACTTGTCCCGTGTTCTAATAAAAAACCTCAATACAATTTCGAACGCCGGAGCTTGGCGCACATGCTGAAGGAATGAATCCCATACTAAGCCCCTTCCGACACCGCACTTGTGCAGAGACCTCCTTGAGCACGGATGGCTAGCTGGTCTGTAACTAGAAGGGGAGGTCTCTAAAAAGAGGGCGCTCCAAGTATCGTTGGTCTGGCGAGTCTGGTAATGCGTCAATGTCAACGGAACTGGTGTGGTACAGGTATGGCTCAGTGTGTATGACAAGACGGCCAAAATGGGCATGTGCTGTAGCTGAATCTGGCAAGGATCACACGATAGTCTCCGTGTTGCAACACACAAACCTGAAGGGAATGCGTGAGCAAAGAGTCCAGGGTCCCTCAGCTCAAAGAATGGGGATTGGTTCGGGAGCCGTGCCAATAACGTAATGTCTCTGCAGTTCACCGGGTGCGCCGAAGGTCTTGAGCTTTCCTCATGTCTCTTCCGTGTGTGTGCCGAGAACTGTTACTATGTTTAAGTGTGCTGCATGTTGGTCGCGTCTCTGCACAAAGGAGCAGACCATGGCGCTTCGTATCTGCTGCAGCCGCCATTGCTCCCGAAACTTGTTTGCGGTCTGTAGGTGCCAAGAAACAGCAGCTTCTGCCACACCGTCGTAGACGCGTCTAGAACTCGCGCAAGTGCATCCAAGGAAACGTTCGCTCTCCAAACTACTAACCATATTCTTGTATCCGGTCTTCCGATGATTGCACACGGTGCCCATACGAGAAACAGACGGGCAACCTGTAACAGCCCGCGCCACAACACAGGGCAACCTATCGTGGACTCAATGCCGGCACCATACAATTAGGTTTGCTGTGGCGAAGTCTCGAGAAAAGAACCAACCCTCCCTTGGCCAGCCTTGGGAAACAAATCTGGAAATCATCGGCCGTGTGCGATTGGCTGAAGGGCGCCATCCAAGCCCACGCCGCCGGGTCAACCGACAAATTTTGATGGTGTGGAGCTACGCCAGACAAAAGAGCTGCTGGATGGCGTGTGTCATAAGATTCTAAATGCCCATGGCCCTCCATTTCGCTACTATGCCGATATGACAAAGCTACAGTAGCTTCACACGCTGAAACTCGTCGCATCGTGCCGAGATACGCAAGATTCATCAAACGCGCTGTCCAGTTGCTTCACATATTGAAGCTATAATTGGAGCTTTTCCCCTTGTTGCTTTTGTGATAAGTGTCTCATAAATGGAAGGGTGGGGGTCTTTTATTTCCGTCCTGCCAATCGTGTTAGCGAGTTGCTATTTTCTCATGACGGCCGCCTGTCATTGCATGAATCGCATCAGCCAGGATCAGGTCGAGATAAGGTACCAATGGCCGGCAGACAAAGAGCCCTGCAGTAATCAAGGGACATATCGTGTGTTCGGTGTAACAGTCTTGATGAGACGAGACGAGACGCTAATCAGATGTTACTGCAAATAATACCTGCAAGTACATCCAACCTGTAAAAAATTTTCTCTTCTTCCCCATTGTGCTTATCCCAAAGCTCCGTCTATTTGTCTAAGTGACTAATACGAGTAGCTGCAGGATTCGGCTTGTGGACCCAGGATAGCTGGCTCTCGATGCTATACCCAGACATGCAGTACTACAAGTATTTGGTTTAATTGTACTCGTATTTCATTTGTGTTCCGCATGTTGATATGGAGATCTTCTGACAGTATTACTCCGTAGTGCATTTTGAGAGATGATGAGATGCGGTGGCGTCTTTAAGTGCGGCCCGGTGGCTCGCCGGAACGGTTCCCAGTCAGGAAGCATCTCCTGCAGGCTTTGCTAAGGTTGTGTGGCAAGCTGTGGAGACGCTTTGCCATGGTCGCATGGAGAGCAACTTAAGGCCGGTCCTCATCTCATGGCGCAGATTGGCTGTGTTTCTCCTACTCGGCCCTTTCGCCTAGCTTGGTTGGGTCTGAAGCCCCCTATTGCGTTGCCACTGGGCGTGTGCCAGAGTTGATTGAAATTGAGTGTCAAGCACGAGATGCCGTTTCGAACCCGATTGTACATGAGGATGAGGCGAGAGAGCCACGCCAGTTGTCTAGATGGCAGGGGTGTTTGGCATCATGCTCTGCTGTCTGTCGTGGACCGTGCTGTACTGTAGCACCTGAAGCGGCACCTTGGCAGTGATCCATTCTTGCAGATGTGTCATAGTATCACTCAAAAGATGGCATGATGCTTGCTTGTCCTTTGTAAAAGGCAGTACGGAGTACAAAGACAAACAAGACTGATGACAGCCGAGTCAAGCGGAGTCTGCTGCTAAGCTTGGACGGGGCGGGCTGGGTCGCGTGCAAGAAGAATTTTATCTCAACGTGCCCATCTATGTACTAATTGCCATGCCATCATTGGACGATCTTTGATAAGGAATGCCTTGCTTTGCAAACCAAAGCGAGCAGCTTATTTCCTTGTCAACTTGTGTACCGTAACAGTAGCTGGTGGTCCTGCAAGTCGGTCGAGGATTGTCCGAAACTTGGATCGACGACGCCTCTCTTCTGCTTCCTCCCATCGCCGGTTCCTGCGTCGTCGTCGACTTTCACGTGTAACCCAGATTCACAAGCAGCCGAGGGATCTTCGAGTTAGTGGCCGGCAGGTAAACAGACATCCATGTCCTACTCACACACAATTCTTGTCATTTTGGGGGCCACACAGGCATCGATCAAACAAATAATGGCTGTATTAGAGGCCTGGCAACCTGGTTGGGAGCGAGTGGCGGCGCAGTTGCAGCGGTAGTGCCACTTCCAGCAGGTACTAAGGTACTTGCTGGGTAGTGCCTGTAGGAGCGCTACAGCGATTATCCGAGCCCCGGATTGCAGCGCTGGGCGCAAAGGTACCCCGTCCGGTACAGCGATCAGCAGCTGAAGTCTGACTGCAGCTGCGGTACATGCAGGTATCTGGTGCCTTTGCGGGGAGGCTTGCGACTAGGGCGGAAAAAAAAACAGTCTCGGGGGAGTGCCCAAAGCGGCATGGCGCGCTGCCTCCCCGCCGTGTCTCGTGTACCGAGTCTTAGCTGGCTGCAAATCGCTGCACTGTTGCAGGGGATTGTGGAGATTGGCGGCCGTGAGTGGCTGCGAGCTAGATGCAGATGAGCAGGGAAGAAGAAGAAAAAACGGATCTTTCTGCCAAGGGTGGGCAGCCGATGCCTGGCAAGCCTGAGAAGCCTGGGGGGGAGTGGCGCTGGAAGAACTTGAGGGATTGGGGCCGGCCTAACACCAAACGTGGAAGACGCTGGGAGAGCCTATTCTCTACGGGACGCCTTTTGCTTCATGATGCGTAATGGCGCTGTGCTTGTGTGTCGCGCAAGCGGCCTAGAGCGAGGGGAAGAGGGAGGGGGTGTGAACATCACAAGACTGGATGGTACAGACAGTAGTTTGGCTTGGCTCTAGCAGTAACTCAAAGAGCAACAGCCGTTCTCGCGTCTGGGGGAGGCCATCGCCAGAAATGCCAACAGCCGTGAGCTAGTACCAGGCCCATGACCCTCCCTGCGCCAATCTTGCCCCTGCTCGTCGCTGCCCTTCCGCTGCTCCCATGTCTGGCTCGCGGGATACTTGTACTTAAGCATCGCCATCGCCAAATTCGAGCTCGTAGTCGTACCCCGGCTTTGCTTTTCCTCCTCCATAGTTGTTGTGGAGGTTTTGCGAGCGCCTCCGATCCATCTTCCGGCCGCCGCCACCGCCATCGCCGACTCCAAGCCCCCGATAGGTTGATGAGGGCTTCTAAGAGTTTGTGATTGCCCAAAGTTTGTCTCTTTTTCATCGACTGGAACGAAGGTCTCGCTGTGCAAGACATCTATATCTCCAACTTAGGACGGAACGGGCTCGGGATATCAATTCCCCAGTGGTTCTCGCTCCTCCTCCTTTTTTTTTCTTTTCTTCACGACACACGACAACCGCCTGCTAAGAGCTCAAGACGAGGGAAAAGGAAAAGGAAAAAATGTCCGACAAGCAGGAGAGTGATAACGCTGAGGTCGTTCAGACCGAGAGCAGAGCCTATCAGCCGGCAGCCGTACCCACGAACAAAAAGGGAAAGTTTGCGCGTCACCTCAAGCGCTTTTGGTGGGCATATCTGCTCGTCTTCCTCTGTGGAGTTGTCCTGGCCGTCTGCTTAACGTAAGTGTCTCAATGAAAGGAGTTGTTGACGCGAATGTTCTTCGACTTGAAAGAGAAGGAATGATAATAAATGTTCTGTCTCACTAACACCTGGTCCAGCATCTTCGTTGGTGTCCCCAGGATTGCCCAGACCAAGGTCAACGATGCCAAACTGGAGATCCAGGGCGTCAATGTCCTCAACACTAAGCCCGACAGCATCTTACTCCAAATCAACTCCACCATCACTACCGATGGCTCTATCAAGGCAAACATCGATGGCTTTGAGGGAGTCATGTATCTCGAGGATCTTCCCGATCATACGCCTTTCCTGAACGTCTCTTTCCCCGCCACCAATGGCAACAAGCACCAGCAGGTCAACATTAGCCAAGAGCTCCAGATCCAGAATCACGACGCCTTCAACAACTTCAACGTCTGGTTTGCCTTCAACGAGACTCTCCGTGTCACCGTCGAGGGCCGAACCAAGGTCAAGCCGTCTGGCCTGTCCACGAAATTTGGTGTTACCTTTAAGAAGACTGTTACCATGAAGGGCCTCAACATGTTCAACGGCACCACCGTCACGAACGGCAAGATCAACATCTCTGCCAAGAAGGGCCAGCCAAATTTCAGCGCTACCGCCGATATTCCCAACGCCTCCTACTTTACCCTTGACATTGTAAGTTGCTACCACGAGCACACAGCTCGAATGCTCACTGTACCTTTTGCTCACACGCATTCTAGGGCAACGCTACCTTTACCAATTTCATCGACGACACCAGCATTGGCAATCTCACCATCCCTAACCTTCTCCTTGTGCCTGGCAGCAACAAGGTCGCCATTAGCGCCAATCTCGACCAGGTCGCGGTCCTCAATGCCGTCCAAAGCGCCAAGTACTGCAAGACTGGAATCATTCCCGTCAAGCTCCAGGGCGCCGCTGTTCTCAACGATGGCGAGACCCTCCAGTATTTCCTTGACGCCCTGGGTGCCCACAACCAGACCGTTCCTATGGATATTGGTTCCATTATCAAGAGCTCTCTCGGCACCACCATCGGCTGCCCCAAGTCCAGCTAAAAACGCAAACAAACAAACCGCTCAACTATACTCTGTTTATGACAACCTTTTTATTCTATTTTATAATCGCGTCCGTAGATGGTACCAGGTGAAGGAGGGATCTTTGATTTTCAGTTTCTGTCAGGCGGTGCAAAAATATTTCTTCTTTCCTGTGGATGATGCTTGCAATTGCGTTTCCTGGTGCAGGGGTACTTATACCATTTCACTCACTGAGTGATCTTTTTCATTTTAAGGATGGGAACGAACAAGAAGATGTGTTATGAAGCCTCAGTCACGGTGCATTCTGATTCATGATACCTCCATGTAGATGTTTGTATTTTCCAAGGTAGTGTAGGGGCCGCCCATGGGCGTGTAATTCATTAATGTTGAGCCAAATCTACTTTTTGGTGTGTCTGCTGGCCGATTCGTATCCAAACTTGTCCATGTACTGTTCGTAATCATCATTTCCAACCGCCCTTACGCTTCTCACCCCTTGTGCTTATCCCTCCTTGCAAACCAGTCGCGCCTCCGCCCGATGAAGAATTCGATGGAACAAAGTCGATGGCTGTTCGACCACCAGCAGTTCTGTCCGCCTCCTTCTCCTTTGCAATCTTTTCTCTGCTTTTGCTGAGTTTGTCTCTAAATGCCCATTCTGGAAACCCCCTTGGATCCCACAGCTCCTTCGGTAGAGTCGTCTCATACTGGCCCACTTCATCGATACCGACAAAGTCTAGCAGCTTGTCCATTAAAGATGGGTTCTTCAGTGCGCTAGACTGCTCGAGTTTAGAGTTGAAGTGGACGCCTTTCTTCTTGAGTTCCAGAAACTGTTTGACTTTTTTGTTGGCTCCAGGAGGAGGTGATCCTGGCGGCGAAGGCGGGATGTCGAGATTGGGGACGGAGGGGAGGGTAAGATCGTGAATCAAGCCGCGGTTGGATGAGTAAGGAGACGATGGTGAATCCTGTGGAGCATCGGGCTCTGGAAGTGTGTTGGTGATAGAGACATTGGCGGGTGGAAGAGATGGGCCTAAAGGAACAGCATTTTGGAGCACAGGGCCAATGGTGGCTGAATGTGGCTGACTGTCAGAGTCTTTCTTCTGTGATGATGAGGATTCTACTGAGTTTTCTATTCAAGTATTAGCACGCCGCCATTCTGTTTTGCAAAAGAGGCCCCAATCAGGTGAGCTCACGGGGTTGAGGTTCGTCTTTTCCAGCCTCATCAGCAACAAGCGCTGCTGCCTGTGTGGCGACCTATCAGCGTGTTAGTGAAATGCCATTGCACAGACGGAAACCCGAAATATTTAATACCTGAGGAGGCTCCTGTTGCAGTTGAGGTTGCTCGTCTTCTCCTTCTTCATCAGAGCTTGCATACCCAACAAGCCCAGCCATTGCGACTCAAAAGTTTCGAAGCCCACGCTGTTGATAAAGTAGGTACAAGTTGAGTGAGAGAGAGATCGGAGTGAATGAGCGCGACGAGCTGGTGAGGCCAGATGAGGATTAGCGCAATAAAACCATCGCGGCCGGCAGCTCCATCGGTTGAAGCCCGGCTAGCTCAAGCCTCCAGATAACTTTTCAGCGGGTCGCCTTTCATCAACCCCAACAGCAGCTGTGACGGCAAACGCCCCTCCGTCACTATTCCCAAGCATCATTTCGGTCACTATCGCCCGGCCTTTGCATCAATACTTTCGATCCTTAGTCGTCTTGATTGTGCTCCTTGTTTCGTGCGACAAGCTTTGAACAGGGGAATTGGCCAGCTCGGGGGGTGACGTGCGACCGACTTTAGACAAATCAATCCATCGTTTGGACCAGCCTCGATTTCGATTCGCGTTTCTCGGCACCATCACCACGAAGAGAGAGAAAAAGTCTTGCATCGACTCGAGACCACCCAGAAAGTAGTACTCACAAACCGTAGTGTCTTACTGAGCCTGCGAGACCACAACAATGGCTCGGCCAAGAGACTCGCGCTCACCAAGTCCTGCAGGCAGCCATTTCAACTCGCGCCGCCACCGCAAAGATGACGACCGGCGGGATGCCAGAGACCGCCGCGACGATGGAAGGGACACTCGCCGACGCTCAAGGTCGCGCAGTCCGGATGTGAGATTTGACCGCCGCCGCTCCAGCTTCGGCAGCGACTCCTGTAGACCTGAACTTGAGTCTGACAAAAGCTTGAACAAACAACAGTATCGATACCGCGACCGCGACCGAGGCAGAGACAACAGAGATCGTGGTGGCCGGGACCGCGACCGTGACCGCGATCGCGACAACTTTCGCCGACGAGACCGCTCCTTAGATCGCCGAGACGATGATTTCTACCGCGGCCCACGTGATCGCCGAGGAGCGAGGTCTCGAGACAGACTCGCGCCCAGGGCTCGCTCGCCTGACCGCCGACGTGACCGCAGCAGGGACGACTTCAGAAGACGAGATGATTCTAGGAACAGAAGCCGACGTGAGGGCACGGCTGACTCTCATCCTCGCAGCAGCCGCGCTGATAGCCGATCTCGCAAGACTCCAGTAGCTGATAGTGGCAGGAATGGAGTCGATGAGGTACGTGTTCTAGCCCCGTGTGAGAGAACTAGAGCTCACGACATATCACAGGCACAGAAGGCCAAGCCGAACGCGGCGCAGTCCGAGGTCGACAAGAAGGCAGAGCGACTTGCCAAGCTTGAAGCATGGAAGAAAAAGAAGGAGCTCGAGGGCCAGAAACAAAAAGAGGTGAATGCCAGCCAAACTAGAAATCTTTTGGCTGAGATGGATAAGAGGGCCAAAGAGGGGTCTACGGCTGTCTCATCACCTGTTGTGTCGTCCGCGGCTTCGCCCGCCCCTGTTGACTCCGGCAGCGTATCTCCAGCAAAGCCTTATACTGGCAAGTTTGATCCAAAAACGATTGCAAAAAAGTCTGCTGTTCAAAGATCGCACGATACTGCTAAAGGGGCTTTGGGATCTATAGATGTTCAGCCACCTACCATTTCTATGCCTGTTAAAAAGACAATTACGGGTGAGTCTCTGCCTCCCATGAGTGAAGGCTTTGCCTTTACTGACATTCATCATCATAAAGCGTCTGCTTTGCCTACAAATCGCGCCAAGGCCAGCAGCTTTGGGTTTGGCAAGTCTCATGCTGAAGGAGACAAGCTCCCTAGCAAACGAAAGCTAGACATGGACGAGGAGGTCATAACGAAACGACAGCTCACCAAGCTCCCCAGCCTTCCAATAGAGACTGACGACACGCCCTATGCTGACCAAGACGAGGATGACGAATCGGATGGTGATAACTTTGCCGAAAATGAAGAAGAGGCTGCGGCTGCTGCACGTGCCGCTCATGAAAGACGTCTCCAAGCCGAAAATCAAGCTGAAAATCATACAGAAAACCAGGCTGATGAGGAGATGAAAGACGTCGAAACCCAAGTCGCGCAGGAAGCCAACGGCGATCATATTACCAACGGAGAGGAAGCAGCAGACAAGGCCCCCCCTGCAGAAGAGTCCATGGAAGTTGATGAAGAGGATGAAGAAGTCGATCCTCTAGATGCATTCATGGATGATCTTCAACAAATAGAGACTGTTAACAACCCTTTGAAGAAGGCCCCCGCTATCAAGAAGAAGCAGGAGCCTGAGGCTTATTTCTCCGATGATGATTATGCTTTCAACAACGAAGGCGATCCTGAAGCAGATGCCGCGTTGCTGGCCATCGCTAACAAGCGCAAGAAGAAGGACATACCAAGCGTTGACTACTCAAAGATAGATCTCCAACCTATCCGCAAAAACTTCTGGGTTGAGCCCGCAGAGTTGAGCATGCTTTCTGAAGCAGATGTCACAGACTTACGACTCGAACTGGATGGAATCAAGGTCAACGGCAAGGATGTTCCCAAGCCTGTTCAGAAATGGGCCCAATGCGGTCTCACCCGCCAAACCCTTGATGTCATTGGTTCCCTCGGGTTTGAAAAGCCTACGCCGATTCAGATGCAAGCCTTGCCCGCGTTGATGTCAGGTCGGGACGTCGTTGGTGTGGCCAAGACAGGATCTGGCAAGACTATGGCTTTCCTACTTCCCATGTTCCGTCACATCAAGGACCAGGAGCCGCTCAAGGACACAGATGGGCCTATCGGCCTGATTATGACGCCAACACGTGAGCTAGCCACACAGATTCACAGGGATTGCAAACCTTTCCTAAAGATGATGAACCTGCGTGCTGTTTGTGCGTATGGTGGAGCTCCCATCAGAGACCAGATTGCCGAGCTCAAGCGCGGTGCTGAAATTATTGTCTGCACCCCTGGCCGCATGATTGATCTATTGGCCGCTAACCAGGGGAGAGTCACCAATCTCAGGAGGGTTACCTACGTGGTTCTCGACGAAGCCGACCGAATGTTTGACATGGGTTTTGAACCACAGGTGATGAAGATTTTCGCCAACATGCGACCTGACAGGCAAACGATTCTATTCTCAGCCACGATGCCACGTCTCATCGATTCACTCACGAAAAAGGTGCTCAAGAGCCCTATTGAGATTACCGTCGGCGGCCGCAGCGTAGTCGCCAAGGAGATTGAGCAAATCGTGGAGATCAGAGAAGAGAGTACAAAGTTTGTCCGTGTTCTGGAGCTACTTGGCGAGCTCTATGATAAAGATGAAGATGCGCGGTCGTTAATCTTTGTCGAGCGGCAAGAGAAAGCGGATGACCTTCTTAAAGAGCTAATGCAGAAAGGCTATCCTTGCATGTCCATTCACGGAGGCAAAGATCAAGTGGATCGCGACTCTACCATTTCTGATTTCAAGAAGGGCGTGGTACCCATCCTGATTGCCACGTCGGTCGCTGCCCGTGGCTTAGACGTCAAGCAGCTCAAGCTCGTCATCAACTACGATGCACCAAACCACCTGGAGGACTATGTCCACCGAGCCGGGCGAACAGGCCGTGCAGGAAACACAGGGACTGCTGTCACCTTTGTCACGCCTGAGCAAGAGAACTGTGCTCCTGGTATCGCCAAAGCTTTGGAACAGAGCGACCAGCCTGTCCCAGAACGCCTGAATGAGATGCGAAAGTCCCATCGAGAAAAGGTCAAGTCGGGCAAGGCAAAGGACACGTCTGGATTTGGCGGAAAGGGCCTAGACCGTTTGGATCAAGAACGTGAAGCCGCTCGCCTTCGTGAGCGTAAAACGCATAGAGCCGAGGGTGAGGAAGAAGAGGTTAAAGAGGAGGGCAAGAAGGAGGAAGAAGATAAGAAGATTGAGAAGACGCTTAGCGCCATCAAGGCTGCGGCCTCCACTGTCCAGGCTCGCGAAACAGCACGGACTGACACAGGAGACAGCAAAGGAACCCAACCCGCTATTGCCACAGGTGACAAGACCAAGGATCCCTTGGACAAAGTTAGCTCGGCTGTTAGTGCTATCAACAGCCGTCTTGGTAAGGCTGGCCAGCTTCGCTCTGGCCAACCCATCGACAACAAGGGCCCAGATGCCGGTGCTTTCCACGCCACGCTGGAAATCAACGACTTCCCCCAGAAGGCCAGATGGGCCGTCACCAACCGCACCAACGTGGCCAAGATTTTGGAGGCGACTGGAACATCCATCACAACCAAGGGCAGCTTCTATCCCCCCGGAAAGGAAGTGCCAGCTGGAGCAGAACCCAAGCTGTATATCCTCATTGAAGGTGATACGGAGCTTGTGGTGTCGGCTGCTTTGAACGAAATGACGAGGCTTCTGAGAGAGGGTACCATTGCTGCGGCGGATGCAGACAGCAGGGCTCCCGCAAGCGGAAGATATACCGTTACTTGAGTTGAAGCTAGGAATGATTGTTATATGCACAGTGAGTGGGCGAGAGCATACAGTATGGTACATGGAGGAATACACTTGCTAGGTTGGTTTAGTTTGTCGGTTTTATCACGCTCAATCTCCATTAGGAGTCAAAGTTTTACCTGTTAGGCGATGAAAAGGCGCAAGGAAGGAGGGTTATTGATTATTCAAATTCCATAAGAAGACGAGAAGGGCGTCTGGGCTAGTGTAGGCAGTTATATATCGAGTTTGGTAATCGGATTTAGTAAAATAGTGTATATACATGAATGTGTGTATCAACAGTGATGTTCGCAGGTGTCTGGAGGTGCATGGACAAATGTATCTAATCCACGCTGTATGCTCCAGAGCAACGAAGGGTATCTGGAGAAGAATAGTAACTGCAGAATGGCCGACTCCCAGGCTAAAAGAAGATAGAGAAAAAAAAAACCCCCAAGTGAAGAATTAACCGCAATAAAGTAACCAATGCTGTCGAGCATCGAAAGCTTCTACACTCCTGTCAAATCGGCAGTTGAAAAGGCCCTCTCTCCCCCAATAAACTCATTTTCAACAGTTCTGCTACTCGCAACATAGTATTGCCAGCCTCTTTGTAGGTATGTAGGTAGATAGATATAGTTTAGTAGAATTTATGGTAGGCATACGAGCTCGCGATCGGTTCTAATCCCAGTTTCGCGCCTGGGCGGCCTCGTCTGCTTCTCTGGCGCGCAGCTCCTGGTTGCTTGCTTCGGCGAGGGTGCTGGACAGGTTCTTTTTCTTTTGCGCATTGAGCTGCGACTGGAGCTTTCCGCCTTTAGTGGAAGCTTTTGCGCGGGCCTATGAAAGCACAAGAGAGATGTGCTGTCAGTATACTGGAAAACAAAACTTCTGGGGGCGCACGCGCGTCGCATGGGTTTCACAGAGGCAGATTGGAGGGAAACTCACCTCGGCGGCCTCGGCAGCCCTCCTCCGCGCGTCGCCCGGGTCACTGCCAGAATCGCCGCCAGCACCGCCGAGGGTTCGCGCAGGGCCGCCGACTTTCTGGGGGACGCGTGCGGTTTTCGGGCCCGGAGGTGGAGCTGAGCCGAGGCGGCGTCCGGCTTGAGCATCCGGCTCTGGCTCGGTCTTGCCGCAGATGTTGCCCATGATGTTTGGGAGAAGTCGGTGTTATTGGGAATGGGTTGCTTAGGATCAATGGGGGTTGTTGAGCGAGCGGCCAGCAATGAGCGCGTAAGTGAGGAAGGGAAGTCGGGTCGACTTGTGGTGGTGAAGAGTGAAGTTGTCGCAAACGGCAACCAGGGGAGAGCTCAAGCAAATCTATTTGTTCATCACTATTATCCTGTTCAGTTGCGCATGCGAATCAGCAAAATGCGATGGCAGAGATAAGGTTATTTGTCTGGCCAGCTAGCGATGCGCGCAAGCCTGCATGATGCAGCAGCGCCAGAAAGAAAGAGAACAGGGAAAAAAAAAGATTGGTGTTCTGCGACTGGCTGCGCGGTCTCTTTTTGAGAGAGAGGTGTTTGCTGGGCAGGGGGGGGGGGGGGGGTTGTTGTTAAGCGGGGTTTTTCTTCATTGAGCGGGCCAAGCTTTGCTTCTGTGATTTTTAAGATCTTGGCTGCTTACTAGGTTTGAGAAGGGGATTGTTACCCTGGAGGGGCTGAGATGGGATGATTTGGGAAGTGGGAGATGACTGTGATTGTTAGGCTGCGGGTTACTCAATAAGCTGGGTAGGTATTCAAAGTATAGCTAGGTGCCACAAGAATATTTTTTTGCTTGATAAACTCACAAAGTTACCAGCATTATACTAACTGGGTAGGTGTTTGGATAGATTAGGTGGATAGATTAGGTGGATAATGACGACTGTTATCATGTCGTCGGAAAGCATGATATATAATGGTGAGTAATGCCTAGTACACTGCCTAGCACCTATATGTATTGCAGTTGAAATCTCGTCCGATATCCCAAATAGTCAAAACGGTGTTAGGTAACCCAACCAAAGTCGTCCCTTTGCAGAAGCAGGTAGCCTCTTATGTCACGATCCGCGAGAGTTTGCTTGTCAAGGGCGTGCATCTGCCTGTCAAACCCGCCAATCCGCAACGAGGGAAAAAGCACCCGAGCTGCTGTGCGCAATACCACGGCAGTACCTCAGCTGCCCCGCAAACATGTGCCTGCAATTCAGGTACCTCGCTGTACTCGCCGGCTGGAAATTGTGGAGATTTAGCCGCTACTAACTGTGCAGTCAGCGCCCCGCCCAGGATTTTTAGTGGGGCTAGTGGGAAAAAACATAAATATGGAAGATGTTGCAACCGCTGAGGGCGCAAACCATCAAGGTTCTCGCCTTTGTCAGCCAGCCCAGACCGCAGGCGGGCATTCCTTCCCCGTCCGCGCCTGCGCCTGCTGCGCTTGTGCTTGTGCTCGTGCTTCTCAAGTCCTTCTAATTTCTTTCTTTCCTGTACAGACTCGAGGCTGGCTAAGAAGAATTTCTTTTTTCTCTTTTTTTTTTCAGCCTTTCCGACTCTCCACTCTCGCCGTTTGCGACGCCCTCGACACTGCGCTTCACGGCTTTGAAAAGAGGCTTTTCGCAGCTTTTCGCAGCTCTTCCAGCTCCTCCCTGCTGCCCTTGACTCGTTATTTAGCTAGCTCAACCCTCAAATTCTTCTCACTAGGATGAGCCAGTCACAAACCGAGTCTTCTCACGGGTAAGATTAGATTCGTGTATTCGCCCTCTAAATCTGCACCTCAGAAACGCTGACGCCGTGTGTAGGCAGCTTAAAGAACCCGCGTTTTGATAAGAGCATTGACCCTCGTCGTCTACCTATCTTCCGGCAGATCAATGGAGTTCATTCGCCCACTTCCTCATGACTTTCCAATAGATAAATCTCCTGGATTCTCCGAATTAATGGACATGAGTAATCGAATCTCTGACGGAACAGGCGCGGCTGCGGATCACTTCTCTCACGACAATTCTCGTCTAGACGCCCAATCATCGGTGTACTGTACCGATATTTTCAAACCCTCAAAATCTTCTCAAATTTCACCAGCCTTATCGTCGCCAAGCCAGCCCACCATGGCTTCCTTTATGGATCATGGCATCCAGCCGCAGTTACGGGATCGGCACAGCAATTCCGGCGCAGTCATCCCCCCCTCAGATTCCGAACCAACCTTCCCCTTCCCTTGGGATACCTATTTGAGTGATGCATTCCATGATGCTTCTCGTTCTGTTCGTCTCGACAAAGATGCCCTGCGCCAGGCCGGGACAAACTGCGACGATGATTGCAGATCGATAGCGTCATGTACATCCGCCTGCGATATAAGTTGCCCAAGCCAATGTGGAGATACGGGCCAAGGAATGTGTTGCGATGATGATGCATGTGACGATAAAGAGCTTTGCCTGGATGAAATGTGCGAGGATGCTGCTACCCCTTGCACGGATGCCAATTGCTCGGGCCTTGCCAGGCTTGAACAATTTCCCCTCGAGCCTGGCTTTTCAGACGGCGACAAGCAAGCTGCAGCAGCCCTTGCCTCTATCGGAGATACCTCCTTGGAATTTATGCACAACGGCTTTCAGCAATTTCATTCAGATTCACACTTTGGATCCCATTCTTGTTTCCCGGGGTCGACATGCAGCCACACTTTCCCCCAGGACTTCTTGCCAACGACTGCCGATAATGGCACATTTGGCAATTTTTGGGAATATCTGACTCAAGAAAACCCGCTCGCAACTCACATTCTTCAATACCACGACCCTCGACACAGCGTGGACCATGTTCGCCCATGTATTGCCGATCATCCCAACCTGGCCATTCCGAGGTGTACCCTGCCCAAAACTGTCAGTGGTGATGCCTTGAGCCATGGCTTGGGTAATAATCTTGGGGATTTCACATGTGGCTTTGAGGTCAACTCGCTTGACCAGTTTGCAAACCACATCTTCGAAGACCATTGGCCTATGCACATGCCAATCCCGGATCTAGGCAGCCTGCCACAGTCTTCGCAAGTAGAGGACCATTTTTCTTTAATTCCCAGCCGAACGAGCATCCCGCCATCTTACTCTTTAAACGCGACATCACATGAATCACAGTTTTCTCCATCAGAACCATCCCTACATAATCCATCCGTGGTCTCGTCACTTTCACCGTTTCCAGCATCACAGACAACAACTCCTCCACCGCAGCCAGAGGAGTCGATCACTGAGTCACCTTCGGCGTCACTATCAACCGAACTAACCCCAGTCTCACCGGTAGACGTGGAGACTATTGTCGATCATACCTGTCAATGGAGGGCACCGGACGGCAAAGTTTGCCTGATGCAATTCAAAGACGCCGACGAGCTGCATAATCACACAAAGAATGACCATTTGAAAGGAATGTCGCGGCAGCCACCGGGATATCGGTGCCACTGGGAAGGTTGCACAAGAGCGACTGTGTTTGGCCAAAAGAGCAAATTAGAACGCCACATCCAAACGCACACAGGATGTAAGTAAAATAGCCTTGGCAATTCCAACACCAGAGAATCATGGAGGGCTGACGACGACTTTAGATAAGCCTGTGAAATGCTCCATATGCGGCCTGCAACTCTCAGCGAAGCAGTCGCTTGATCAACACATGAGAGTGCACACGGGCGAAAAGCCTTGGAAATGCAAGTTCCCGGGATGCTCGCATGCCTTCAAGCAGCAGAGCGCACTTAGTAAGCTGTCTCACTCTCATTCAGTTATGATCAACTCTTCTAACTCTTCTATCAGCCATGCACGAGCGTACACATACTGGGTACAAGCCTTTGACGTGTGATATATGTGGAAAGTCGTTTGGAGAGTCTTCAAATCTTTCCAAACACCGCCGAACTCACAACGCGAGGGGCGGCCACTCTTGTCCCTTGTGCAACAAGGACTTTAATCGTCTAGATCAGTTAAGACGCCATTTACACAGTAACCACAAATGCAAGCCGGAAGAGGCCGACTCAATAGCCAAGTCGGTTAGGCTTCAGTCAGGCAAGGGAGCGAGACAAAGCATTGGTCGTGTCTGAAAACCCAGCACGATAATTGAACGTCAGCAATATACCCACAAAAGGGGAACGGAGGTTCCCGTCGCAATTATAGATATTGGAATCTGCAAAAATGATTTGCGAGAGGTTGAAAATTGGAGGTACCTTCTCTTTGAAAGCGGCACAGCAGCTTTTAGGCCCGTTGCCACGAGGCACGCGACACGGGTCAAATGGAAAGCTTAAGATATAGAAGTTTTATGTTATAGAGGGTCAGCATGAGCTGCGAGATTTGATTTAATAAGGGGTCACATCAAAGCCTTGGATAAAACGACCAGATGTCGAATCCTAGGCGCTGCTGGTCGACTGCAGTCCTTCAGACCCATTGATGCAGATAGGAATAATGATTTCTTAAACCACCCATATATTGAGAAGGAGTTGTCATTATTGGCAATTACAAACTTGAGGGTTTAGTCATTTAGTAGCACAATATACTGAGTATATAAAAGGGTACTCTTGAATATCGGGTTAGTATGCATGAGCGGTAGTTGTAGCTATGCATGAGAGACAAGTTAAAATGGACTTGTATACATCATCTTGAAAGGCCAACAACAGACTTTGGAATAAATGCGACGCGTATAACATGAACCGCCGCTATTAAAAAAAATTGAACTACATCTAGGTAATTTGTAAAAAGTTTGATCGCTCCCTTGATTTTCTTTCCTTTTGGTCGATATATTTTCCCTTCCCTTTCTCCCTTCCAGTTTCTTTTTCTCAAAAAAATTCTTTTTAATACCTTTAGTGGTGGAACAGACGGGTGTTCTGCTGGACAAAGGTGACGCCCAGCTTCTCGGCGGTCTCGAAGACAGCGCCATCGTTTTGGCTGCCGCTGGGGGCGGCAATGTACTTGACGCCTGAGCGAGCAGCTCGGAAGACGTTGTCGATGAAGGGGAACTGCAGTGATGGGTATTGATTAGCCTTGTGATTATGAAGAAGAAGGAGACGGGGGCGTTTCTTATAATCCTGTTTACGACATGGGGGGGGGGGGGGGGGTTAAACTTACAAAGGCATCGCTGGAGACGCAGACGTCCTTGAGCTGCTTCATCCAAGCCTCGCGCTCCTCATCAGTGAAAGCAGGGGGGACCTGCTCGAAAACGGCCTCGAAAGCCTCCCTTTCAGCGCCGTCCTTGGGGAGCTCGCCGCTGACGAGGAGGTCAATGGCATTGCTCTTGTCGGGTCGCTTGGTGCCTTTCTTCCACTTGATGCCGAGGACACGCTCGTGGAAGCGCATCCACCAGTTGTCGGCCTTGTCACCAGCCAGACGGGTGCAGTGGATACGGGACTGCTGGCCGGCGCCGAGGCCGATGACCTGGCCGTTGACGGCGTAGCAGACAGAGTTGCTCTGGGTGTACTTGAGGGTGATGGTGGCAACGGTGAGATCGCGGGCGGCGTTCTCGGGGAGGGCACCGGCATCCTTGGGAGTGATGATGGTGGTGAAGGACTTGGGGGAGATCTCGGCGTCGTTGCGGTGCTGCTGGAGGGTGACGCCGTAGACGGTGCGGGTCTCGATGGGGCCGGGAGTGTAGTCGGGGTCGATCTGGAGGACAAGGTACTTGCCTCCCTTCTTCTTGCGGAGGATCTCCAGAGCGGCATCCTCGTAGCCGGGGGCAATGACACCGTCAGAAACCTCCTTGGAGATGATGCTGGCAGTGGGAACGTCGACAATGTCACTCAGGGCGATGACGTCGCCGAAGCTGCTCATGCGGTCGGCGCCACGAGCACGAGCGTAGGCCTGGGCAAGGGGCGAGCTGTCGATGCCCTCAATGTCATTGACAAAGTAGACCTTCTTCTCATCGGCAGTGAGGGGCAGTCCGATAGCAGCACCAGCAGGAGAAACGTGCTTGAAGCTGGCAGCAGCGGGCTTGCCCAGAGCCTCCTTGAGCTCCTTGACGAGGGGCCAGGCGTTGAGTGAGTCGAGGAGGTTGATGTATCCAGGAGAGCCGCTCAGGACCTTGAAGGGAAGCTGCTGGTTGGCGGTATAAGCCGAAGCGGGCTTCTGGTGGGGGTTGGCACCGTATCGGAGGGCCATGTGCTGGTCTCCCGAGCCGGCGTACTCCTTGCGGAAGAACTCTGAGATGGCGGCATCGTAGTCGGCAGTGTGCTCAAAGGCCTTGAGAGCATAGCGGTTGCGGCTGGCATCGCTGATCTCGCCCTTCTCGAGCTCGCTCAAGAAGCCGGCGTAGTCATTGGGGTCGCTGAGGATGGTGACTCGCTTGTGGTTCTTGGCAGCAGCGCGGATGAGGGTCACGCCGCCGATATCAATCTCCTCAACGGCCTCGGGGATGCTGACGTTGACCTTGGCAACGGTGTCCTTAAAGGGGTACAGGTTGCAGATGACGTAGTCAACCTTGTTGATGTTCTGGTCCGCAAGATCCTTCTCGTCGGATTCGAGGTTGCGAGCGAGAATGCCAGCATGGACAGCAGGGTGCAGAGTCTTGACACGGCCAGCAAGCATCTCCGGCGCCTTGGTGATGGCGCTGACGTCCCTACACGCCGTGGCGCATTAGTTTTCTTGTCTCTTGTCTGGCTCCCGACAGCTTCCTCCTGGTCGCGTGTCCATGTCTCAACCACAATTGACAGCTCTTTTGTCCCCTTTCCATACCAAGCATGAGAATTAGGATGATGCATACTCAACGGGGAATCCAGACTCGCGGATCATGCGAGCTGTGCCGCCAGATGCCAGAATCCGGACATTCTGCTGGGCGAGACCCTTAGCTAGGTCCAGCAGGCCAGTCTTGTCGTAGACGGAGACGATAGCAATCTTCTGGCTAGACATGATGCCGGCAATTAAGCTTCTACACAATTGGGGGGAATGTGAGAAGACGGGAGAGGATGGGTCAAACAGAAAAGAAAGAGAAAATAGTTAGTCTTCTCTCCTTTTGTCTCTTATACGAAAAAAAAAAGAGCCGATGTCGTCGGTTGCGGAAGGGAAAGAAAAAAAAATGTTGGCGGGGTAGCAGCGCAGGTCCTTTGGTGGGGTGTTGAGGGGAATGATTTGCGCTTTGGCGTTGTAATAGTGACGACGTAGCGGATTGATTGGACGCGGCTGGGAGCTGTGAGGCACTTAATTAGAGCAATAGCAGCAGATAGTGGATTGGGGGAGAGGGAGAAAAAAAAAATTGCGAGGGCCAACGGAAAGACGGCTCGCACATGTGACAAGAGGAGATTGGATGTTTATATTTGTTGAGTCAAGATGTTATTTTTCTTTTCTTCTTTTTGCTTGAAAAGATGTTATACAATCTACCTTTGCTTGATTAGTTGCTCTCTGATATAATTCAATTCAGTCCTATTCATCAACCTGGATAACGATACTGACAGCAATGTTGGGAAAGCTCTTCGTCTTACCTAGCCGCATTCACATTTGCGCGGTTTGTTTTCTCAGCGCTAAGAGCTCCCCTTGGTGTGGGAACCGAGCGTCTGTGGCCCTTTAGAAGCTATTTTGGGATGTGTTAACAGGAGACCAGTGATATGACAAGTTAATAAGAGTAATGGCTGGAGTGCTTCGGGCTCGTTCGTTGATATCAACATCTTGTCCAATTCGAATGAAAAGTCTCTGAACATGATAGACACCAATAAAGTAACACTTAAGCACTCCATTTTGAACCAAAGAATTGCTGTGAGCATCACAAACTTAGGCTAACAGAGCATCACGTTTTGGCACGTCATCACCGGGACCGAAGGATATATATTCTTCGAAATCAGTCGAATTAGAGCCTGAACACCGCTTGTGCCTCAAGTATTTTTGATCGTGACCTCATTTTTTTTTGTTGGTATAGACTGCCGACCTAGCAAGCCCATCCGGGACGCCTCCCGTCCCAGACCGAGGCCCAAACCGGGAAATAAAGTACAAGTCAGACCGGATTTCCCCTGAGCCATGCGATGCAATTCGAACCCTTTTGTTCAAGTGGAAAAAGCATGCTGCGCCTCAATGCCCCATTCTACCCTGACGTCCCTTCGCATTCCAAAGCAAAATTAAAACATTTAGGCCTGCGAGAGTGTTAGTTAGCAAAGGTTTCTCGAGAATCCTCCAACCCCTCCTTGTCCGGAAAGGAGCCTTGTCCATGTGCTCTGGACAACTCTCAAGACTGTCGTACCTTGATGGCGAACTTGCGCTGGGGGAAGTGAGTGTTGCGCTTCTTGGTCTTCTCCAGAACACGGGCCTTGTCCTCAGGTGATAATCGGCGGCGGATGGCACGGGTCTGCTTGGGGCGGAGGTCGAGAGGCAGGTACTTGGCCTTCTTGTAGAAGAGGCGGAGTTGGTTGCGCTGAGTGGCGTTGGTGACGGTCAAGACACGAGCGATGGACTTTCGCAGGTCGTGGCTGTAATTGAAAGTGTTAGTCGCAACAATTCATTCGTCCTCCCCCGCTGTTGGGTATCTAATGGAAGGGCCGTCAATCCTTACATCTTGTTCAGCTTGGAGCCGGAAGAGGCAACCTTCTGGATGCGGAGCTGGCCGAGTTCAGCCTTGAGCTCAGAGAGCTGCTTAGCCAACTCCTCCTTGTTCTTGCCCCAGAGCTGGGCAGTCTTGACTTTTCCCGACGACTAACACACAAAGAATCAGCAACCCCATTTTCCTGACGCATTGTACAGAGTGCAAGAGCGGTGCGTTGATTTGATGGCGGAATGACGAGTGATGGGGGACATTTTCGACGATTTCGTTGGTGTATTATCTCGGCGACAGCGCAGTAAAATTCGACATCGAGGGGGGCAAAAGACTGGCATAAAGGGAGACGTGTTCTGGGGGCCTAAAGAGGACATGTCCATCACTTAGAGCAGGGACCGTATCTACTCACCATCTTGAGAGTCTTCGATGTGATTTGCGAGAGTTGCGTTAGTAAAAGTCTTCCTCGACCGTGACCCGTCCGTATGTCGCGATGGCTCGTAACTCTCAAAAGAATTTAGTCGAGGGTTTGCCGAGTCGGTGAAAAATTGCCCTAGGGTTTGGCTGAGCGTGCACCAGATTGAAAGACGTTGTAATTTTTCATTGGCCAATTAATTATGGAGCGCTAGTGGGTAGCGAACGCCAATCACGTGACTATACACGTGCAGGATCCGTTTCACTAGCGTGGGCGGTGAGCGATTCTGCCACTTCTTTCAGACGGAGACGGCGTCAGACAATGCCGTGGCTCGGGCGTTGTTCCATATCGTCATCAGATGCACCCTGAATTCGAACTTTGTCGCCCAGATTGGAAACCATGGCCACATCAGGAAGCGGAGGCTGGGCTCAGCTACGCCAGCAGGCACGATCGCTAGAAAATCAGGTAAGAAGATTTGTTATGGGTTATTTGTGCATTCTGTCTCGTGAGCTGGCCTACTGACGATGCCGCGGCTTGCCTAGACGGAGAGTCTGTTTCATACCTTTTCTCAGTTTTCGACGGGATCCAATATCCCACCCAAGCCATCGGCGGAGGAGCGTGACATAGAAGCCAGGCTGGAGGAGGTACTAGATAAGGTATGTCCAACGGCTCGTGCATCAACAGAGTAATGTGAGCTCTGGCAACTAAACGAGCAACTGCAGCGCGACAATGTCATCACCCAGCTCGCACGACTCCTGGATTCGGAAGCATCGCTCAACACGTCCGCCCTCAAGCAAAACAACCTATCCCTGCTCAGAGAAAAGCTATCTTCTCACCGGCGCGACTTGACTCGCCTCAAGTCTACACTGCAGCAAGCTCGCAACCGCGCCAATCTCCTCAGCAACGTTCAGTCCGACATTGACGAATACCGCGCGAACAACCCGGAAGCTGCTGAGGCCGACTACATGCTGGATGAGCGCAATCGCATCGACAGAAGCAACGATGTGACAGATAGCGTCCTCAGCCAGGCGTATGCCATTAACGAAAGCTTCATTGTGCAGAGAGAGACGCTGGCGAGCATCAACCGAAGGATAACAATGGCCGCGAGCAAAGTGCCGGGCATCAACTCAATAATTGGACGCATAACAACCAGGAAGAGGAGAGATGGATTCATCATGGGAACTTTTATCGCGCTGTGTTTTATCGTCTTCTTTTGGTTCAGGTAATGGGGCCATCATACATCCACCGGTGCTGCACATGTCATTTGGCGTTTAAGGGGGGTATCAGCGGTTCTTGTCTACTTGTACAATATGGCAGGATCCATAACACATCTAATTTCTCTGTGGTTTTAATGATACAGGCGCAGGAATTTGGAGAGATGTCAAACCTCTAATCCGAACCCTTTGCTTTTTCCAAGTGAGGCTTACCAGGCAGCTTCTCTCGCGCTGTAGCGGGCAGTAAATCCTCCTTCTTAATATCCTCGACAAGCTTCCCCAGCCCCTTGGCCAGACTCTCTAGCTCATCAGGGTGACCAGACCCGCTGCCAGCCCAGCGTATCCTGCAGTGGTGGTCAACCAGATATGTATAGCCGACCTTGCTGTTGAGCAAGCCTATTGATTCGCGGATCTCATCGGTGATGCCTCTCTGCACCAGAAAGTACTTGTCCCAGTTCTTCTCTCCAAACCTCTTGCGCAGCGATCCCATGAAAAGCTTCACCAGGAAAGCCTTGCCATTGTTATCCTCGTAATTGATTCTGACGAGCTGTGCCGCATCACCACTGGACTCGAGCACCTGGTGAAGCAGCGGGTTGGCTTCCTTTGATATGAAACTTTCGACCTGTCGCTCGGCCCACTGGCTGCTGAATACGGACACGACGGAGGCTTTGCCGGAGAGGAGGGGGGTGGTATCGCGAGGCGATTTGTCGTTCTTGATAAGCGTTTGGCCGTAGAGATTGGGGAAGAAGAGGGAGAGCTCGGCCTTGAAGAGGCGGGGCGGCGCGATGAAGGACTTGCCCTCGTGGTATTGCAGATTGCCCCAGTCGCGGAAGTAGGGTCTTGATATCTTGGCAGTCCTGAATTTGGGCACATCATATTAGCAACTCGTAGATAGTGTGGGTGTTTTGGCTAGTGGTGGGTCTCTCATACAGCTCCTTGCGTCTCTGCAGATGCTTATCGTAGTTGACAAAGTCCTCCTTGCGCTGTTGCATAGACCGGCTGTCGATGCCCGTGTTCTCGCCCGGCAGGGGAGGCAGCGCCATGCCGATTGGCCGGGGCAGCGGTTTCGGGGTGAAGCCGCCCTCGACTCGTTTGCCGTAGCTCCGGGGAGCCTCAATCGGTGCCCCGGCGACGGTCGTCTTGGGGTCCATCGAGGTGCCCGCGGCCGGCTTCTCTGCCCTTGCGGCCGCCGCTGCGGAGGCGGTAAATGCGCGCCATTGGCAGCGACTACATGAGGCGGCAGTAGATCTCGTGCTTGAAAGGAGGAGGCCGCTGAGGGCCAGCTCCAGCGTCCGTGGCGATGGCATGGCCGCCTGGGGGGAACAGAGACAGCTTTTGCGGCCCTTGTCGCGATGACGCCGAAAAAAATTTGGCATCAAGCTGCATGAGCTCCATTCTTTACGGCCCCGGAGAGGCACTGGCTACGGCTCCGGGGGGTCGCATCGGCAGCGCTACAACTTGGAGCAGCCATTGGGCGTTTACAGTGGCTCCCAGCACTACTAGTAGTCGCCAAAGCAGCCTAGCGCCCACGCGTTTTCGCTCTTCCCAAGCAACCAAGCAAAACTCCCCGCCAGCTGCTAATCCGAGGGCCTGGAGCCATCAAAAGTCAGCACCCCGGATTCGGCTATCCGCGGGGGCTTTCAACAGCGTCAACCGCAATGCCGACTGAAGCCACTGCTGGCCTTGAGCATCCCGGTTTAGAGTCGGCGAAAGGAAACGATTCTCCCCTTGTTTAAAAATCAACATCCTCTCCTCTAGGTCTTGCAAACCATCGTGCCGCTCAATTGGACCACCTAGACACCATGTTTCTGCAGCGAGGATCAAGAGTGCTGAGACGGCAATGGGGGGCTTCCAAGGCCATGGGCAAGATGGCCCTGGGAAACACAACGCCTGCCGCCCCCCGGTGGTTCTCGGAGTCGAGGAGGTTATATGCCGTCAAGCCGGTGTTGCTGGCTGATATCGGCGAAGGTGAGTCCTTGGCTCCGGCCTAGCTGGCAAAAGCGGTGGATGCTGACATTGACGCGAGCAAAGGCATCGTCGAGTGTGAGGTTATCCAGTGGTTCGTCGAGCCCGGCGCGCACGTCGAGGAATTCTCCCCTCTGTGCGAGGTCCAGAGCGACAAGGCGTCCGTAGAAATCACAAGCCGCTTCTCCGGCGTCGTCAAGAAGCTATACTACGAGACGGGAGAGATGGCCAAGGTGGGAAAGCCGTTTGTTGACATCGACATCCAAGGCGGGGCCGAAGCCGACGAGGCCGGTGCGCCCAAGGCCGCGGAGCCCAGCAAGGACGCAGCCTCAGCTTCAACACCAGCACCCGAGCCAAAGTCACAGCAGACTGAAGCCAGTGCAGTGGCACAGGGACAGAGCAGTCAAGCCCCTAAGCCCAAGGGCAAGGCCGCGGCACTGGCGACGCCAGCGGTGCGACATCTGTCCAAGGAGCTGAAGATTGATATCCTCGAGATCGACGGCACGGGCAAGGATGGCAGGGTCCTGAAAGAGGACATCTACAAGTTTGTACAGCAGAGAGACGCCAGCGCCAGCGCATCGGCCGCTTCACAGTCTGCATCTACACTGCCGCAGCAGCCATTATCACAGGTTCCGAGCGGCCAGCCTGGTGTGCAGACAGAGACGAGAGTCCAGCTCACCAACACACAGCAGCAAATGTTCAAGACCATGACGCGGTCACTCAACATCCCTCACTTCCTCTACTCGGACGAGGTCGACTTCACAGATCTCGTCCACCTCCGCTCTCGCCTCAACAAGGTCCTCTCCCAGTCGCCGGCTGCCCCCGGCCAGGTGGCCAAGCTCTCCTACCTCCCCTTCATCATCAAGGCCGTCTCCATGGCGCTGTACCAGTTCCCCATCCTCAACGCGCGGGTCGACATCGATCCCGCCACCAACAAGCCCTCCCTCATCATGCGCTCCCAGCACAACATTGGTGTAGCCATGGACACGCCCTCGGGTCTGCTCGTGCCCGTCATCAAGGACGTCGGCTCCCTCAACATCCTGTCCATCGCCGCCGAGCTCTCGCGCCTGCAGGCTCTTGCAGTCCAGGGCAAGCTCACGCCCAACGACTTCTCAGGCGGCACCATCACCGTCTCCAACATCGGCAACATTGGCGGAACGTACCTCAGCCCCGTCATTGTCGAGCGCGAGGTGGCCATCCTGGGCATCGGCCGCATGCGCACCGTCCCGGCCTTTGACGAAAATGACAACGTAGTCAAGAAACACGTGTGCAACTTCTCGTGGAGCGCCGACCACCGCGTCGTCGATGGCGCGACCATGGCTCGGGCCGCTGAGGTGATTCGCCGTGTGGCGGAGGAGCCGGACGTCATGGTCATGCATCTGAGGTAACGAGATTAGAGGAAACATAAATAGAAAAACATGTAAAGACCTAGATTACGTTGATGTGCCATGCTGAGATTGGTTCGCTTTTCAAAAAATTCGCTCGGTATAAGTATATAGTATAGTAGCTATCTATTTTCCTGGTTAGGCATGCAGAAAGAGAATGTCACTTACACCACAACCTCCTGCATCGTTGCAGATCCCGCCTCTCTCAATCCGTCTTGCACCCCCCCCCAAAAGGACGTAACATGTACAGTACAATACAATACAAGACAGTACACGATGCATCCCCCAGTCCCCAAGAAACAAGCCACAAAAACAGAAAAGCTGCACCTAAAAGCCCGGCCCTCGCGTTCGCAGCAAGAAAGCGTCGCCCCACGGACGCAACATGACGCCATCTGCTGCTCTCCCCCCTTCCCGCTTCCGAGCATCTGCATGCGTCCCGACCTGAAACAAGCACCAAATCAAGACGAAGGGAGAAGAGGAAGAAGAAACAACAACATCCAAACTAATAAAAAGTAGGCTCTCAGCTGATCGCCCGCCCGCGCCGCGCCAGCCCCCGTGACCGGTTTTTCCCTCTGCAGGCCCTGCTCGTCACAGCGACGGATGACGGTGACGGTGACGGGAGCTGCATCTGTCTGGCTGGGCGCCCAACGCCCGAAACGGGGATTCCAACGTCTGGGGCCGCCTGTCTCTGGCGCTGCATTAGCGGCAAAGACGTGAGGATTTCTCTATTTGGAAACCCTCCTTTCACGCACGGCGTCCAAAAGCTGTGTGTGCGCGTGCCGGGAATCCTTTCTCTCTTCTGGCTTTCCTTACTGAGAAGCCCTGCTATCCCCCTTACCCGGCTTCGTTTGTGGGGTTGAAGCCGGCCAAGGAACTTGGGGAACTCGGCAAGTTTGAAGTTGAAAGCCAAAAAGTAGTACAGATCACATCGGGTAAATCATGAAGCCAGCATCACGCAGCACGTCCTCGCTTGTGTGTAGCACAATTCTCATTCATTTGTTCGCCTATTATACTGCCCTGTCCACTGAGGATGATGCTATCCTAGCCTATCCCCATCCTTTGCCCGCAAAAGGAAAAATATAAAAGAAAGAAAAAAAAAAAAAAAAAAAAAAAAAAAAAAAAAATACACAGCCGCATTATTCCCTCCTTTGTGCAACCCCAGTTTGCTGCTGCTTGTCAGATAATTTTCATGCCCAACTTCGTCCAACAGCTTCTCCCCCCCGTTGCCGGCTGACCGAGCTGTTAGTCTCGGCTCTGTTGAGTCCCAACTCCACATCCGATGAACCAGTAATCCCTGCGCCAAGATGAAAATGCCCAAGCCAAAAAGGAAATTATGCAAAAATTTGGTGCCATTGCTGGCCCGTCCTCCAGAGTCCGCAGCTCATATACCAAAACAAGATCTAGACCGTGAAAAAAAGGAAAAAAAAAAAAAAAAGAAAACCTGAGGCTGCCGGGATCGAGTTTTGTGTAAAAAGAAAAGAAACAAAAATCATATTGCTCCGATGTCGCATATCCGCATAACCGCCAGAGGTCATGATTTTTCTGGAACAAAGAGTAAAAAAATCGATATAACGAGCAGACAGGCCCGGATGCTGAGGTCATTCGACGACGGGCGTCCGGGTCTGTACCAAGCCCATCATGGTAAAACAATGGCACTCTATTGGCTGTCGTGGTCGCTCTCCATGGTCTTAATGGCCCTAGCAAGAGCATCCTGCTGCACCTCGGCCAGGGTTCGGCTTACATCGATGGTGATGACGTCTGTTTCGTTTTGAGAAGGTCGC